GTCAATAACGGCTGCGAATCGTTTTCCCCACCTCATAAAAAAAACTCCTGCATCTATTTGGGTGACGTGGGGGGGGGGGGGGATGAGGCTTTTAGAGTGTGATCATAGTTGAAGATTACTGGGCCTATTTTTACTCATCTAGACCTCAATCCCATTAGTGATGTCAAATGAGAGAAAGAGAGAGAGAGAGAGGGGGGGGGGGTAACGTCCACTCGACACAAATTAGGTCATTTCGGGACTAACATATGGTTTAATTTTATTTCAATAAATCGTTTGCGCGTAGGGGTCTTTAGCAGTGGGAGGAAACCGGAGGACCCGGATAAAACCCACGAGGTTTGACAGGCGACCCTACACCTTGTCACGTACAACCGGGGATTCAAAACCACGCCAGTTGACTCAATCACAGGCTGCGAATCGTTTTCTCCACCTCATTCAAAAAAACTCCTGCAACTATTGGGGTGACGTGCTGCACTATGATAATGCTGTGATTTTAAAGAATGTGACCCGATTTGGTTTTTTTACAATCCCCTTCCCACCCTGTCTTCTGAAATCATTTTTAAACAATCGCTCCAGTCATCTATAAATATTGGTGGGTGTCGTACACATGGCAATGAATGCTTACTTGTTCGATACCTCCCGACACCACTTTTTCTTCAAGGAATTAACTTAGCTAACTCACTTTGGTCCTGCTATTGTAATTCTAGATTTTTTAAATATAATACCAAATATAATTCACTTGTGGACACAAAATGTTTCATTATTTTGAGAAAACAAATAATTAATCAACGTTTTCCTACTATCTCTTTTATATTTATCAAATCTACTACTTAGGCCTATATATGATGTAATGAGTACAGCTGTATTTTTGTGACTTGTAGAAAGAGACTAGGACAATAAGTCGACATCTCGACGTTAGGATAAAAATAACACGATGATACGACAGAATAAAGTGTCGTATGATTGCGTCAATACTGTCGTGATGTCGTGTTGTCGCGTTATGAAAAGGGCGAGATTTAACATGGCCACTATCAGCCACCATAGTGTATAGTATGAAATTCGCTGTGTTTTCGGATTACTGGCACCCCATCCCTTTTCTGACTGAACATGGCGTGTACGTATATACGTTATCAAGATATAGTTGAAATAATTATGTTATGTCACAGTGACTTAATATCGTGAGGACACCCTATTAATGTGGACATGAATACATATTAATGATAATGACAGGCCTAGGCCAAAATATGTACCCGATCAAATTTAAGCAGTCTACATTGTGGATTATATTCTTCTTATATATCTAAAGCAAACTCGTGCGTTTAAAATGATTCATGTTTCTGTGATAATGTATCTTAACAAGAAATATAATTTAATTTCCGCATTGGTTGACAACTTGGGGAACAACTTCATGAATCAATGTCTACGAGTGATATCAGATTGGGTGTAAACATGTTATTTTAAGACATAATATAAGAAATAATTAGGTCGACAAATCCGGTGTCGTATCATAGTCAACTCAAGGTGGTAGATCTGTCATCAGGGGCGTACATAACGATTTTGTTCGGGGGGGGGGGGGGGGTGTTTAGCCCAAATGCAACCGACTGATGCCCATACCCCTAGTACGAGTGACGCAGTCAGGAACCGAGCACCACAGGTGCGAGTTTTGTAGGGGACATGTGCAGTAGCGGATCTAGATGGGGGGGGGGGGGGTCCAAATAATGTCAACAAAATACTGGCTATAACATTAAGCGTCCCGGTAGAACATAGATGGCATTGTATAATTATATAGTTGTTTGCCGATCGTTCACTCGCTGGAAAGCAGTTTTATTTAAGTTGACATAAAGTTTATGTCATATATGATTGTGCCTATAACACTGAGCGACCTGAGGTCATTTGAGGTCATTGCTGGGAGAAATTCTTGTGGACGAAAGGACAAGAAAAGTGAGTCAATTAGACAAAATCTCAAGATCTGCCCCCTGTCAATTCCGCCTGTTTTGCAAGAGTTGACAGAACTTTTGTATAGTCTGACGCCCCACGACCCACACACCAGTGCCAGTGGTACTACTAACATAACTAGGCAGTTCAGTATAACCGTGAATATGATAGTGCTGAGACAGTATAAGACAACAGAGGAGTGGAAGAATGATGTTATGATGGAATCGAGCGGCGCAGGCGCGAAAAAATTTGAGATGTGTAACCGAGCTTTTAATTTTTGGGACTGGGCCTGACAATTTTAGTCAATGTCATGGCAAATGGATCCAAATTCTCGTTAACGAGAGGATAAGAAATGGGACAGAATCTTGAGGCCTATCTGTCAATGTCGCCTGTTTTGTGAGAGTAGAACTAACAATTCTACAGTCTTTTGACCCACGACTCACTCACTATAGTGGTACTACTAACTGGGCGATTCACTGTAACTGTGAATATGATAGTGATGAGATAGTATAAGACAGAGAAGGAGTTGAAGAATGATGGCATAATGGAATTGAGTGCCGATATGTAACTGAGCTTTTAATTTTTGAGGACTGGGTCTGAGGGCACTTTACCTCAATGGGGCGCTTACCTGGTCTCTGAAATGCCCTGGACTTTGGGGAGAGATTTTGCAGAATTCTGATGGTCAGAAAACACCCCATTAAATCATTTAGTCTGAGACCGACTGCGGGGAGCACTTTTTTTTTGAGACCGACTATTTTTTGCCATGGGATGAAAAACATTTTTTTCAAACATGATAAGTCGACAAGGTTATATTATACTAAAGTTTTGCGTGAGTAGAGTGACGTGTGCAGTGAGTACTTATTTTGATACCGACTGCTCATATCTTACGACCGACTGCACTGATTTTGCGACCGACTAGTATTTGGGATCTATTCTGGCATAATTTGTTTACCTCATTAATTCATTAAGACGGCGATGCATAATTTTTAGACCGACTGCAGTGACTGCACTTATTTTGAGACCGACTATTTTTCTCCCTGGGGGAAATTTTGTTCTTAGACCTACATACTCACAACAGAATAAGAGTGAAACACATTAGGTTGACAAGGTTATTTTATACTAAAGTTTTGCGTGAGTAGCGTGACGTGTGCAGTGAGCCCTTATTTTGATACCGACTACTCTTATTTTGCGACCGACTGCATTGATTTTGCGACTGCACTGATTTTGCGACCGACTGCACTGATTTTGCGACCGACTATTTTTTTCCCTGGGGTGGTGTACCCCCCCCCCCCCCACATTTACGCCCCTGTTTGTCATGACTGACAGTGTGTACGAACAATTATTCATATAGCATACATAAACATAAAATGAAACTATAATGCAAAACACAAATTTAGAACACTGTATAAGAGATATAACATTATTAACACAAATCCGTTGATATGGTAGTAGCATGATCGTGATTCTGAATGAAAGTGTGTACACAAGCAATATTATTTAAAAGCCGGCATGCCATTACAGTTTGTTGTGACACGACAGAAAACGTAGTAGAAATGGAACGGAAAACACTAAATGAATCAGGACACCATATTGATATTGTCGATATTATTGCTATACCTATTCGCAAGAGAAAGATAATGATTGATAACAGAAGGCATGGTCACATGATTCACAACAGGCTATTATGTGATTACAGTTCCATGGTACCGTACATCAATTTTAGTACTGTACTGGGGCCTGTTTCACGAAATTTTAACTAAGATAAAATCCAAATTTTAGTAATTTGATTGGATGATATTAGATTGATTTTAGTGCTTGGTCAATCAAAATTGAAGTATCTACTAATATTTGGATTTTATCCTAAGTTAAAATTCCACAAGCACTACTACTACCACCACATACATACACACACACCACTGTCATATTAAATTGAATTTAATTGCATTCCTGATTTTTGCATTGGAAAATGGCCTGCTCCATCTTGCAGTTTTTGCTGATTCCTGTCACATTTTGCTATACCCTGAGTTTTATTGTCGAACTTTCAATATACTTTTATATACTTATGTTTACATTGGATATTCAATATAGATATTTTAAATTTCAAGAAACCTGAGAATAAAACTCACGTATTTATTATTCGATTTTATATTTTTGAAAACTTCACCTTTGGTAACTATATTATAATAGTGTCCATTTAGTCAACACCAGAAGTTTAGACGAAAACTTCAAGTAAACGATACTCTATTAGCCTTAAAGTCAACTTCAAATAAAGGATACTCTATTAGCCTTAAAGTCAATCTCTCACTTAGACAATAATATACAGGTCACAATTCTATGGAATACAATTACTGCTTATTACTGAGCGACGTTTCGACTAGGCTTGTGACCTGTATACTCCAGTTCAATTACTAAATGCCACTGAAACAATTTAGACAATAATAGACAATCTTGAAAATACACGGGTACAGGTTCGTGGCACGCGATTAATGTAGAGTTCTAAGTCCGTGACTGTAACAGAGAAGAAGTAGTGGGGGTGGAGGGGGGAGTAAGTGTTTCTTCTTATAAATTAAATTGTTACGAAATTTTCATCTAAATTCGCCATTTGCATGATATTATTGGCAAAAAAGCAATAAAGAAGCACATAGCACATAATTATGACAAGAATTACGAAAATGTTTCTACCTCAAGGAGTACCAAGACCCAACTAGAAATGGTAAATTGTATTATCCTGTTCACAACTATATACGTCTATGTAGATTATAAAATTTCAGTTTCAAACAAAACACATATAGTTGTAAAAATTTAAAATAAAAGACGAATAATGAATTAATGAGACATTTCTCTCTAAAAGAAAGTTTTAACATCTATTAGAATGCGGAGTGTGGAAAGGTGAACTACGCGAGTCTAAAAATAGAATCACGTTTTAAAAAAAGAATTCAGTTTTATGCAACAGTTAATTACTAATAAAATGTGAAACATATTGCAACGGTACAAAGATTGGTGCAAAATTTAAACCTTATATTACTAATTATTGTATAGTCTTCTATTGTTTTAAAAGATGTACGTACCTTCAGCCTGCAGGGTGACATCAATATACTTACAAAACCAAACAAGTAAATCGGTGACAACCCGGACCGGTTCTAACGAATGGTTTTACTAGTCGTAATAATTCATAATCTTACCAACTATGTCCCCACCCCAAGTAACATTAGAACGTTGTGACGAATTTTTATTCGTTATAAATTAAGTTGGGCCATGCAAATAAAGCTGTCATTGTCTATGACAGACGAGGATTATCTTTCATCCCGGCGCATGTAGAAATACTCCGGTGGAAGAGTTACATTAGCGTTGATTTGTAACGGTGTGACGGTGGTGGTTAGATGGTCGCTGATTGATCAAACTGAACGTTCTTCGAATTGCTTGTTACTTCAAGCTCACAGCATACATTATAGGTAAGAGTAAATTTCGTTCAATTTATAAAATTCTTGTTTGGTTGTATTTTTTTATTTTCTTTTATATTTCTGTTTAAATTTCATAATTTTTTTTTTTTAATTTCATAATTTCGTAAATTATAATTTGTACCGTGCGAGGGAGGCGACCAATGTTATTTAGTTTTATTTATGAACTAAGACATTAACTAACTTGTGTATAGTCCTGATTTGTTGTTATTGCTTGTCAATATGTAATTGCCCTACACATTTGATACTGTACTTGCTTGAAAACGTTGAGAAAATACTCTTCGAAACGTCACCTAAATCAATTAGTTCTTTTATAAGTATGTGTTATAGTTTATAAAATTCTTGTTTGGTTTTATTTTTTATTTTATTTTATATTTCTTTTTAAATTTCATAATTTTTTATTTTATTTTATTCATAATTTCGTAAATTATAATTTGTACCGTGCGAGGGGGCGACCAATGTTATTTAGTTTTATTTATGAACTTAGACATTAACTAACTTGTGTATAGTCCTGATTTGTTGTTATTGCTTGTCAATATATAATTGCCCTACACATTTGATACTGTACTTGCTTGAAAACGTTGAGAAAATACTCTACGAAACGTCACCTAAATAAATTAGTAATTGTTCTTTTATAAGTATGTGTTATAGTTTATAGATTTGTTTTCTTCAATCGATTTTGTGTGTCGTTTCAGTAATAGAAAATTTGACAGTTACAATAGCATATAATATTTTTTAGTTGCCTTTGCAAATGTTGTGGATTCAACGGAAAACAAAAATACAAAGAATAATTTTGGAAACGAAATTGGATAATTTTTCTTTATCCCAAATGACATAATGAATTATTGTTTTATAGAAAAACATTATCTATTCTTTTAAATGGAGGGGGAGAGAAGAGAGAGGAATTGGGGTTTAAATTACACTCGGCACAAACTATGTCATTTCGGGACTAACATATGGTTCAATTATATTTCAATAATTCGTTTGTGCGTAGTGGGAAGAAACCGGAGGACCCGGAGAAAAACCCCAAGGTTGGACAGGCGACCCTACTCCTTGTCATGTACAAGCGGGGAATCGAAACCACGACACTTGATTCAATGACAGACCTTATGACCAAAGGCTCACACGTTAACCATTCGGCCACCCAACCCCACTACGGGGTGGATATAATATATATATAGATATGACTGGTAACATAAAAGTACACTTGATAAATAAGTATAAGTGTTTTAATCGCATTAAATACATAGTTGGCGACTGTTAAGACAATTTATGACTACAAACAATTGTAAACATATTCAAACAGAAGCCATAAAATGTATCACATGAATTATTACCCTTAATTTAATAAACGTTAAAAATGGTTGGGGTTTTGGTTTTAATGTGAATGCATAAAAATCACGATCAAAGAGCGTGATCCCTGCCCGCTAACTGTCTTGGATTTATGTCGACATGACATCTAATGATATAAGTGAAAAAAATTTTCTGGCACGCTGTCGCTTTAGGTCAGTGGTGGTATACGCTACGCATGCCTCGAGGATAACTACTTAACAACTATAACCTGTCACAAAGTCTTGATTTATGTTACATATTTATGTCATCTTACAATTATTTTTATCCCTAAAAATTCCCAAGATGAATGAATACATTAGTGATGAAAACAAAACAATAGCAAGGGGTATCAGGTGGTCAAAATAACTATTAACTTTAAAGCGTTTCTGTTTTAGAGGTTCAACGTCTATTTTAAGATGATAAGTATGGTATTATTTCACGGATCTTGCGGAGTTTTAGCAATTTGGGGTTGTGGGACTGATAAATCGTTAGTTACATTACGGGAGATAAACATATTTCTTAATCTCAGACCAAGATTTTGTTTATGAAACGATATCTAAATTCTCCAAAATAAAAGTAATGAAAGACTCGATTTTCTTAGGGGCAGGCTAAATATAAATGCAACTTGCCGTCTGTTACGCTTTTGTTATAGTTATAACATTTCTTACTTTTTCTTTGAGAATTTCCAACCAAAACTCTCTAAGAAGTAACAAATTATTTCTTTAGCTTCAAGGATAGCCAAAGTAATCTTCAGGTCTTTTTCTTCCCGAATGGTAAGCAATGTCTAGATCGCTGATAAATCTTCGAAAACCTGTCATAAGAAGGTTAATCTCCCACCCCACCCCACACCCACTCTATGAACTGAAAATTATTTGTTTTTAGTGTTCAACAACAAAGATACTGAGGTCTAAACAATATATTATAAAACACCTTATATATTGGGTGACATACACTAATTTCTATGTTAAAAATACAACTTTTAATTTTGTCTGTATATTTTAACCAGTTTTAATACAATGCTACCGATAAAAAATTAAAGTTCACATCCTTGGTACATGTAAATACAATACACACACGCACGTCTTGTTTCCTTTTTCAGTAGATAGTTCAGTCGGATTAGAAAAATAATCCTAGAATAGGAAAAGGAATCGCTAGAAGTTTAAAATTTTCTATCGATGGCGGGTGCAGGGAATGAACAGAGAAGTGGACGTACACCACGGTGTATACCTTGCCTTGCGGAATATAATGAACCAGATGAAGACGCTGGGTGTTGTGAAAGATTGAAATATGCATTCATGTGCCCACCGCATGGAAAAGTGGCCATGTGGATCTCCAAGATCGTGGCAGCTGCTGCCATTTGGGGAACATTTTGGGCTATATTGGGTGATGAAGCTCTACCTGGTGGTAACTTTTTCAGCATTCTAGTACTGATTTACGCCTGTGTTATAGCTGCCGCTATTGTGGAGTTGACGCCATTCCCACCACTATTAGGTATGATTTTTTTTTTCCTTCAAACAAAAAAATATTTCAGATTTTGAAATGGCAGATATAAGCACATAAATGTTTTGATTTTATGACTCTTTGTTTGTAGCCTAGTTGCCTTATGCTAGTAATCAAATGTCATATTATTTTGTATCTAGGTATGCTGCTAGTGGGATTTTGCCTACGAAACGTTCCAAAAATAGATGTTGGGCGAGACATCGACAAAAGTTGGGCATCTACGTTAAGGTAATGTACACATATATATGTAATGCATGTATTCCATGAAAATTCGAACCGAATAAAATAAACCTTCTAAATAAGAAAGGAATTGAAATGGGGAATAGCTCGAAGACAATATTAAGTTTATATGGTAGTGAAGTACTTGAAATTTATGTCTAAATGCCATTTAAAACGTATTAATTTATTCCAGGACTATTGCTTTGGTTGTTATTTTAATAAGAGCTGGTTCTGGATTAGATCCAAACGCATTAAAGAAAGTAAAATGGATGGCTTTAAGGTTGGCTTTTTTCCCCTGTGTTGTTGAAGCTGCGGTTGATGCTGTAATTGCCCATTTCCTGCTAGATTTCCCTTGGATGTGGGCCTTTGTAATGGGGTAAGTAATTGTTTGGTAACTCAAAATTGTAAATTGCCCCGTAGCATTGTTGTTCCCATAAAAACTTTAACCCCTACGTCAACTCAGGTTACGAGTGTCGTGTACTACGGAAAGCATGTTTAATATGGACTAGAAGATGTTCGTCCACATAATAGAGAAAAAAAGTATGAAGGATGATGTCTTGTGATTAGTTCAAGTTTTCACTTTGATATTTTCGATATGTGTACACTTAATGTTTCCATTTTATGTACATGATTCAAATTCAAATAATAAACTGGTAAATTCTGTCAGTCTACTATGAATTCTCTCAACATACGAATATTTGAGGCCCTTTAATAAAGGTTTCCACAAAATAAACAACGGAATGTTTGAGATTTCAGTTGATTTTTGTTATGAACGTACTTAATAGCAAGTGCAGGAGGACCCCGCCACACACAAACAACACAAGCACATATCACATCAAGTTAGTGTTATAGCAAATTAATTATCTTAACAGATTTGTATTTTCTGCCGTATCACCAGCTGTCGTAGTACCGAGTATGATTGGAGTACAAGAGAAGGGACTGGGAGTTGATGAAGGTATCCCTACACTTCTCATTGCTGCATGTAGTGTTAACGACGTTATCGCTATCAGTGGATTTGGTATAGTTCTTGGAATGTCTTTCTCTAATGGTACGTTTACACTTTACTCTACTGCGTCACCTTCCAATGCTGGTTTCTCTGTATGGCTGCGGCCTGCGGGAACGGGGTGGGGTGGATATATCACACACCCACACACCCTTTTTACCATATATATTGTATACGTTGTCGTAGAAATAACAATTTGGCAATGCAATATCAAATGTACGCACGGATGCAAAAATACAATAAAATATGTTTTCTAGGTGAACTTCTCAAGTGAAAAGTTGAAATCAAAACATTTACGGGGGTTTTCATTCACGCCACGCTACGCTAGGCAATATCATCGTTGTTAGGTTCAATTTTTTAAATACTAAACTCCCTCATTTCAAAATGTTGTGACCGGATTGCGGCTCGTCTGCGGACCTATAGTAATGTTACGTTCAATAGAGTTGTGGAGTTAACTCTTGGATTTACGTGTAGAGTTTGATCATTGCAGAGAACGATTGACCATTAACGAAAGATACGAAACAGTCTAATCGATTTGAGGTTCATTGAAAGGTATTTCTAACTTTTCTATTGTTTTTGTTTTCAGCTAATCTGATTTACAACATATTTCACGGTCCTCTAGAACTGGTTATTGGTGTAGCTTTTGGTGTTTTCGCTGGCCTTTTATTTTGGTTTATTCCTAATAAAAACAGTGTAAGTAAAACAAGTTTCCTTTGTTATATAAACTACTTGTGATTTTTAAGAGACCTAAATTTATTATTAATACGCCACGGGCGGATAATACAATTCTGTGTTAGATTTATTAATTGTGCGGTATCAAAACGTTTTAAAAATATACATCAATCATGAAGACAACAAATGTGTTAAAATTCAAGTTGTTCGTCAAAATATTCTTCAAATATAAAATGTACTCTCATTTGTTTACAGAAAAATTTGCTGATGTATCGTTTCATTATGGTGACTGCTTTTGGACTATTGGCTACATTTGGGTTCCGAGTTGGCGGGTTTCCTGGCGCAGGTGCCTTAGGAACATTGATCATGGCTTTTGTAGCTGGAATTGGTTGGAGGCGTCGTGGATGGACTAGTACAGATGTACGTTTTTTTACCTCCCTTACAAGAACTACGATGTATAATTATTATAATTACACGGTTCACTACCACCTTTTGAACGCTGGTAAAGATTACTCACGTTACGCCTATCAAAATTGTCATTTATACATCTAACCCTGTTAGCTGTTGGATTTTCTTACAATTGTCTTTTCATTTTCAGTATCCTATTAAAGCAGTATTAGCTAAATGTTGGAAGGTATTCCAGCCTTTGTTGTTTGGTTTGATTGGTAATGCTGTATCTATAGAAAATCTACAAAGCGGGGATATTGGTAGGTTTCTGTCTGTTTATAGATTAGTGACCATTCGTCTGAAAATTGAAACAATTTCGTAATATAATTATACCGAAAATACTTCACAAACACCGTGTGCTTGTTATGCGTTGATAAAAGTTCACGTTGCAAACTAGTCTTTTTGAGTGACAGCTGACATCACGTGCACAGAATCTATTTAAGATGTGACGTTCCACTACAAGGGTGGTTACTGTCCTGTCATCATATTGTAGCCCAATCATCGAGATCCGGCCTATAATAAGGAATCACGACATTTATTAATTGAGGTTATTTCTTTTTTAAATTTTCACATTTCATTAATATCGTTTTTCGGGCGCTACTGAGGTCACAAGGTACCAACCGTCGCTAAACTGACCAGCTAATCAAATTAATAAATCCACCCCCGTTAAAGATATGTTGCTATTCTATTTAATTTTAGGTATTGGTGTAGGTATGTTGTTTATAGGACTAGCAGCTCGTCTCGCTGTTACTTTCTTGTCGTCATTTGGTATGGATTTTAACCTGAAAGAAAAATTATTTATAACTATATCTTGGTTACCAAAAGCAACTGTACAGGTAAGCTGAGACAATAGTACTTACATAATCATTTCATGTCATTTCAGTAATTCACTTTCTTAAATTACTTCCATATTACCGGCTTAAAAATGCTTAAAATTCTCATTATCTCGGAAGACATCATTAAAATTATTATTTTTTTATCTTTTAAAGGCACAACAAGTCAAATCAATCACATATGTATATCTCAAAAGTAACAAAAAATAAATCTGTACTATTTTAATGTGAGGACTGTTGTTATTATGTAATTAAGCACAGGATAGTAGCATTACTATATTTGTCTCACAGAAATAAAGATGGCAGTGTGAAATCGATAAAAAAACCAATGCAAACTTTAAATGGTTTCAACTAATTAATTGATTTGAATAATTTTTGAGCAAAATGGATATTGATAAAAAGTAATCTTGAATTCTAAATTTAACCTTTATTCTTGCATGTTTCCAATATTTGTTAAATTATATTCTCAGGCTGCCATAGGACCCGTCGCATTAGATACAGCAAGACAGGAGAACGCTAGCGAGGATGTTATTGCTATAGCAACTAGTGTAAGTATACAATTTTGTCCCGCGTTATTTTGTCACTTCACTCATCGGAATAGTACGATTTTTTTTAAGTATGTGTTTAATATTTTGTCTCTAATTACTTTGTTGGAAATGAATGAATAAAAAAAAGACAGAGCTACAATTGTGCAAAATGATCGTTCACGTTTATACTTGAAATATTAACGAGGGTGTTCATTTGTTTTTTTTTATTACAGATATTGACTTTTGCCGTTTTGTCCATTTTAATAACGGCTCCATTGGGTGCTGCAGGTATTGGTTTAACAGCTCCGATTTTGTTGAAAAAGAGCACACGTGTGGACGTAGATGATGACATAGAAGCACTAGAATCAAAAGAATCCAAAAAAGATGACCATCAGTTAAATGGTGTGAATAATCCGGCGTTCCAAAATTCACAAAGTGACGTATCCGTCTCCGAAGTTATAACAACAAAATTTTAGAAATTGCTTTTACAGCGTTGTTGATATTCCATAGTTATTTGTGCCATCATACCTCTGTTTAGTTTTAAAAATATATGTAAATTTTATGTAAATTTGTGACAATATCAAGTCATAACTCCCCATCAAGTAATATCCGCCATAAAATACTTGAGATAAATAAAAGAGATTTGGACCATTAAATCGTGTAACGAAATTGATCGGTCTAAAAATAGATAATTGTCTGATGCCATTTCCATTGAAAAACACTAAAGATTAACAGGAAACGAGCAACGTTAAAGAGCGATCGTCGTGTAAGACCATAAATAACTAATGTAATAAAAGTGGCAGGCTATAACCTCTATCCCTGTCTTACTTTTTTAAAAAAAAATCATAAGAATTTATTGTATTATTATGAGATGATATAACATTTATTATTCATTAATCAATATGCATACACTTTCATCCTACCGGTATCCGTTGTTTAAATAAAGAGCATGCGTTTCAGTCTCACGTACCCTAACATTGGGGGGGGGGGGGATTTTAGTAGCTTTAATTTGTAAAATAAGATATGTATGCATTAGACGAAGTGGATTTTGATTTCATTTGTGTCTAAAGTATGTTTCGGGATTTATATTAACAATAAACTACAAATAAAAGTAATAATTTGCTTTCACAACAAATATTATCCAAATTAAGTTGTGAATAAACATATTAAAGAAACATTGTGGGAGATTAGATAAAGAGCTGGAAGTTCTCACTATAATAGTTAAAAACTAGATAAGGTAAAGGGAATTTGCTGAAAATTTCAGTAAAATTGATCCACTCTGAACGGAGAATTTAGAGATTGAATTTTGGCCTAGCATCGATCATCATTACTAAAGTCGGTACGATAAAAAACATAGTCTCGATCATCTAATTTTTTATTTAATAATCAATGAGCGTTGTGCAGCAGATAGGATTCTAATCCAGTAAATACCGCAGGCTAGCGATGACATCGCGAGTTGGTTATGGTCTCGATTGGTAGCGAAAAATATGTCATGATACAAAATGATATTTGGCGTTATTTTTTTGTTTTTTTGTTTTGTTTTTTTGGGGGGCGGGGGGGGGGGGGGTTGTCACAGGAGTTCAACAATTGAAATATTACATCCAAATCTGTATAATAATTACAAAACACTATAACAGGCTGTTTAAAGTCGAGAAACAAACTACAGTGTGTAAATCTATTCAATATATTCTAAAATGTAGGGTATTGACATAATGTTAGGTACGTGAGATTTAACTTAACCTATACAGTGTAGGATAAGTGAGGTTACATTATACATACTATAAAAATACTTACATCTAACGTAAAGGAGCTAAACTTATATGACTTTGGTCAAAATAAACTACTGAATTGGGTTGATCTCGGGCAGATTGCCATCCCACAAAACTAATCAAAATAGACAATTTATTTTTCTAACCAATATATATGAAATTACGGATTTCTAACGCATTTATATAAAAGTTACAGATTTTTTTTTCTTGTATTTTTATATTTTATAATGAGGGTTATTACTGAATTTGGTATTCAGTAACACAAACTATTGCGGTTCCGATGATAAGCTATCTACTGTTTTATTAAAAGAAAATATTTTGGTAAATTTGTCAGTAATATTAGTACTGTGAGTGTCTTTAGTAACCTCAAAGGTCTTTTTCCCAAAATGTTTGATACAAATGTCAAAGAGTTTATGTCCTTTGCCTTTTGTATGTGAGGATGGTTGGGCGTGATTTTATTTTATTATTTTATTTTTTATACCATGTTTTACTAACTTGACAATGACAATCGTTCTAACTGTTAACAAATTGTTTTATGTAAATAAGTTCACATTATGTATATAAGTAAAATTGTAAATAAAGAAAGTATTTACTAATGAATTCGATGTTCTAAGTACACACAGTTTCTAAAAGGTCGCGTGTTCACATTAAGATTGTTTGTACTGGGATCGGACATATTATTTCGAGAATAAGAAACAGGTCAGAGGTTGGAAATCGTCTGAAAAAATTGTTAACCGTAGCCTGCAACGCATTATAATACTCCCGAAATGAGTCTGTGCAGCAATATTGGGTACCACAATGCAATCTGTTTCAGACATGAGGGGCTTACAAGGGAAGCGTGTCTATATAGTTCTTTTTGCTGGTAGGGCAAACCGACGGTCACCCACATGGGCGCCACACCAGTTGTTTTTCGGGGGGGGGGGGGTCTAAATTTACTTGGACCCCCCCCCCCCCCCCCAAGAAAAAAATTTACATAGTAGGCCCTAACTCCTATTTATTTACAACAATATGTTGGTGTGATGTTTTAGTTTAACCCCGTAAAATATGCCAAAACAGTGTGACCCCCCCCCCCCCCCCCCCCACACACACACACACACACCCACCCTGTCGCGCTACATCCCCAATATATATTTCACGGCTACGCCCCTGGTCACCCATATTGGAGTGAACGTAAAAGAAGTCTTGCCAGTTGGAATTCCATTGCATAAAATATGTTAGTCTCAAATATTCTCTTTGAGACATTTCCGTGTGTCTATACATATATATACTACATTAATTAACATTACAGAAACACCTTTATTGTATGCACAATATTCACCAATTTTCACGCAGGCCAATCTCAAAAGCACGCCTATATAATAATGTATATCACCGAAATTGTATTTGATACGTATACTTACAGATTAATTGTACAGACCGATGTTTTATCATTTAATGTCCACTCGGCGCAAACTAGGTCATTTCGGGACTAACATATGGTTCAATTTTACTTCAATAATCCGCTTACGCAAAGGGTCTTTAGCAGTGGGAGGAAACCGGGGGAACCGGAGAAAACCCACGAGGTTGGACAGGCTACCCTAGCACTTGTCACGTACAACCGGGGAATCGAAACCGCGCCCTTGGCATATGCATGCGTCTTCCATAGGAGTTATCATGAAGCAAACTTATTTGTATAACCCTCATTTTATATCTCATGTCTGCATCATAAAATTATGATTTTCAACATTCCTATTATGTCAAATTCAATTTTTTGAGTTTGAGAGAACTAAGCTTTGGTGCATTTCACGCTACGCTAGCGCGAAATCATTATTCTTATGTCATCTTAATGATCTAGGGCAAGTTGCTCAAAACAGTTATTTTAACAATCCGTTAAACTCTTAACGGGTCGTTATCTTGCGAACGTGACGTTTGTTAACGGTCCGTTAAATTTCTGTTGCTGGATAGTCAATTTCATAATCCGTTAACTAAGCGACTTATTAAGACTGTTTGGCCATTAGCTGATTTTAAAATTTATAAATTCAATGCACATGTATAACAACTTCATATAAGTTAGTATTAACAAGAAACGGAAGAAAGGGGGGCAACTGTGAAGTCTGTACACAAAACTTGAAAACACTATAAAAAAATCTATAGAATACTAGACATTTTAGCATAAATCTGTAGGAAAAATTATAGGATTTGCACTACAGAAACTGTAGAAAGAATATTTGGGCCTGTTATTTGAACGTGCCCAATGTAACTATAAAGTAAGCACAGTAGGCCTACAACAAATAGACAACACCCGGGGGTTACGACGTTAACTCCCACTCGACATAAAGCAGGTCTTTTTGGGATGGTTCAATTTTATTTCAATAGGCCCTAATTCGCTTGAGCGTAATGTTTGGGTCATCAGCATTTGGGAGAAATCGGAGGACCCACGACGTTTGACATTCGACCCTACTCCTTGTCACGTAAGACCAACAAACGTGAGGTCGAGACCCAGCCACATGACTTAGTGACGGACCTTGTGATCTACATTGCACGCGTTTAGACCACTTGACCACCCAAACTTTTTATAAGAATCGGCCACTTAACCATTAGGGTGGTATATACACCCCCCTGCAGACGTGCCCGAAAATTGTATTGGTGGTTGGCTAGTCTCTTTGTTTCTCGTGAGAATTATTCATGCAATATTCGTTCGGGGCTACATCAACGCCAGGTTGACTAAACGTCTCCGCACAGTCCCGAAAGAGATGTCTGTACCTGTTGAAGATACCATCGGTGAGTCGGTGACAGAACAACAACGAATTCGTTACATCCAGGGTCGGATTAAATTAAAGAGGTGAGTGAGGGGGGGGGGGGGGGTGAGTAAGGTGACTGGGCTGCAGCCAGGACCAGAACTTATTCTAAAAAACTTTACACTGTTGATACAGGAGCCCCGGTGACAATTTCAGCCAGGGGCCCCATCCAAGACCAATCCGGTCTTGTTCCCGCCCGATTGTCGTCTCTGGGCGTGGTTTTCCGTAGACGCCCAGACCGTTTCTTAACTGAATATTTCTTAAAATCGTAAGCGCAGTATGCGGGACAGTTTTGATAATGCTATGTCATGTGTAAACTACTAAGTATGGCTTACTGTTGTCACTGAATAGCCCTACTTCTGTAAACCTACCGAGACCTCTTACTAACCGTCTTAGTGTAGAGACCGGTGGTCAACTGTACTAAAGTGTCACTAATTATGTAACTAGTGGCTGGCACAATCATTAATTTTTTTCGATGCAATCACTGTAGCCTTATATACGGTGGCTGATTTAGGACACGCAAAAAAAAATTTAATATCTCGGGCGCTCGAGATTGTTAAGTCGAGCGCTCGAGATAATTAACTCGGCACGATCGCGCCAGGGTAAATTAGGCAATGAACAGTTCCTACACATATGAAATATATAACCTTGGATCAGACCCGAGCTTCTAGATAAGAGGAAATGTCAGTCTCTCTTAGCAAAACTCTGTAACCTCGATATATATAATTATTGATACGTATAATAACATGCGATATACTACCCACTTGGAAGGGGGTAAATATAACTGGAAATATTTAGTGGTGGGGATGAGCATGGGATGGAGAGTGTGTGTGTGTGTGTGGGGGGGGGGGGGCGCTCTCTTACTGGGCTGTAAAAACGAACAAATGAATATCTTTATTCTGCAAGTTTATCATTAAATAATGCACAAAATTATACAGCTTAAAACATCGGTTGAGACGTGATCGATTGTATTATCTCGAGCGCTCGACTTAATATCTCGAGCGCTCGAGATATTTTTTTTTTTTGCGGGTCCTAAATCAGCCACCGTGCATATATGACAAATGGAAAGAAAACATTAATTTTACAAGGTAGTACTTTTGGTCATGATTTCACGCTGAAAAACTCTCTCGCGTTTAAGACTAAAGGGAAATAACTCTAGTCACAAACGGTGCAGACCACCAATAACTTGACCAAGTTCTCAGTATGTTCCGTATAAATTAAGAATTTGTTATTATATAAACTGTTCTTTTTTGCTATATACAATTATCATAAATATATCATTATGCTTTATTTATAATGATGATTTCAGTTTTATCTTAGTTGAGAATACAACCACAATCAAAATATGAGATATGACTTATACCTGTACTTGTTTTATGAAATGAGAAGAAAAAAAACAATTTTACACAGTTTACATAGCTATCAACCTTTTTCAGACTATACTTCTCCTTCACTGTATGATATTCAGTACAACTCAACCCCTACTCTTTAAAAATTTCCACTCTTAAACTAAACTGTAATTTAGATAAAATCACATCTCACTATTATACATCTATTACTCAACAGTCAACACTAACTTAAGCCAAAACTTCAAACAAATGTAGTATACCACATCTTTTTCTAAAAAGGCATAACTTTGACAATAATTTGAATATTTGACTGAAATTTTACATGCTCATAACAACTTAACAAATGGGCTTTGTTCATATTACCATACGAAATTGGTGTATCATAATGCAGATTTGCTTCAGCTTAAAGTAAGATCGGTTAGCAACTTAAATGCAACAATTCGTCCATTAATGTTAAAGGGCATGCATCTTCTTGCAAGACATCACTTTTGCAGCACCTTCAAGCCTGAACATAAGGCACCTGTCACAGACTCATGTCAAGTACAAATTATCACACAACATATAACATAAGACACCTGTCACAGACTGTGTCAGACACAAATTATCACCAAATGTACAGATAATATATATGTACTGTAATAATCTGTATCCAACAAAATCTATGACGAGCGCATTATGTCCAGATTTGCATTATGAAATGCGAGCATTGATCTGAACCTAGTTGGTTTGGGTAATGTCAATGTAATTAGGCCATAGATAGTCAGCACCAATTATTTATTTTTCACACGTGACCTTTTATTTGTCCTACACAGATCTTCTTGAATTTTAAACTTAAAATGCACAACATGTCTAATAACACTGTTCAGCTATAAACTCTACTGCCATTTTTGTTTTTAATACTCGAGGTACTTTATACTGATTAAAGGAAGATGAGGTATTTTTTAGGAAGAAATCTCGTAATCTATGGAAGCTGCCATCTTGAACCAGGTGTATCTGAATTGGTCCTATACTTTTTTTCTGCCTAAATGATGAATATACATAAGACTCTGAACCCAGATTTTCATCCAACTGAAATAAAGAACATAACTATATTGTTTGGCAATATGATTAGTTTCAGGTAATCATTTCAGGTAATATGACTTCTGGGGCTGAATTCAAACACAATGTTACTAATACTTACTAACTTCAACAGGTAATCATTTCAGGTAATATGACTTCTGGGGCTGAATTCAAACATAATGTTACTAATACTTACTAACTTCAACATATGCCAGTCACTTTAATTAAGGTTCAGGTCTATCTATTTCAATTTATTCATTTGAAAAACAAGTCCTTTGAACGTATTTTAATGAAATTGTTAAACTAAATTTACCTTTGTTTGTAGTTGCTGAACATTGATAGAATTAAGACAATTCTTCAATTCTAAATACACATGATAAGATGGCAATGTAGACTGATCTCCTGTTGTAAATAGTATAAAATCATAGTTAACACAAACTTTCTACAGAATAAATTACTATTCATTTTCACATCTTGCCACAAGAAAACATGAGGAAAGCCAAGAATTATCTCCACATATTTTATTTAAGGTGAGTAAGTGTACAGTTTATATACTAGTCACTGAGACAAATGAGTAGTTGCTTTAGGTGATTTTGTATAAGAACTGATAATCAATTTTCATTTATTTCAAGGTACGTTCTAAACCTGTTTCAAATTATAACATGCAAAGAACCAGAACATTTTTTTGTCAATTTCATAAAATCGTTTAAAAAATATCTAATAAACACTAACAAGTGTAACTTCCCCATCCTATTCTTCAAATAAATTTTTAAAAATGTCCTTGCCAGAGATTTAAGTCTGGAAATGAGGCACCTGTCTTAGATATTTTGAGGCACAAATTCAGGCTTTGCCAGACACAATCCCTCTGGTGCCTGTTATTTTGGCTGGCAGTGATATGTCTTTTTTCTGTGTTTTTATTGATGGTATTATTACATATCAAGCACAAAGTTAAAATTATTCAGTATTAGTTTAGTTGTGCCTGACTAAAATTGGTAATTCCAGGACTGCAGTTACTAACTAGCCGCCATCTAAGCACATGTTTAAATAAATGTAAAAGTTCTTCTTGAAGCAATAACACAAATAGTTAAAATAAAATGAATGGCATGCAGTGTGCTATGAGGGAAAGCTTGCCCTGTCAAGTGTTCTTTTACCTGACATTGTTTTTGTTGTTGTCCTATCCGAATGACTAGACGTAGTTCCTTCCTAGGCCCTCTATCCTGCATCACTGACAAGGAGAATCCACTGGAAAATCCCAAGGAACTTTATTGACCAAACACCAGGATCGATACCTGGACTTCCTGGTTAGTTAGCCAGCGCCTTACTCACTAATAGTAAGTGCAGGGGGACTGCACCACACAAAATTTACACAAAAACAAATACACGGACAAGACATCATACTCAGGAAAACACAAACAGACAGACAATTCAAAAAAAGTGTGAATGGATCCGGGGGCTAGCCGTAAGTGTCCACTGCGCTGTACAGTCTGTAGTGACACAGACTTCACTCAAATTTGAAAACAATCAGGAATACAACCCAAAGAAACCATTGTGCAATGCCAGCATGAGTCATGATCTGCTATATGCTACACGAAATACGAATGTAAGCACATGTAGTAAAATTCAACTATATAAGTAACCATATCGGTGAAATGTATAAAAAAGTTGTCTAAACCTAAATGCTCTAAAATCAATCAAGAAACGTTTCAGTATTCAATATATATAGGGCACATGTTCCATCCGTCACAAAAACAAAAACAGAACTGAATACAACTGAACGGCAACGTTATTTTGGGAATGACGTCGTATCTTAGAAGGTGATAAACCAGCGGCTGCCAGGCAGGATACGCCCACATTTTCGAGAGATGGATAGAAAACAAGTTAAAACAAAAGTGATTTTTCCTACAATCAAGGGCCATAATTCAATTCGATATGCGCAAATAGGGTCCACAAGCTAAAAACGCGATTTTTCGTACAATCAGGGGCCATAATTCAGTAAGTTACAGTCTGATATGCGCGAATATCGAAAGGAACCAAGATCTTTGGGTTATAAACTTACATTTCAAGTTTCAACAAAATCGGATAAAAACTGTGACCTCTACAGTGTTCACAAGCCAAAAACGTGATTTTTCGTACAATCAGGGGCCATAATCCATGAAGTTACGGTCCGATACCGAGATCTTAGGGTGATAAACCTATATTTCAAGTTTCATTGAAATCTGATAAAAATTGTGACCTGTAGACTGTTCACAAACAATTGTGGACGGACGGACGGACGGACGGACGGACAGGGGTGACGACAATATACGTCCACATGAAAATGTGGGCGTATAAAAAATCACAATAATAAGGGTGATAATCCAGATAAAATATAGCGACCAATCGGAATTATTAGATATTCAGATATAAGTTGAACACTGTTTATAAGTGGGATTGGTAAAGGTGTTACACAGTTTCACACAACTAAAACAGAAGAGAATGAAAAAATCTACCTTTGGTTTGATCATCAACTAACACACTTTCTGCACAACAATAGTCAACTAACTGCACATCGGACCAATGATCAATGGTTTTACATAACGCACAATAAAACAATGATTCAGATGTTTTCTCTCCTCGTACACTCAGAAACTGTCCCTGTCTAAAAAAGAAAGACAAAATGTGAAATGTAGTGAAATAAAATGGGGTTTAACATCCTACTGTTCTGCACCAACTGGGCTAATGAAGACGGGCATATGCCATAATGTGTGCTATGAGGGAAATTTTGAACTACAGCCTACTCTTATATCGAATTCCGACTGCCAAGGGATCTCCTTTGTCCAATCCGAACGACTATCCATTGTCCATTGCCAGGCCCTCTGTCCTGCACCACTGACAAGGGGAAACCAAAGCAGAAAATCCTGATGAACTTTCTCAGTCAACGCAGGGATCGAACATGGGACCGCCAGGTTAGCGAGCCAACATCTTACCCTCTGAGTCAAAGACAAAATGTACTCTCTCCAATATGTTATGAGTAGTTTGTTCTGTTTGTGTTTTTGTGTGCAGTTATCCTGAACTGATCTAGCCAGTCATGTTTACATACAAAATCTGCAACTGTTACTGTTCGGTTATAAATAATATGATATATAATGCCAATACCTGTAAAGAAATTCAATGATAGGACATTGATTGTGAAAGCCTGTAACCTTGACAACATCACCAAATCTATATCTATATAAACATGTAGCATTAGTTATAACTAATTCATAACTTTCACCTTCTTTTACCTAAAAAATACAGAAAATAATATGCATTTATGTACAGTTTCATCACTCTAACTCAATTAGAATAATCATAATAAAAGACAAAAATATCATTTTCCAAAGTCTCAACCAATCAAACTGCTTTTCACTCTGCTTTTCACTCTGATGTAATGAATTAAACACCAAGTTTCATCATCCTTATTCAATTAGAATTAAAATTAATGTGTTCCAAAGCATCAATAAATGTATTAGGTTATAAATGTATTAGGTCCAAGAAGGAAATGTTCATCATCAAACTCAGCTAAGACAATCACCTAACAAACATCTACAGCAAGGTTGAATATTTTACCTTAATTAGAAGCATCGATAAATGTATTAGGTTCAAGAAGGAAATGCTCATTATCAAACCCAGCTAAGACAATCACCTAACAAACATCTACAGCAAGGTTGAATAGTCTACCTTAATTAGAAGTAGAGTTGTAGTGTACAAATGGTCTGATAGATCAACAAACTGTCAAACTTGTATCCTTTTTCCTAAGTTTTTAATATTGTTTGATGCTGTATATAGGTTAACAAACATGAAAATATTTGGAAATGAAATGAAATGAAATGGGGTTTAACGTCCTACTGTTCTGCTCCTAACCTGGGCTAATGAAGACGGGCATACGCCACACAGTGTGCTATGAGGGAAATTTTGCTCGGGCAACGGCGCTACGGCCTACTCTTATATCGAATTCCAACTGTCAAGGGATCTTTTACATGCACGCCAATGTGTACATGGGACCTCGGTTTTTTGCCCCATCCGAACGACTACACAGCTGTCCTTGTCAGGCCCTCGATCCTGCATCACTGACAAGGGGAAACCACGCCAGAAAATCTGGATGAACTTTCTGGGCAAATGCAGGGATCGAACACCAAACCTCCAGGCTAGCAAGCCAGCGCCTTACCCACTTAGCCACGTGATCCCCAAGATATTTGGAATTTATTGATCGAGTTGAATATGTATTAACTTAACTTGGTGGTTTGTTTTTATTTTTGAGTAGCATTTTATGATGCAATACCAGTAAATCAGAACACTGATCCTGCTTCAGAAAAATATATTTTAGATTTCCACATTTCATTTTACAGTGGAATTTTACAGTAACGTCTTACCTCATGCATAAGAAAAGTTTTAGGTTGATCTTGATCACAATCACATAACGGTATAAACTCAAAAAACTGTACTGTTGGTATGAGTAAATATCGACTTGGTAACTGTTTTGGCCAAATATTCACACCTAGTAACCCTTCAGTGGCAGCATAGATAGGAGAATAAATGGGTATATCTTTCAAATAAGTCTGTCTCAGTTTACTAGCATAGAGCTCAAATGAACCAGAATCTGCTCCAATAACTAAATTACATTGTGGCCATATTCGATGAGCTAATCCAATGTTACCTTCCTGCTTTGCTTTTCTTAATTCTTCAGCCCTCTCTTTATCAGGATGCAACAATTTATTGAGTTCATTACGGATGGAGTCCTCAACATCCAGACTTTCTTTAAGTTGTCCCTTTTCAATATCACTAATAAGATCATCCCACATATTATCTAATGCAGTGAATGAATTATAGACAATTGAAGTAAAATTAGCCTCAATCATACCTAAATGTTTCTCCTTTAAGCCAAATAAAAGATGGATATACAATAACTCAGGTTCACTCACTATTTTGTAAGCAGGTATGGGCGTGGAATACATGTACAGAACACTCTTAGAATTTGAAGGGGAAGATGAATTGGGTCCAATTTTTATACCAGCTTCAGACATGCGCCATTTGATTGGATCATAAAAAAATTTGAGGTGTTTCTGAATTTGGCAAGTTTTGGGAAAGAATTCTTTCATGAAATGAAAGAGAAGTGCAATACCATCCAGGAAGAAAATTGTTTGTTGTCTTCTAACCATAGGTATGACATTACTTTTTCCTGATGTACCAGACGTCACAGCAAATATTGTTGGCTGCTTGGCTGTTAATATGTTCACTTCCCCTTTCATCATTCTATCTATATAGTTCTCATAATGGCTGTATCTTGTTAATGGATGCCGACTCAAATAGTCGGTTATGGATTTAATCTTAGAAAATTCATACTTTAATCCATATTCAGTCCTTTCAGCCAATTTTAATTGCTTTAACAGAAATGATTCTTGAACCTTTCTTACATCTTTTGTATTTTTCTCTAGTTTGTTTCTGCGATATCTTCCTAACTGAATTAAAATCCACTTGAAAAAATACATCTTAAATGCTTCTGAACTTTTCTGAGCTGAATTAATTTTTTGGGACTTGAAATCCAAGTAGAGATAGATACCAACCAAGATGATCGGTATAAACAGAACTGAAAAAAAAGAACCAATACATGTAACGTAGAAATGATATTTCTGATAACTGTTTGAATGCTATTATTTTGGCTCTGGCATCTGATCTTTTGTCCTGCTGAATTAATAAGTTGTCTTAACTAAGGTGTTTAACTAAAAAATTACACATCTATTGACGCATTGTTACGCTGTAAGCTACTTTATTATGTGCCGAATGCATAGACATATTTATAATTGTAACAAAATGCTACTAGCTGTTTCCCGCTTTCAGCTAGTGGCGCCAAACTTTGGAGTGAACTACCCAGAGACATCAGAGAGTCAGAGTAGCCTACCCAATATCAGTTTAAATCTAAACTGAAGACTCATCTGTTTAGAGAATCATATATAAATAGAACCATGCATGTACCATTGTGTAAATATGACTGTACAGCGCTTAGGAATAGCTTACAATGTAGCACTTTAAAATGAATTTATATGGAAATAGAATAATGCTAAGGAAATAGAATAATAAAAAAGATTAATCAATCAAGTCAAGTACCATTACAGAGTTTTCAGCCGATATTCTTCTGTAAAAGAAGGGTACTCCAGCCAGGTACTGTCTGTAGAAATGTCATGGGAGTGGGGACTACAGGGCAGGCCTATATATTCAGGTCATTGTCCTTCACAATTATAACCCAACAAATGAAATTTGTATGTCAGTATGGTGGATAGATGAATTTATTTGGCACAAACATATATATACAACAATGACATATATTTATGGTAAAAAATAATAATTTGTGGTCCCCTTTTGAGGCCCCTGGGTGCAACTCTGTCACACACACATACCCCTCCTGCTCGAATTTACGTACCTATAACATACATGCATGCCATTGCTGTTGCCTTTTATTTTTTGTCATAAATTAAATAAACCGTAGAACTGTAATTCATAGCATCATCTTCGTCTTAAAGTTGTTCAAGTTCGCTGGGCATTATCTAGTTCAGAGCTGAACTAGGTATTATATTTATGTTTACAAACAAAATTTATAAGAAAAGAGAACTCTTGTCATCCCAAGTCGAGATCAAATGTCTTTTTTCTTTCTGTTTTAAAATAAGTATATTCATAATGGCCGTGGATCAAACTACGTGCAACATCGGGATGATTACATCCTGGGTAAGAGAGGAGAAAATCGTTATGATACATTATATACAAAAAGAAAGGCAATCATTGTGAAAAGTCGAATACGAAAATCTAAATGTTGGTATTAACGTAGCTAAGTCTCTAACTCAATATCATCCACAATCTTCAACATTGAAAACACAAATTATTTGTCAATTTAAATCAACATTGATGCTGTGGTCTTACCGGAAAAAGATGGGCTTCTGATATCCAATATTTAAAACGACACTAAATCAGTCGTCTGGACAAAGCCTGGAGCCCCCGCAGATACCTATCATACTATACATCCCATTAGCGCACCACCATGCCACGCCCAGTTGGTCTAATTTAGCCCCGCACTGAACTCACAATGTAACAGTACCGGCCTAATAAATGCTGTGAATTCCTGTTTAGAAAATCTGATAGGCCAAAAGGTCGCTGACCTATCTAAAGGCCTCACTGATGATGATGATGATGATGAAGACAAAATAAACATTTTACCATTGGTACACGAATCGTGTACCATAATGCGTTTCATCTCCAGTTCTAGCAAGAGACTCGAGGAACGAGGCTAGACATATTGCATCAAACCAAACGGCGTATGTAGACTGGAATAACCAGGTGCTAGAAATTTGCATTCGATTGAGACTGCTGGCTTATTTCGCTGATTTGAAATGTCTGACAATTACATAGCTCTGTCAGGGGTAACCCACCACTAGAAAGTAGAAATGTCTGTTAGAGTGTTTTTGTAACACCTGAAGATGTACGGTACACTGCTGTACGATTTTCATGTGGTACACTTTGAGCTAATCTAGCCTAGTTGGGGGGCATGGCATTTTGGGCGTGGAATACCACACCCACCACCAGAAACCCGGCAGACTTACATTCTGATGATACCAGATATATATGCATTGATACCATATAGGAGAAAATTTGTACACTTTTCAGCTAGGTTAACCCCCTAGGCTCTCACTCTATACTCTTTTCTCCGGGTTATTGCACGCAAGTAATTATGAATTATGCCATTAGATACGAGGTCTGATTTTAACATAGAAGTGAGACTTCTAGAACCTAGGCTTTCAGAAGAAAACCCTATTATGCTCTATACTGATCCCTGGGTTGAGACACCCCCAGTTGCGAGCAAAGGCTTACGGGCTCGATGAATGTAAGGGGGGCAGAACCTGAATTGCTCCCCCCCCCCCCCAAATAATTGCGGGTTATACAGATGGTGGTGCCGGTCGCCTGTGAGAAGTGAAGGAGCAGAGCTTACCATGTTGTTCCCCCCCCCCCCTTAAAGATAAGACACATTTTCCTGACGCAAATCGTGATAGTGGGAATCAAGCATTAAGACGGTTGTATTATCATCTATTTATATTTAAAACCTCACTGGTTTGTGCATATAAAATTAATTATCAGATTGTTTATGTCCTTATCTTTAAGAGATAAATATTACCCTAACTGAGGTGTTAGGGTAATATTTGTCTTACACACCGACATCAATGTTAAATCCATCCTAATTGATTTCACCTATAATGGTTTAGCCCATATCGGCCCTGCGACTGAGATGACAAAATTAAGAAAACAAGTCGTAAGTTGCACGTGCATTACATTTTAGTAACCACATGTTCACAAACTGGATTTCATTTTGTGCAATGTTGTCTAATGATTCGGACGACGAACTGATGCGCGGAAGTTAGTTTGTAGAAAATATGGATGAAAACGTAGATTCTGACAAAGAATTATTTAAAGCTAGTCAAAGTGCAGAATTTATGCAGAAAATATTTAACCAGGATTTAATGTACTAGGATTGTGAGAAAGATACAAATGATACACGCTTTTCAATTTCGAGTGACAAGACGTCAGTGAATGTGCCAACATTAGTTATGGGAATAGTTTCACATTTACGGATTACGAATATAACTTATGTGGATATACTACACAATCCAGAATTTGAGTTTCCGACAAGTTCTTGATGGTCAGATGAAGAAACTAAGTAACATGGGCCTGACAAAGTTTGTCGTCCGAGTCGTTTGACTACATTGTACAATAAGTGAATAAAATGTTAAAAGAAAGAATTTGTGTCCATAAAAGTCCATAAAACTGATGTGACGTCATCAGAGGGTGATATCTGATATAGTCCCTAGGGTCGATAGCAGATATCACCCTCTGATGATGTCACATCAGGTTGATACGTTTCATAACATGCATGGGAGATCACAGGAAATAACATCTTAAGGTGTGTAAAAATGAAATAGATAATTGAGTAACGCCTTTGTTGAATAAGTATGCCAATTAATAATATATAATATAAAGAAAACGATGAGTGAATGTGTATAACATCACGAACCTCATAATACATGTATTATGAGGTTCATGATAACATCAATTATAAATAAATTCATTATTTATACATTTGAAGCATGACATATTTTAAATTTTTTAATAACAAGAAACCTTATATGAAGGGTGTATCACGTTTCGCCAGTGTCATTTTATTAAGATAAATCTATACATAAAATGATCCTGTGATGCATAGGCGTACAAGCTCGATGAATGTTGAAAATTTTATCTGCAGCAAACATGTTTTCCTGCTAGACCATCCCGTGAATACAGATACTTCAATGTTGTCCAATATAGCCTACCTTAGGTGACTACCTAAATCCCAAATCCCAAACAACCAATCAATCGTCGCGGGGGATGGGGGCCTCAGAAAAGTGGGGTGGTATTATTTGGGTTTGAGGGATTCAAAAATGGCTTCGAGGCCTGAACCGATCATTTGGAAAACTAAAATTTAAATATTGTTTTAAGAAAATGGTTTTGCATGATTTTACGCTTTTATATCAGAGGCAGATACAAGTGCAGAGGGGAGGGAGAAATACCTTCTCAACAATAAAAAACTTTTCTCGGGCTTAACAAATTACGATATTATCGTCAACAATTTATTTGTCAACTCTCTATAACCTTACAGTGCCATATTCTACATTTTATTTATCCTAATTTAGGGTTCTCGTAATTAATCGAAACAATGGGGTTGTTTTTCGGGTTTGAGGGATTTTAAATACCAGTATGCCTCAAAATGGCTTGGCACGATCTGTTGTTTTAAAAAAATTGTTTCACAATGCTCGGCTAGTCGTTTATTTACATACAATGTGCTTTTAACTCTGCTCCCAGTCTCTGAGATTGCCCCATATAGAACCAGGGCCAAAATATAATTTGACAGGCAAGGCCACGCCTCCAGTTAAATCCGGGGTGGGGGGGGGGCTGAATGGCTAAGTGTTAGCACATGCGCATTGTATCATAAGGTCTGTCATTGAGGCAGCTGGTGTGGTTTTGATTCCCCGGTTGTACGTGACAAGGAGTAGGGTCACCTGTCCAGCCTCGTGGTTTTTCTCTGGGTCCTCCGGTTTCCTCCCACTGCTAAAGACCCCTGTATACGCAAGGGAATTATTGAAGTAAAATTGAACCATTATGTTCGTCCCAAATTGACCTAGTTTGTGTTATGGAGGTTAAACACCATCTCTCTCTCTCCAATTAAATGAAGCACCATCTAAGATAAGATATTCTCCTAAGCTGAGTTTCCTTTTCCTGCCTTGCTGGAGAGCTATAGGCTGACATTTATTTGAGAATGTGTCTGAGAATATTGATATGACCCCCTAGACACTTAAGCAGGAATTCGTTTGTACACCCACTAACCAATGAACTATGCATGCACACTTCCCCCTACAGTGTTTGATATATGGGTACCTGCAGTAGCTGAGTAAGACGCTGGCTTGCTAACCAGGAGGTCTGGGGTTCGCTCTGTTGGCAGAGAAAGTTCCTCAGGATTTTCTGACATGGTTTCCCCTTGTCAGTGGTGCAGGATGAAGGGCCTGACAAGGAACAGTGTCTAGTCATTCAGATAGGAAAAAAAAACTTGAGGTCCCGTATATACATTTGTTTGCACGTAAAAGAACCCTTGACAGCTGGAATTAGAATTAAGAGTAGACTGTAGTGCGGCTGTCTGGGCAAAATTTCCCTCTTAGCACACTATTTTGCTGCCTTCATTAGCGAGTTGGTGCAGAAAAGTAGGAAGTTAAACCTCATTTCATTCAAACTGGAAAACCACCTTTTCAAGTTGCACTGCTGCTCTTAAAGTTACAATTTCATATTTTCTAAGAAAGTCAAAACATGATTATTTCTGTCTTTTGCTCAATAGGTTGTCAACTCACTATTATACGATCATAGGTGTCATTCTCTCACTTAAAACTCATTTACACCGGAAATAATAACACAATTACCTCCCTTGTTTTCTATTCTCAACCATGGAGTAGTTATCTTCAAACGTTTGAATTTGAAGATAAAAATGATATTTTTGCCAATTTCTCAACTGGCAATAGTGAATTATAGGATTATTCTTTAACAAGGTAGGACTGTTTATAGATAACATCTATTTTAAGGCTTTATTTTAATAAATTTTAAAAATATGTAATTGCAACTTTAATAATAGTAAACCAGGCAATATACGCTCATATTTTGCAAGAGATGGATAGAGAACAAGCTAAAAAAAAAGCGATTTTTCGTACAATCAGGGGCCATAATCCAGGAATTTATGGTCTGAAATGCGCGAATATCGAAGTGGACTGAGATATTTGGGACCTAAAGATATATTTTAAGTTTCATCAAAATCGGAAAAACTTCTAGAGAGTCCACAACCTTGGTATTACATTCTTTACACTATTTGCGTTATGAGGAGCGGCCATTTTGTCCAGCAGTTTTGGTACGATTTTCATGAAATTCGAACTCAACCATCAGATAAAATCTGTGACGACAAGCTAAAAACGTGATTTTTCGTACAATCAAGGGCCATAATTCAGAAGTTAAGATCCAATATGCGCAAATATTGGAAGGAACCAGATCATAAAGTTTTGATCCAATACATGCCAATATCAACAGGATCTGAGATCTTTTGGAGATAAACCTATATTTCAAGTTTCATCAAAATCCAATAAGAATTGTGACCTGTCGAATGTCCACAAACAAATTGTGGACAGACAGGGGCGAGGACAATAAAAAGGTGGGCGTATAAAAAATATATACTGGCTGCAAGGGAATTCACTTTTGGTCCACCCGGTTATATTATTTCTCATAACTATGCAAATCTGGCAAGGAAATTCTTACACCACCAAGGTAAAAGAATATACAACAGCCTTTCAGTTTTTCTCCACCACTCCTATTTTGACTCAAAAGATGAAGGATTTACCAAGCCAACATATCTTGTTATAGTTAATAACCTGGAGCAAAAACTTCACGAAAAACACATGTCTAAAATTACTATTTTAATTTTATCAACCTCATTTCAATAATATATGCATAATAGATTAATTGTGATAACAATAAACCAAATAACTGTATAATTTGCCTTTCACAATTCAATGAAACACATTATTAATTATGATAAAATAATTATGATAACAATAAACTAAATATCTATATAAACAGCTCTTGACAATGAAACACATTTGGTTTTATTCATATACCTTTAAAAAATATAATAAATATAATTAAAGATTAACAATTTTAAATATATCACGCAAGTCTTTGTGGGTTATTAGTTACATAAGTGATTTATTGTTTATTTTAGTGCAAGATTATAAAATTTGGAGGCCTTGCCACAGTATTTAATAATTTTATGTTTCCTTTTATTCTTGATCCTGTTTTGGATTTTTTTGGATATAAATTGATGAAAATTTATATCATGTAAGAAGGGATTATGAGATATGTAGCAGTGGCTACAATGTAGCCACCATCCACATGCCTTTCTAATATACCACTTACAACATTCTTTCAAAATCAAAATAAACATGATGTTTTTTGGGGTGTGTGTGAACAGAAATATTAACTTACATATTGGTTAAAAATTTAAAACTTTTACAAGTTTAATAACGAAGTCACATGTTTGACCCTCTAAACTTGCATCCTTATAAAAAGTCTACAATGAATAATTACACCAAAGTGCCAACAATTGAGCTTTCCGCTGATACCTTAACATCCATTCATTGTCTACATTAAAAAAAAGCTGCCCCATCTAAACACTGAAAGTTATGTATTTGGTAACAAAAATATTTTTTTCTGTAGTTTGGCCAGTTTGGGTTTGTGTTCCAGTGATGTATCTGTAAACTATGTACGGTATAAGCTACAAATAACAATGTAAAATAACTCTGTATGGGGTTTAACGTCCTACTGTTCTGCTTTGACTGGGATAATGAAGAAGGGCATACGCCATACAGTGTGCTATGAGGGAAATTTTACCCAGATAGTGGCATTACAGCCTGCTCTTATATCAAATTCCAACTGTCAGAGGATCTTTTATGTGCACGGTCAATTTACATGAAAAGCAATTAGGATTTCAATGAATTCATCCTTCAAACAAATTAAATACATTAAATTTTGAGCATTATCACATTTTTAAATTTCAAGTCAATCGGATGATAACTTTGGTCTGTAGAGCATGAACAAGAATATTCAAAGATGTCAAGGGCTATAATTATCAGACATCATCTTCTTCCGTCTCATGACCATAAACACTGTGTATAAATTTAAAGTCAATCGGGTGATAACTTTAGCCTCTAGAGCATCCATAACTCTGGCAGTAACCATCGGAAATTGATGAAAATTAGTAGACTTCTTCATCTCCTGATCATAAACACTGTGTGTGTATACATTTAAAGTCAATCAAATATGTACTCTAGCCTCTACATCCTCAAGATTTTTCAAAGTGATCTTGGACCATAATTCTGGCAGTAATTATCGGAAATCATTGAAAATCAATAGGATTCTTTATCTCATGACCATAAACACTGTGTATGAATATTAAGTCAATCGGATGTAAACTTTAGTCTTTAGAGCATACACAAGATTTTTCAAAGAGGTCAAGATTCATAACTCCAACAGTATTTCTCGGAAATTGTTGAAAATCAATAGGATTCTTCGTCTCATGACCTTAAAAAGTGTGTATAATTTAAACTCAATGGGGGGGGGGGGCGGAGACAATATACGCCCACGATGAAAATTGGATAATGCACAAATTTATATTCTTTACCTAGCTGATCGGAAGCAAGCAAAATATGCCAAAAATTGACCAACTAGGAAGAATTTGAATTGAAATATCAGCCTCCATCAATGGTCCATCTTTATCTTGTGTCAGATACAAAATAACAAGCATAATTTCTTCTACGTAATAAAATCTACCACCAAATTCTGTTAATTTTAGGATTTCCACTGTTATGTGTCTTTTAGCAAAATGAATTCAAGTGCAATAAGTCATATCTAGAAGTACAAATGAATTGCAATAAGTTTGATTTTATGTGTCTAGAGCATGTATTTGTGGATGGATTGACACTTTACAAATAAACATTATTATTATTATAATAATGAAACTGGATGTTAGTAAATTTTTAGGAGCAGAATAGTAGGATTTTAAACCCCATTTCATTTCACAATTTTTATGTAAAGCCAATATAAATGGGTGTTTTTAGGGATTTCATTACAATATGTAAGATTTAGATTTTGTGTAAATCTAATATATATATGGCAAATAAAAATGTTTTTAACATAGCCTGACCTAAATTGTAAAATCAGCCTTGCATAACAGACTCTTAAAGGCACAATAAATATGTACCGATACTATTTTAACATAAAGACTGAGTATAAAAAGACTTTCAATTATACTAAGCAACAAAAGAAACGTTAGGTTGATATGTTACTCTGAATAGACGCATTGCATAAAACTTGCCAAATGTTTTTATTGTATATTTGTGACCACATCTCCAACTTTACCTGAGCAATAAGGCTCCTTCCCAAACACAGAATTGAACCCAGGAAATGTTCTCAAAAACGCAACCTGACTTCTGAAATGGTAATGTGTTCTCCATGATTTTCATGTAACTCATGCTGCTGTTCACTGGGACCAGCCCTATAAAATGTACACCAATACCTGGTTGAATCATTCACACTGCAACCTCAGTAGCATGCCACGACTCACGACAGTTCAGAGGAACCAGGCGCTTGGAAGACTTGACGCTGCCCACGCCGTTGCCAATCACTTCCAGGTCAATGTTTGTACCATCTACAGGCTTCAGCAATGCTTTCGGGCCACCAACACCACAGATGATTGCCCCCGAACTGGTAGATCAGTGTGCAGAATCCCTTCACACAGGCATCTGAGACAGCACGTAAGACAGTGGGAACACACGGAAGACCCATCAGTACCGATACAGTGCGGCGACGTCTAACCGGAGAGAACATCCATTGCCTTAGACCTTACCGCAGACTGATCCTCACCCTTCGCCATCGACGTGAACGTCTACAGTTTGCCCAACAACACCAGAACTGGCGACACAGGCAATGTTCTGATCACAGATAAGAGTCGGTATTGCGTATCAACTGCAGATGGCAGGACCAGAGGCGTCAACAAGGCTAGCGTTATTCTGACCAATGTGTCATGGAACGAGACTCATGGGGAGGTCCAAGCATAATGGTTTGGGATGGAATAAGCCTGAACCAGAGAGTGGGCCCTGTGGTGTTCCAAAATCTAGGTCCAGGGAGAGGAGGCAGCATCAAAACAGTGCGCTACATCGATAGAGCTCTCAGACCCCACGTCATACCACATTTCACACGTCATCGCCTGTGCTTACACCACCAGAGTTACTCAGGACTTTCTACAGCAGAACAGTGTCAATGTTATGCACTGGCCAGCCCTTAGTCCAGACTTTAACCCAATTGAACATCTTTGGGATGAAATTCACAGGAGACTTAATAAAGTCGTATCGAGACCAAACAGAGCCAATGGATAGCGCCAGGCTTTTCTGAGAGTGTAGTTCCAGGTGCCAAAGGCGTTCAATCATCTGGTCCACTCCATGTACAGATGCTGCACTGCTGTTATTGACACTCGCAGTGGACACACCAGATACTGATGTATAGACTGTGTACAGACTCTAAACCTTCTCGTTATGTCCTGGAATTGTGATGAATTAATCACTAATGTGTCAACATACTGTTCACAAAAAATTGTTTTGATCCATTTAGTAAGTCGTTTTCTGGAATGATTTGAATAAAGTGCCTCTCTGATTTTGAAATCATACTGACGTTTTTTTTTTTTTGCTGTTTAGTATATTATTACTATGCAACTTGCATTATAAATACTTATGGATTTGATTCAGAGTAAAAATTAAAAAAAATATTAAAAATATAATCTCTACAGTGAAAGAACAGCTGTATTTTCTTGATAATGTAAAATATGTCATTTATACACCCAAAAGATTGGGTCTAAAAATATATGCATATGAACTAAATGCTCATATTTTATTTGTATATTGCATGCCCACCGAGTCAAACATAACACATAAAATAATATTCATAAAATACCATCAAGCATTAAAATTTATACACTTCTTTGATCTGAGTCAATCAAAATAGAACTGTTGATTTCATTTGAATTTAATGTTGATTTGGTTTGTAAGATAACAATTTGTCTTCAATGAAATTTTAGATCTAGCCTACAGATAATGTCAATGTTGAGATTTAACTGATTTCATTTTCACAGTCAACACAGTAAGCTAACATTAGTATACTATTAACATACCGCATAACTGTCACACCATACCAACCCATTTCAATATTTTATTTTGACATAAATCAAAGACATCTTATTTATTTAAATTCTTAAAATGTAAAATGAATACTAACAAAATATACAATTTTTATTAATACTAGTAAGCATGTTCAATTTTTTAGTAAACCAAACCAACCACCAAAATAATTATAAACCTATAAAAAATACCAATATCCTACCAACACACCTCTAATTATTTCAAAGCTGTACATTTAAAGATGGGTTCCCGCGTACAAACTGGGTGATTTAATGATATATGTGGACTAAAAACATAATCTAACTAATTAATTTGTCATAACTTTGCTTCAAATCCTTCTCAAACATTGTAATTGCGAAGGAATGTCCTGCTATAAAAATCTGACCAAACCAGGTCATGTTTACGTCACGTGACTTACCTCTCTTGGAAGTCAGAAGAGAATTCATTGCATACATAAGACGATGTTGTCTTTAATCGCTTACTATTTATTACAAATATCGAATCCTAATTAAATTCTCAGATTATCCACTACCCGCATCTTTTTCCATCATTTTTATCTCAGAAAGTGTTGTACGCTTAACTCTTCATAAAGTTTATCAACTTCGCGCGTGACATTTGACATCACGCGTGCAGAAATTCCTAATCGTCGGGCTGTTGATTAGGGGAACCCTTACATTTTTGTCCTGTATACGCTTCAGGAGTGTTTTTCGGGGAATCCAGTATTTTTCTTGTAAGATTGGAAATCCCTACTTTTCATATATACCAAAATTACCATACTTTTATTGGAAATAACCACCCGATAAATACCTTTCTGGTAACCCATCTTTAAAAGCATATTAAATAATCCTAGATTTATCTAAACATAAACAGATATTATTGAATCAATAACCTTGAGCAATTATTATTATTTAACAAATGAAATGGGTTTTAACATCTTAACTATGAAGACAGGCATACACAACAGTGGCTTTACAGCATATTATTCATCAAATTCCAGCTGTCAACGGTTCTTTGATGTACACAGGCGGACCTTGAGTTTTTGTCCTACTTGAGCAACAAAACACTATTCCCTGCCAGACTCTTTCCTGCACCTCTGATTAGGGGAACAAGACTGGAAAATCCTGAGGGACTTTCTCAGGCAAAACCAGAATCGCACTATACTAGACTCACTGAGGCACTCAAAAAAAATAAATAAATAACAAGGGCTGAGATTTTTATGATGTTTAAAGACCTTAAAACTGTGAAGCAATTAATCACTTGTCAGCTTTAAATTATTGATGTAATTGAGAGGGGGTGGGGGGGATTGATTTATCGACATTTACTCTTCCCATATTGCATAGTTATTTGTTAATCCAAAGTTTATTTTAAACCACAACTAACAACCTCAAATTAAGAAATTAACAAAAGGCAAAATATTCACACAAAACTTGGATAAATATGTATCATATAAATAACTATGTTAAAGTAGCTAATACAAATTGTGCATTTTTGGACAATATCTAATTTTTCATAACCTAATCCATGCTAAAATGTACTTCAATTGATCATTTAGGATTTAATAATGAAAATAATATTAATGGTCGATAATCTCTGGGCTTGGATTCGATCCATTTTAAAAAGAAGCCCATCGAAAGATTTTATACAACACTTTTATAGGTGACTCTGGTTCGTTTATATCATCTGCAATGGATGCTGGTTGTTGAGAAATTTTTGAATTCTTCACATCTTTGTACACTGAAATGACTTAAACGATTTTTAACTGATATTCCTTATAGAGATTCTAAGACAACATAGTTGTATGCAAGGGATTCAAAATTCCCCAAATAATGATCAGAGACATTTAGGCTATATATAAAATGTACTAGATATTTTCACCTTTAATTAATTTCTTAATTAATTCATCTTTTGTTATAAACTCTTTAAAAAATAAGTAGGGGATATTGAAATGCAAATACTTATGCGGGATGTGATATGATAAATAGTCATGGACACTTGACATACTTTGAGAGTATGTTCACAGATGAAGAACTTATCGCCCCAACAGAACCACTGAGCTGCAGGTGTGACAACCAAATAGCGCCATACACGTGGGAGGGGTTCATTGTCAAATTTGACACTTCAAGGAAGGGTTGATGAAAACTACTGCGTGCTGGTTTATCTATCCATGTTTGTTTTCCTATCGGTTCTTGCATAAGATTTACTGTTTAGCATATCTTTGCTTTAGTGTGTTATGTTTAATTTGATCGGGAGACGTGTTCATCGACGTCAACATCAACCGACAACACTGCAAGAATTGGCCGTGGCACTGCAAAGGAGTGGGTCAGATTGCCCCAAATCGTGATTGGACGGTTGATTAGGAGCATGCCACAACAAATTGCTGAATGTCTGAGGATTGGTGGAGCAATTACACATTATTAAGACAAAAATCAAAAACGTCCATTTTCATTTTTGACAGTGTATCTCTTTGTGAGTGAAATGGGGCCGTCAGATGAGCCGCCCATATGAACTGTTTATGCCCATGTGTAGGCAATTGGCCTGTTATTAACATACCATGGTTACCTCTAATAAAAACAGCAGTGCATTTCCGCAGTTTTGTATTGTTTCTGAATATCCCCTACTTTTTTTGAAGAGTATATTTAAAATCAATAAATTACATCACAACAAGCACTTATTTCATGGAATTTTCAATGAGTTTAAACAAGGATTGTCGATACTTGATCATGGTACTAACATCTTTGTATTTGAGTAAGTCAGAGAAGGAATACAAAGGCGAAGAAGATTTATCATTCAATGATTTTGACTTACTTTTAATACAAGATATCATTTCAAGGGCTTTTTGAAATGATGCGGTCATGGTATTTTCTGCAGGAAATAGTTTAATGTTCCACAGTGAACACTGACCATTAATACATGTCGTATCGAAAGTTTCAACACCCAGAGCCTGCGCAACATTTTCTAAATTTGATTTCATGAAAGGTAATGTCAAAATATTAGCAGTTGCTACAGTTTTTTTCAAGTTGTCATCAATTTGAAAGAAGATTGTAACAAATTTGGAAAATGTCTCTGAGCAGATCGCAACTGTATGTATGAATATATGAGATGGAATTTCCACCACTGATGTATTCAATTCATCAGTTGCTAGTAACTGACAGTTGCTGATAATACTATTAGTTCCAATATTTACCGGTCGATCAAACTGACAATATTCAACAACACTCTGACTTTGTATCACAGACGACTTCAACAAAGAAGAATGCATAACACAACTGTCGTTGATGGGATCCAACTTTTTTCTTTTCTTTTCTGGAGAGGCATGTGTTTCCTGCCATTTATTAAAGACAGCAGATTCTAGACACAGTTGAGATTTGAAGGAACTGTCTTGACACAAATGATGAAGATATTCATGTGTTGTACCGATGTGGTTAAACTTGGAGGCATGCATGAGAATGAGATGGAGATCGGTATTTTGTAGCACCTGAAATACTTTCAGACGACATTCTGTCAGGTTTTGCGTCACTTCACTGATATTTGCAGTGTTAGTGATGTACTTTTCATTAGCTCTTGGCCCAAGTGCTTGAAGAAAATCCCCATAGGCATCAATTTCACATGTTAAGACTCCCAGCTCTTTTTTCAAGCTGAGAAGTTTTTTGACGACATCTACCCCAAAGAAAAAACTGCTATCAGTGTACACCATTCGTCCTTCAACAGTTATGCCATCAGCAAATTCATGAACCCCTTCTTCAGTGACAACAGCCCCGGTGTCTTCCATTCTCTTGTCAGATGGTTTTTGAAGAATCTCTAAGCATTCTGCCTCCACAATGTGTTTGGATTTATTTATCTTGTCTGGATTAGCGACAACGTAAACACCATGTGTGTTTCCGATTTTCATCGTGGACGGATGAGCTAAGGCTGTAAATCCATATTCAGATACGGACCAATCAGAATCAGACCCTAAGTTATATGTCAAGATATCATCAGCGCATACAATGAAGACACCTGCTTTCATGCGTTTGACAAATGGCCAATACATAGCTAGTTTCATATCCAGCATTTGATAGACAGGTTCACCATGGGGTAAAGCTGTAAAAATCTTGCCTAAGATACTGGCATTGGGCATACGTTGACTCCATCCTCCAGCATGTATGATCATTATTTTTAACTCAAATAGTTTCTCACCATATTTCTCATGCAACAATTCCAACGCTACCAATGTAGAACCACCATTTCCTGAAATACAATGTAACTGTAAGTAAAATACAATGTAGGTAAAAACGGAGATTTACTTAAGGAAACTCTTTATATTATTTCACACAAAATTTCATTTAAAGATTTCAAAATAAATTTTGTTTCAGCTTGACCTTAAGTATATTATCTTTATCTGAATATATGTTTCTACTAATGAAAAGAAAATCGTATAAAAATGTAGCGTTGATTATTATCGTATCAACAGTTCTTGACAATCAAGACTAAATCTTTATTATCTGTTTTATTGTTAAACTCTTAAATGGCAGCAGTGTTCTTGTCTAATTAAAATCAGAGTAAATCGATGGCCCAAAGAGTTCATTATGGGCTTGTCATGTTAATAATAAATGTTTAAATAATAATTTCTATAATATTTGAAGCCAGAAAAAAGACTTACAATAGGCAGATTTAGCTCATACATAATGCATCTTTAATGATTTTCAATTGGAGTTATTACCCTTGAGCAGTTCTAAAGACCTTCTCAGGGCCAAAACTAACTTATGATTGACTGGAAATTTATACACAGTGTCTATGTTCATGAGACACAGAAGCCTGCTGTATTTCGACAGGTTTCTGAAAATTGTCCTAAACCACTGTAAATTCTACAGGCCAAAGTTACAATACGATTGCTTAAAATGGATACACAATGGTTATGTTCACAACACAAGGAAGCCTATTATTAATATTGATTTGCCCATGACAAATTTGAAAAAAAAAATTGTGAATGCTAAAGTTATCATTGGCATATTTGTGACCCATGCTGGCAAATTGAGTTGCAATGAAGAAATTTTGAAAATTGAGCTATTATTTCACATTCTTCACCTCAATATCTTCAAAATGATGTATAATTGGTATGCCATCAGGCAAAAATAGATAGTATATTTATAGACTCATTTTTGTGAAAATCTCAATTTCGATCAAAATCAATATTTTAACTTTTTTTGTCTGTAGCTTATTATTAGACTGTGCCGCATTCTGACTCATTTTGCCACACAGGTCACATATTATTCAAGCATTGTGATTCTAAAAAATATGGCTTAAATGAGACATTACTGTGATATTTGCTCACAAATTTAATTCAAATTTAATAAGACTTCTAGCTCTTCCTTGCACCAATACAAAACATGTACCAGAGTATTCTAGTTCTTCGTAAAATTGTTAAAAATCAACAGGATTGTCATCTGATCCAAATAAATACTGATTATAAATAAATTTCAAATCAATCAGATGATAACCTGTCCACAAGATTTTCTAAAGTAATCAAAGGCAATAACTCTGAAATCATTGAAAATCAATAGGCTTCATGTTCTGTGTATAAATTTCACATCAGAAATTGTTACAATAATACACTTTTGCATCCCATAAACACTGGGGGTGTATAAAAAATATGAATATGATACCCAAAGCAAAACATCATCTGCAGGTAACCAATTAAGCAATAAAACAAATATATGGTACCTATTTTAACACCTGGAGGGTCAGCTACAACAATTAAAGGTAAATCTGATGGTAATTCATTTCTAGCCCTTTTCTCTTCTATCTGAATTTCATATGCTTTTTTCTGACTTTGATCAGCTGTAGTTATGACAGCTACATCCCAAAATTCTTCTCCAGTACAATCCTTACTGTTACCTACAAAATAATAAAACAAAGTATGTTTAATGAACCAAAAGACTAAACTATACACCTCAATCTCAAAAGCAAAAAAATGTGTTCTATTTTAAAGCAGACTGGTGTCATACAATACATGTGTCTGAGAATAAAAAAAACTTCACAAAGAAAGATATGAAATGATAGAATTATTATTTATCCACCAACAAAATATACAGTAGGTGGTGTGAGATCAATGTAAACTTTAAATGGCCAAAGTTAAAATTGATAGATCGGACCAATTTTTTTTATATATAACAATTACATTTCAATTGTTTGCATTACTTTTCTACCACAGCAGTGGTATTTATTTACAGTGTTCTGGTGTTTGTGAAATAGTTTTATTTATTGTCCTCTTCCATCCTAACTTTGGCAATGCAAGTACCAGTATTTTATATATCAGAATAGAATACTCTAATCTAAACCCTACGGCCAATCATACTCTAATCTAACCCCTACGGCCAATCATACTCTAATCTAAACCCTACGGCCAATCATACTCTAATCTAAACCCTACGGCCAATCTAAACTCTAGTCAACCATACTGTAAATCTAAACCCTACAGTCAATCTAAACCCAAGTCAACTATACCGTAATTTAAACCGTACAGTCACTCACAGGCAAACAAAATCGAACCTAATTACCAACTAAGCCCTAAAGCCAAGCATACTCGGCTTCAATATAACTATGTCACATGTTTACAAAAATAATTTGACTAAATGGAAAAGTTGTTACACGCTGGATTAAGACAATATTTCAATCCTGGCTAATTCCATGCCCAATGTTCCACATTTGCACAAACACAAAATGATAAGGAGGAAGTCCAATGCATTTTTTTTACAATAGAACTATGTTGAAGTTATTTAAATTGAGTTGATATTTTATGTCTCCTCATGCTTTTACTAAAACCAAGGGGCTAAAGTTATTGGTCATTTTTAAAAAATAATTATGATTTAGCAGCATAAATTTAATTTGCTCTGTTGTAATAAAATAGAGGTAGAAAATATGAAGATAGCAGCATATTTGTTTCACATAAACTAGTAATAAACTGTGCAGTGTATATAATTACATTGAGGGTAAGTTAAGGCATCTTTTAGCTGAAAATCATAAAAAATTATTGTCCCATATAGAACTATGTTGGAATTATTTAAATTTAGTTGATATTTTATCTGTCTACTTACATGAAGCAACAAAGTGAAAATTGGATTTGGTATGTGTCCTGTCTGTCACAAATGTCCTGTCTATCACGATAGCTGCAATATTTGTGAGCCGGGATAATTGTCTTATTCACGGCTACAATTGATTCAAGGCTCTGCTCAAGTAAAATTAGGTTCAATTGCAAAATTTTCAACACATATCAAGACAGTTTGCATGGAAATAAGTAATTACATGTTACAAATAATGAAGAGTGGAATGCTGAAATCTTAATCTTATCTTACCAAACAGTTTTTCTGTATTTTCGAGGTGATGTGAATTTTTGTGCGTGTTCCAATTCTGGTTCAGCGGCCATTTTAAAATGAACACAACTTTCGCAAAGCAGTTGGGTTTAATCAAATCATATATTTATGTGGTAAGGTTTCACCTATATATCAATGGGAATTGGTTTATTATGCTATGTGTAATACAGTTTTTATGTCAGTGTAATTGGAAATTTGGGGAGTAATAGGCCAGTAACTTTTTTTGTAGTCAAATGACAAAAAAACTTGCTCAAAGGAAGGCCATAGAATGATCCACTACTGTAGCTGGTGCAAGACGGAAAACATCAGTAGTGTAAACATTTCTATCAGTCACGAAATCCCATCTACATTTGCTTTTTTGTCCCATACCTTTTGAAGAATGGACCATTAGTTCAAATGGATTCACTTGACTGATTGACCATAAGCCACATTATAAAATTTAATTCAAGGTACAAAAGTGGTGATTTATATAAATCTTGTGGCCTAAGTAAATGCTAAAAATATGTTCCATATCTACAATGTTGAGATTTAGATGTTGTTTTATAAACAATCAATGTGAGACTACTCATTGCGAGACATAGATCAATGACAGTAACTTCAAGTTAAAGAGCGTTCCCATATTATTAATTTTATTTTAGCAAATTTTAACAAATTATGAAACCAACAAATTTTTATTAAGAAAACCAAGACATATTTTAATGGAATTGTAAGCTTATTATAGTGTGTCTATAAAATAAACAAGCCAACAGTGAGGCTGATGTCCCCCGTCGAAATCCCAAAATAAATAGATGACACATATTAATTAATAGCACATTTATTTATTTCAAAAGTATCAAGCAATCAAACTGATTATCAATTGTACACTAAGTTTCATCACTCTCTATCAGATAGAATCCAAGTTATCTTGTCCCAAAGCATCGACCAATGAAATTGCTTAACTCTGCTTAGCTTTAGCTTGAAATGTTAATCACTGAACTCAGTTAAGACATTCACCTAATGAACATCTACATCAAATTTAAACATTCTACCTCAATAAAAAGAAGAGTTGTTATGTTCCAAAGTCTTGACCAATCAACTTGCTTATCGCTCCTTAGTCTAAGCAGAAAATTCTCATCATCGAACTTAGTCATGGTAATGATACAATGAATCTATACTCAACGTTTCATCACTCTCACTTAATTAAAACTTAAGTTATCAGGCCCCAAAGCATCAACCAATCAGATCGCTTATCTCTGCTTAGATATATCACTGATTGAAGGTCGTGAGTATATTTCATTTAAATTGCTAAGCACAGATAACCGATAATTCTTGTGATCTTTATAATATCGACAACCGATCTGCCAGTTTTGAACTAGATAGAGGTATAATTATGAATAGACTTAGCTATGTGAAACCTCTCTAACATTAAGGTACAATGTGTTACACATTTCTCACTTCCATAGAAAAGCATTATTGTACACAAGTAATTCAATACTTGAGCTGCCTTTTGTCATACAAACACACAATTTTAAATACCTTTATGCATTGACCCTTAAAGTGACCATGTGATTATCATAATAGATCTCCATTTACTTAAAGTTACAATTTCATATTTTCTAAGTCAAAACATAATTATTTCTATGTCTTTTGCTCACTATTATACGATCATAGGTTATCTTTCTCACACTTAAAAATCTTCACACCGGAAATAACACAATTACCTCCTTTGTTTTCCTATTCCCAACCATGTAATAGCTATCTTCAAACGTTTGAATTTTAGGTTGAAAATGATATTTTTGCCAATTTCTGGTCTCTATAGTAGGCATACAGATTTGGCATACCGGTAAGTTTACTGCTGTATTTTGTTCACGCGTCGTCCTTTGGCCAAAAATCTGATCAAATGGGCTGTTTATTAGGATATTATAAACACGAATTTATGTTTTTTAAACGTTTAGTACAGAAAGCCATCGCATAAATTTACTTATACTAATTGTTTACATCACATGCTTTGTTTGACAGCTTGCAAGTGACATGTATTTCGTCTGTTTCAATGTTTTTGTGCTTGCTGACAGCGTTTTTCAACCTAAACAGACCAAAATTATGGGCAGGTGAGACATATAATATAGTGCATTTTGGTACATAATATGGACGCGAATGACTTTTTCTTTTTTTCTTCCATTTCCTCTTGAGAATTGCTGGGCTGAAATTTGTATGGCATTACTGTAGACCCATAGAAGCATTATCTTATATTTAGATACATTGGTGTCTGACGTTGACATACTTTGGAAATTTATATATTTATGTGAATATATATACACGCCACAAGTCCATAGAAACAAATACAGACACTGTCAGCTGACTCAGCATGCACAAAAACATTCAAGCAGACGAAATATCTCTCACTTGCTGGGTGTCAAACAAACCGCGTGATGTAAACAATTCGCAATGTGGCATGAATTGGTCCACAATGTACTGTTCAGTATGAGTGAATGTACGCATCAGATTTGTGAATTAAACGTTAAAAAAACATAGTTCCATATTTACAATATCCAAATAAATGTGGAACAAAATACAGCAGCCAAATCTGTATGCTTACTATAGAGACGAGTAGTGAGTGTGTTCAACCAACTATATCACTTCTGGTTTCAGAAAAATTTCTTGTTTACAAAAACTTTTTGCTTGTTTACAGAGGGGATTTATTTATCAATATATATTTGAAATTTATGGGAACCTTGTTGTAAATCATTGGTCTTCCCCTTTAAGCTTATTCATCATTAACAAAAAGTAAATGCAACATATAAAAAAGTAAATACAGTACAAGAATTCAGTGTGCAGTAACCAGCTGTTCAATGAAATATCATCAGCATTTAAATTTAATTTGGGGACTACTTCATAAAACAACAAGAGCATCGCTAACGCTGCAATATACGTCCACATTCCAGCTTTGATTGATATGGTACTTTTTAAAATTAAGAGAATGAAATATGAAATGGCTGTAATATGATCAGAGGCAAAGAAGGCTAGGCGTTGGGGTTGTTTTGCCAAATTTACAGACAAAATACTACAAGAAAGTGGGTGTGACACTGCCCCAGGAGGTCGGGGCAAGCATCAAAATAAATAGTTGCCGTCTTTACGGTATAAGGAATAAATATGCAAAGTTCCAAGATGATCCATTCAGAATTGCAGCCTGTAGACGATAAATACAAAAAATGGGCGCGGCTCTGCCCGTATGGGGGTTGGATATGGAAACAATATAAATAGGTACCACCCTGTTATCAAAATGTCAACATCAATAGTTACCGTCCTTAGGGTATAAGGAATAGGTATACCAAGTTCCATGGCTCTGCCCTTGGGGGTTGGATATGGAAACAATATAAATAGGTACCACCCTGTTATTGAAATGACAACATCAATAGTTGCCGTCCTTAGGGTATAAGGAATAAGGATACCAAGTTCCAAGATAATCCATTCAGAATTGTGGCCTTTGGGCTCTCGAGGCAAAAATTGGCATGGCTCTGACCCTGGGGGTTGGGCAATCACCAAAAAACAACAGGGGGCATCCTTAGGGTATAAGGAATAGGTATGCAAAGTTTCAAAAGGATCTGTTAAGAATTGCGGCCTGTAGGCGACACAAAAGGCACACAAACATTGGGCGTGGCTCTGTCCCAGGGGGTCGGGCATGCACAAAAAATAATAGAGGTCAGCCTTAGGGTATAAGGAATAAGTATAAAAAAGTTTTCAAGATGATTAAGCATTGCAGGCTGTGACATACAGACACACAAAAAGAAAATGGGAGCGGCTCTGTCCCCGGGGCTTGGCATTCACCACAGGGATGTTCCTTAGGATAGAAGGAGTAAGTATGCAAAGTTTCAAGGTGATACGTTAAGAAATGCGGTCTGTAGATGACAAACAATGAATACAAGAAATGGGCGTGGCTCTGCCACTGGGGGTCGGGCATGCACCAAAAACAATAGGGATCATCCTTAGGGTATAAGGAATTCATATGAAATTTTTTCAAGACTATTAATTAAGAATTGTGACCTGTAGGCGACACACAGACACACAAAAAGAAAATGGGTGTGGCTCTGCCCCTGGGGGTTGGGCATGCACCCCAATTGATAGGGATGTTCCTTAGGGTACAAAGAAGTATGCAAAGTTTCGAGATGATAAGTTAAGAAATGCGGCCTGTAGACGACAAACAAATACAAGAAATGGGCGTGGCTCTGCCCCCTAGGGATCGGGCATGCACCAAAAACAATTGGAGGCATCCTTAGGGTATAAGGAATAAGTATGTAAAGATTCAAGATGATCTCTCAGAATTGTGGCCTGTAGGCGACACACAGACACAAAAAAAAAGAAAATGGGCATGACTCTGCCCCTAGGGGTTGGGTATGCACCCCAAAATGATAGGGATGTTCCTTAGGGTACAAAGAATAAGTATGCAAAGTTTCAAAATGGTATGTTAAGAAATGCGGTCTGCAGACGACAAACAAACAAATACAAAAAATGCACCAAAAACAATAGGGATCATCCTTAGGGTATAAGGAATAAGTATACAAAGTTTGAAGAAAATCGAGTAAGAATTGCACCCTGTAGGCGAACCACAGACAGACACACATACATACATACACAGGCAGGGGCGACGGCATAATACTTCACATTATGAATGCTCACGTATAAAAATGAAAGTCAGAAATATTTAATTCTCATTTGCATGTATTGTATAACCCGCATACGACACAGCTAAAAGCCTGATTACCTGTATTAATTACAGGTTGACATTTTTCTGTATTGAACATAAGATAGATAATAAGGAGAGATTCTCAGAACAAATTTAAAAAGATTTTGGGGTGATCCACTTGATGTGCTACCCTTATTTGGCCTTAAATAATGTTTTAGTGACTTGTCAACTGTACATGTTTCTCAGGCTATTTCAGTCAGGGAGTTACTTTAAAATTTTAATACTAACTGCATGTTACATAACATTAACATTTAATACATAACTCTATGTTACATTACAATGTAAATACTAAGTAACTGTGTGTTACATTAAAATGTAATATAGGCCTACTAACTGGTTGTTACTAGTACATTAACTGGTTATTACTTTAAATTTGTAAAGGTGTGACATTAAAATTTTATCTAAATATTAACTTATCTGGGTGTTAAATTAAAATTTCATCCAAATACATGTGTTCCTTTTTTTTAAGCATATAAATCGTTTTAAGTTATACATACCTCTTAGGACTTTATATTTTTCCAACAAACTGCACATAAAACTGGATATATCTGAATTATCCATGATGACTTCCAGGAGTAAAATGAGTTATGTACTGACTACTGTACACTTTATGTTTCTCTGTTAAATATTGTATTCATGTCACTCACTACCTGCTCTACCTTTTAAAGTAACCTATAACAAAGGCATTCAAGCATGAATGATAACAGACTAAAAGCTATAAAATAAAAAGATTGAAAGGTGACTAATGTAATGGGATAAATAATGGGATTATATAAAGATAATATCTCATTAGGTAATCAGTCTTGTTTCAGCTTGTACAGATCGTTAACTTAGATTTTATATGATCATTTGTTCAATGTTAAGACACAATCTGTTTTTCTTGATATTATTATTTCTAAACATAAAGCCAATGTTCTGGTTGACATACTTCTGATTTTGTGTTCAAACATAAAGACAATGTTCTGGTTGACATACTTCTGATTTTGTGTTCCACTGTCTAAACCACTGTAAGCTAAAAATTCAATAATGTACAGCTTGCCTCTTCACTAATGGAAATATCTTTATGTAATAATATTGGGTGGTTTATGCTAATATGCATAATAATAATAACGCAAATATAAGAATTTTATGGCTTGGACATAAACAAGTTTGATATAAGTACACCTACAGGCATGAACTATAATTTGATAAACACAACTGTTATGTGTCTCTTTCATTGTCAAAACATTATAAAAATAACAGGACATGAGAGCCAGAGTCAAGGCTAATTTTTTATTGTTTAACATACATATGAGGAGAAAATTACTGTTATGTCATAACGGTAATTAATTGCACAAATCCAGGTAACTAGAATAGTCAGATCTCCGCGTGATATATCTTTCATGACCAATGTCCATGTTGGCACCTATAAAAGGCTGAACCAGGGCTCTACTTTTAGACATCATGTAGATTCTTTAGAAATCAGGACATGCACTGGGTTCTTTAAGAGATACCGTTGAGGTTCAAGAGACACTATCTGGATTCAGTAAATCCTATTGATTTGTAGGAGAGCCATACGATGCTGTGTGTTCCGTCAGTAAAGTCACTCTGCGAGTTATTGGGGTTGAAAAATTGACTTTTATATAAAATAAATAATTACTATTATATTTTATTTCTTATTTTATTCCAACATATAATTTTTATGTATGTACAGCAAACAGAACTATGAATAGATTTTGAAGTGGAATGAGTCAGCTGTACACAATGTTACGACTTGTAAGCATGTACTGTGTGTGATTTTAAAAGCCATTTAAATCAGAAATTACTATTTGCAAAATATCAAGTTTTTAGAGCATGTGACACGTAAAAAGTCATCTATCAAATAATTTTAGTCAGATGTTGTGGAATTGTTATAACTTCTTTTATATAGTCATTATTGGTGTTTTTCAAGCATGGTAATAGTATGACCTGTCATGAAGTGGGTACCAATGAAAAACCAGTGGTTGCCAGGCAAGATACGCCCAAATTTTGCAAGAGATGAATAGAGAACAAGCTGAAAAAAAAGAAGAGATTTTTTGTACAATCATGGCCATAATCCAGAAAGATATGGTCTAAATTGCACAAATATCAAAAGAGGGAACGAAATGGGGTTTAAAGTCCAATCGATATAAACTAGGTCATTTCGGGACTAACATATTAATTTTATTTCAATAATTCGCTTGCGCGTAGGGGTCTTTAGCAGTGGGAGGAAACCGGCGAACCTTTAGAAAACCTGCGAGGTTGGACAGGCGACTCTACTCCTTGTCACGTACAACTGGGGAATCGAAACCACACCCTGCAAGTGCTAAACATTCGGCCATCCAACCCCCCAAATATCAAAAGGGACTGAGATTTTGGGGACATAAACATAATATATTTTAAGTTTCATCAAAATCAAATAAAAATTGTGACCTCTAGAGGGTCCACAACCTTCAAGTTAAGTACTTTTTTTTATACAATTTGCGTACATAATTCAGGAAGTTACGTTCGAATATGCGCCATTATGGAAAGGAATCAAGATCTTTGTGATATAAACATAAAGTTTCATCGAAACTGGATAAAAATTGTGGCCTCAAGAGGGTCCACAAGCTTGATATACCATATTTTTACACTACTTGGGTAAACGGGGCGGTCATTTTGTCAGTCAGTTTTGGTCTGATTTTTACGAATTTCGAAGTCAACCATCATTAGGGTGTAACGTTGATATATTCACATGGTTTTTTAAATCAGACAAAACTTGTGCCCTTTAGATTTTTTCGCACAATCAAGTGCCATAATTCAGGAAGTTACAATCCAATATGTACGAATATCGAAAGGAACCAAGATCTTTGGGTTATAAACATGTATTTTAAGTTTCATCAAATTCGGATCAAAATTGTGACCTCTAGAGGGTCCACAGCCTTGATGTACCATATGTTTATACCGTTTGCGTACATGGGGTGGCCATTTTGTCCGGCAGTTTTGGTCAGATTTTGGTTCGAACTCAACCATCATTACGATGTAATGGTGATATATTCAGACGTTTTTTTATTAAATCGGATAATAATTGTGACCTCTAGAGGGACCACAAACAAATTGTGGACGGACGGACAGGGGCTACGGCTACACTGATCAGCAGTTAATTGTCGCTAGGCCGCTACAATCACTGATAAGGATGACATCGATGCGACTTAATGAGTCACAAATATTAACTTCTTTCTTCCATCAAATTAGATTCTAAAACATTTTTTTCATTTATTAGAAAATTAAATAAAGACGTTTGAATTGTTCGTAAGTAAAAATCATTTCCTATTTAGTGTATATGGGTATTAAAATCAGTAAAATTCACCATTTACCCTGAATCAGTAACGTCTTATGTAAACAATGCACGCGCTATTGAGCCAATGATTGTTATTCCAGTCTACACCGATAGTATTTATTGCACACGCTCTCCAGATAAGATTATGGCGTTGTTGTTTGACATGACTCGTCAAATATATCTAGCCTCCTTCTTTAAGTCCCTTGTTACAAATGGTGCTGAAATGCATTATGATACACGATTTGTGTAAAATGTTTATTTTGTCTTAAATATTGGATATCAGAAGCTCATCTTATCCCGGTGAGATCACAACATCAATTTTGATTTAAAAGTTTTTAGTACGTCCTTGTAGTTAGGGATCTCTAGGTTAGTGAGCTAAGCAACGTCTTACTGGTATCCAGACCAGTCGGACCAACCCAGAAGACTACTCGGACCAAACCATAAGACCACTCGGTCAAATTAATTCATATTATAAGGCTTGACTTATTCATTTTAAAAATAAATACAGACAATATGTTATTTATTATTAAATCACAATACAAAGGGGCGAATAGAGGTGCATTACAGGTAAGTACATATTAGCAAATAGTCATCTTTATTACATCAACAATTTAATTGTTTTTCTTTGATGTGCTTCATCAATTTGATTAGCTTGTAACACGGTAGAAATGGTCCCACTACTGATGTCTTCCGTCTTGCTCGAAAATTCAGAATAACTGTTTGGCAAGAGAAGATTAAGATTTCAGTATTCCACTCTTCACTATTTGTAACATAATTATTTATTTCCATGCAACTGTAGTCGTGAATAAGAATTATCACGGCTACAAATAGTGCAGCTAGTAACACGGGTGAGTGCAGATGCATACGAATTAATCACTACACAATTAAAACAATACTTTATTATTGGAACAAACACTATTATTAATTTATTAAAATAACACTTTATTATTGGTCTGAGTGGTCTTTTTATTTGGTCCGAGTAGTCTTTTTGTGGTCCGAGTGATCTATCGCTTGGTCCGAGTGGTCTTTGGTCCAAGTGGTCATGGATTCGTCTTACTCAATGTGCCACACGTAAACAAATTGACTCATGGTATGTATAAGGTTGGTTACAAGGTTGGAAAAGAAATGGGAAAAAAAGTTGGCAGACAAACCAACAAATATGATGGCCATATACAATCACTTGATACAAATACAATTCTCTGTAAATAATGACCCCACCCCCTCATGTGCCCTTGAATTGAGGAGATTATGGGTACCGGTATGTGTTTGAAAATTAGCAAAATCTCCAAGTAAATCGAAACTAAAGATAAATACAGAATTTGATAAATAAAGATTACCAAATTCGTAATTTTCGACCTATTTGATAGTATTTCATTTGGTTTCCTGATCTGCCGGGACATCGCCTACGCTTCCCAATGTTTTGCTTGACAACATAATCGATAATCATTTGATTATGAACATTTGACACATATTAATACAGGTCCTAGTGTATGGAAGGATACAATTCAAATAACACTACAGTCAAATATAAACAAATGCTCTACAATTTCATTTACCATCCGATCAGTCTGGAAAACGCAGACCTATTGATTGTCTTACGTTACTTCAAAGTGCAAAAAAAAAAAGCAATACAGGTACTCGCTGATTGGTTTACTGTATCGACGAGACACACTGTACATCCGGTCTGTAACGTCTGAAATATGGACAAGGACTTAGCTATCATCTTTTATTTTTTTACTAATCGGTTTTCGGCCGGATTATCGAACGATCATTTGGAAGAATAAAATGTAAATGCTAATTTAGCAAAAATGTCTTTCATATACAAGCCATACTTGATCATTAAGGACACACATTTTGTGCTACTGAGTATATTTATATCAAATGTTATAAATTCCAGAATGTACACAACATATCCTTTCTTATATAAAATGAAATGAAATGAAATGAAATGGGGTTTAACGTCCTACTCTTCTGCACCTAACCTGGGCTAATTGAAGACGGGCATACGCCATACAGTGTGCTATGAGGGAAATTTTGCCAGGGCAGCGGCGCTACGGCCTACTCTTATATCGAATTCCAACTGCCAAGGGATCTTTTACGTGCACGCCAATGTGTACACGGGACCTCGGTTTTTCGTCCCGTCCGAACGACTAGACAGCTGTCCTTGTCAGGCCCTCCTTTCTGCATCTCTGACAAGGGGAAACCACGCCGTAAAATCGAGATGAACTTTCTCGGCCAATGCAGGGATCGAACACCCGACCTTCAGGCTAGCGAGCCAGCGCCATACCCACTTAGCCACGTGATCCCCTATATAAAATCAACTTGATTGTATTCTAACTGCTTTGATATAATAAACGTATGCAACAGACACCAAGGTATAAATGTTTTATGAAGAATAGTTAACTCCTTTACAGGTATAAAAACCTGACAAATTGATTGTCTATTTCTCGAAAATGATTGAAATTAGAAATCATTGATTTTCACCGTATACCGTACATAAAGATTCGAATAAATATTTTAAAACATTAACAAATTATATGACTTGTCCGAACAAATTCTCGCCATGAGTCATAGTACACTGAGTGCTGTATGCCCACCATCCTCAATCTGTTTCACAGAGAATTACGAGTCTAGTAATATCTCTGTCAAAGATGACTGCCTTAACACATGCCGTCACAGCACGCGGCGTCAATCATTGGCTGAATGGCGCGTGCATTGTTTACATAAGACGTCACTGCTTCGGGCGGAATTCTGCCTTTTAGTCATTTTAATACCCATTTACACTAAATAGGAAATTATTTTTACCTACAAATACGTCAAACGCCTTAATTTATTTTTCAATACATAAAAAAAAAATGTTTTAGAATTTAATTTGTCGCAGGAAAAAAAGTTAATATTTCTGGCTCATTAAGTCGCATCGATATCATCCTTATCAGTGATTGTAGCGGCCTAGCGAAAATTCACTGCTGATCAGTGTACACCATCCTTAGTCCGGTTGGTTCAGAAAAGTAGGACGTTGAACCCCATTGCACTTCATTTTATTGCTTAGTTTATAAGGATCTTCTTGTTTTTTTGGGCACCAACGTACTCGCTCGAGCATAAAGACGGCGACAAAGTTTCAAAAATCAAAACATTGAAATTGTGGACCATTTTGACCTGATACTGGCAAAATCAGAAACTGTAATATTTCCCCAAAGTCGGATAGCAACTTTTTGACTCACCAATTACCAATTTGGAAGAATATGTAGGTAATAGAACAATATAAAAATAGGGTCGGGCGAATTACAATTTAAAATGTTATTTTAGAATATGAACTTGAGAAATACCAATGAAATCAAATTGTATACATACCATTGACAAGGGGAAACCACGTCGGAAAATTCCGATGAACTTTCTCGGCATAGCAAAGATCGGACACGCTACCTCCAGGCTAGCGAGACAGCGTCTTACCCACTTAGACCAAGAAATCACCTATATACGAATCGAGAATAGAGATGCATATAGTATAATTAACGTTTTCTATAATAATTCCCTACTAATTGGGACTGAACCAATTTTGTGGGGTATTTTCTAGCAATAAAGGGATGAGATTCGTACTAATTCGCGTCCATTTGCCGCAAATCGAAATATTGCAAAATCACATTCTAATAATACAGAAGCAAGTTTCAGTTTCTTCTAGAACTTGTCTGCGATATCACTATTGTGAAAGTAAACGTTAAACAACCGGGATACTGCTACAATCTTCGTGATACTATGTCCCGGAAGATTTCCAGATGCAAGCATTTTGACGTGTAATAGTTTGTTTTAATTCTCGGTCTTCGAAGAATCAGTTTATTATTACTTGTTTAAAGGTGATATCGCAAACAATTACATGTTATATACTGTTCAAAAAAAGTAGAGGATATTCAGAAACAATACAAAACTGCGGAAATGTACTGCTGTTTTATTAGAGGTAACCAGTGTATGTTAATAACAGGTCAATTGCCTACACATGAACATAAACAGTTCATATGGGTGGCTTATCTGACGGCATCGTTTCACTCGCAAAGAGATACACCGTCAAAGGTGAAAATGGACGTTTTTGATTTTTGTATTAATAATGAATAATTGCTCCACCAATCCTCAGACATTCAGCAATTCGTCGTGGCATGCTCCTAATCAACCGTCCAATCACGATTTGGGGCAATCTGGCCCACTCCTCTTGCAGTGCCACGGCCAATTCTTGCAGTGTTGTCGGTTGACGTTGACGTCGATGAACACGTCTCCCGATCAAATTAAACGTAACACACTAAAGCAAAGATACGCTAAACAGTAAATCTTATGCAAGAACCGATAGCAAAACAAAAATTGATAGATAAACCAGCACGCGGCAGTTTTCATCAACCCTTCCTTGAAGTGTCAAATTTGACAATGAACCCCTCCCACGTGTATGGCGCTATTGCGTGTCGCATGTGCAGCTCAGTGGTTCTGTTGGGGCGGTAAGTTCTTCATCTGTGAACATACTCTTAAAGAATGTCAAATGTCCATGACTATTGACTATTTATCATATCACAACCTGCATAAGTATTTGCATTTCAATATTCCCTACTTTTTTTGAAGAGTATATATACATAGTGAGATTATTTACAATGTTATAGCGAAAAGGGATTAAATGGATAATTAAATATTTATGAACAGAAAACAATGAATGACGGGACGAAACGTTATATAACGAGTGCGAAATAAAGAAGTGTGAATAGAGACAATCATAGACATTTTGCAGACAGACAGCAAGGTACACGGTGCTAAGCCTGTAATATAGGGATTATACCTAATCTAAGATAGTTGTTTTCGTTAATTTATAACCTTCAGTGTACCCTTTCGATGTTTAATTTTTTATTAGCCTTGTGGTGATCTTGTCAGTTTAAACACCTGCAGATGTACATTACATAGCTGCAGAGTAAATGGAGCCGTTGGCCACATCCATATTCGTTCGTTCGTTCGTTCCTGGGATTTAACGTCCTCTTCCACCTAGGGTGATATCGCAGACAAGTGTTTCCTAATACCCCCGTCAGTGGCGTCGTGCCCATTGGGCCTCTGTAGGCCTGCCCCCCACCCCCAACCCGTCAGATCGGGGTGGCGCCCTTACTGTGCTGCTACGGCGACGGAAAATGGGTCTCAGAGCGCGTCAAGATCGCCATAAGTGTGGTAAAAGCGTGCTGGACACGTCAGATATCGCCCTGTGGTCTCCACGGTTGCAAATGATCGCCGAGTCACGGCGTTAATTTTAAGCATGTTCAAAACAAACGCCAGGGTTCTGGGATCTGACATGGAAATCTGTGAGAATGCGGCTTTTTTCAAGTTTTTAATTTTTGGGGACAGTTTCTCGCGTTTGCCGGCGACCTTGTCCATTTTCTGATCGCCGTGCGGCCTCTGCCTGCAGCGCTGTAAGGACGCCACCCCGGTCTGACGGGGGCATTAGAAACTTGCCAGAAGAAGCAACAAAAAATAGGCTTCGCCCAGAAATTCATCCAAAGGAGAAAGCTCCGGGTATTAGAAATAACACATCCATATTCATTATACAATTTATATTCTCTATAAGTATAACCCTATACACAATAAACTTTACACCTTCATTACACATATCCTCTTTAATATACTTCATATTACACAGCTACTTAATCTACCCCGTCTAATGTATTTTATATCAACATTAATTTACATAGATTCTCTAAAATACTTTATATCACCTCTAAAATAGTTTATATCAACTCTAAAATACTTTATATCACATCTAATATACTTGATATCACATCTAATACTCATAGATTCTATACTTTATATCAACCTCTACTACACAAACATTCTCTAAAATAAAAATACTTTATATCACATCTAAATACTTTATATCACATCTAATACACATAACTTATCTAATATTATACCTTATATAAAATATACATTACACCTCCAATTTACATCGGAGCGGCGTCGGCTCGGTGAGCAAGACACTGGATCGCTAACCAGGAGGTCTAGGATTCGCTCCCGGTGTTTGCCCAGACATTTCCTCGGGATTTCCAGGATTTTGTCTAGTCCTTCGGGTGGGACAAAAAACTGAGAGTTGGAATTCGAAATAAATGTCGTAAGTAGTGCCGCTGTACGGGCAAAATGTCTCATAACACAATTCATGGCGTGAGGCGCCTATATTAGCCAAGTAGGTGCAGAATAGTAGCACGTTAAACCCCGTTTCATTTTCTTAGGTATAGATATATATTTAACAATATTACAATATACATTACACCTCTAATACACACAGGCTCTAATATACTTTATATCTCTAATACACACGATATAGACCCTCGATATACATTACACCTCTAATACACAAAGACTCTAATATACTTTATATCTCTAATACACACGATATATTCTTTATTGTATGACATTTACATTTAATTGCGATGAACTGATTATTGTTGAATTATTTTATGTATTTAGGTAGGCTTATGGAAAATTATACTATTAAATTAATACTACCGTATTTTCTATGCCCTATAGTATAGCAGGGAAGAGTTTCGCAAAACTTCTTTACAGAAATGGTTCAAAGAATCATAGTCAGTCTGGCAAATGAATATAATGTAAAGTGCATTTACTCTTTTTGAAAACCTGCGTTGTACCCCGATCTCACCAATACTTCACTACACGTTACACGGGTTGCAAACAAACTTTCAATCAGTGAGATTCGCAAGAGTTAGCTCCCCTAAAAACATTCGAGAAGATAAATATGAAGTCCTAGCTGAATGTATATCATGTCTGATAACATCCAGATTACCTTTAGATGACAACAAAGTATGACTTCGCCTAGTTTATGTAGGTTAAGAAATTTTTTGATAAGAGTGAATACCAGTATATCGAGTAGTTGTCACCAAAACACAAGGAAAATGAGCAGTGTAAAGCCGTCAGTCTATGTGACTCGCAGAGTTCCATTACCAGGCAAGGAAATATTAGCATCAGAGTGTAATGTAACACAATGGGATCAAGACGACCCAGTACCAAGAGACGAACTGTTACGGCAAGTGAAAGGAAAAGATGGTATATTTTGTCTTCTCACCGAGAAAATAGATGAAGAATTAATTTTAGCTGCAGGTAGTAACCGGTACTATAAAAATAATGTTATCGAATCTTTGCACCATGTTAAATTGAATATCTGAAGTTTCAATATAGTTTTAACCCCCAAAGAATGTAAAGAAGAAGTAGCCTAATCCAAGGTCAAATTTAGATTAGCATACCTGATACACGAACATAACATTATTTAATCATTGTCGACCTAATCAAAATATAATAGATAATACCATGGACATTTTAATACATGTCCATGATAATACCACCACAGATCCTGGCTATTATAAGATCCATTATAGTAATACCTACAAGAATGGACTTTTGATGCATATGATCTTATTTTAAAGATATTTTAACAAGATATTTAGATTAGTGTGTTCATATAATTAATATGGTCACAATTTGGCTCCACTCTATGTAGGTGTGTGTGAAATATCTTTATTTAAAGCTGAACTCCGGTTACAAAAATACCGAAATAACTAAATAAAAAAAAGTTAACGCCCCCAAGCACCATACTTGTTTCCAACTTATGAAATAAATATGACGGACATGGAGGCTTATGACCTGGAAAGGTTAGCCGATCTCACTTCCAGTTTGTTTCTTGTCAGCCAGCTGTACACATCCGGTTTTATTCTCTACACACGCTTCACCGATTGCTCTGTATTTTCCCAACAGTATACCCAATTTTTGAAGATTGCAAAGTGTCTGATCAGGTAAGCCTGTAAATAATTATATGAACTGTGTCTACTACAATACAGCCTAAGCTTTACTCTAAAACAAAAGATGCAAAAAGATCGCTTACCCCAACCTGAAATGTTCAACCAAAACAAGTCACCTACACACACTATTGTCTTCTTCATATTATTATTATTATTATTGCCACATAATCTTGTGAATATCTTACACATATATATATATGCATCAAAAGTTATCAAACTCGTTACTCATCTTGTCTTTTGCCTACACAATGAACCTGACCTGGACAAGAGGTAACGAAACATGGTGTCAGAAGTAATGTGAACATTTTGGACTAGTGTATACTATAAACGCAATGTTGGTATGTAGTTACTGAATCTTAGAACGGGTGGAACGGCAAGGCTGGGTGACCGCATGGAAGAAACCAGTTTGATCCGGATTGCCTACCACGTTTTTCTGGATGCTTCTCTGCGCATCAGGAATTGTCAACAAACAACTCTTCATCTCTGAGAAGTTTGGATTCGTCTCAGCGAATTTAGTCAAGAATCATCTCAGTGATTTTACTCTCTACTACTAGAACGTCTCAGCGTTTGTAAAGGTTTGATATCGTCTCTTTGATTGACCTGCTGTCAACGATTGTCTCTGCATCGTTAAAACCCAGTTGACATTTTGATCAAATCATCTCTGTGATTTAAAGGGCCTTCAACGATTGTCTCGGCATCGTGAAACTGAAATAAATCATCTCTGTGATTTTACTAGACTCTAGTACGTCTGTCTCTGCAATGTATAATGTAAGGCCTACTCTAGTACATTGTTGGCGTCTGTTTACAATGATGGAACTTATAGTAAAGTAACTCGACTATGAAGATTATTGTGTGTTTTAGTATACTGCTAACAGTCCTACTTCTTCTTTCTGTGGTATTCTGTAAAGAAAATCTAAATACTTCAAGCATGGCTGAAGGTGATAGAAACTATCCTGTGCTGCACATACCGTTCAACTTACCTTTTCCCTCTAAACTTGACTTGAGTGGAAATCTGGCTTCTAACTGGAGAACTTTTAAACGTGTATGGACTAACTATGAAATAGCCAGTGGCCAGAATCAGAAGGAAATGAGTCAACATACTGCTACCCTCCTCATCTGCTTAGGACCAGAAGCCCTCAACATCTACGATGGTTTGACTTTTGATGATGATAATCAAAGAAATAACGTAGATTCTGACAATGTTGATACATATGTCACTGTGCTACGCTCTCTAGCAAAAACTTGTAACTATGGTGCCCTGGAAGACAGTCTTATTCGTGATAGAATAGTTCTTGGAATAAGAGACAATCACACTCGTAAGAAACTTTTGCAAACTGCTAACTTAATGTTACGTGCCTGTATCGATATTTGCAGAGTGAGTGAGACTACAGCTGTTCAAGTGAAAAACATGGCTGGTGTTGAAGAAATAAAATATGTTAGTAAATCATCGCGTGATGAGAAAGTAAACAGAAGAACTGCAAGAGCTCCTCCTTCTCTACAGTCAAGTTCTCCTAGAATAGATTGTAAATTCTGTACTGCTCAACATCCTATGAGAAAAGAGTTTTGTCCTGCATGGGGAAAGTCTTGTGGTGTTTGTAAGAAACTTAATCATTTTGCTGCTAAATGCCCAAACAAGTCATTGAAGAGTCGCGGTTTTAAGAAAATGCCCAAGTATAACGTTAACTTCGTTGAAGGATCTGATTCGTCTGATGGTTGTGTTATGATGATTGACTCTGAAAACTCTGTCGAAAATTCATCAAGAAGTGGTGAGAATTCTGCTTACCCGAAGAGGATCAATGCTGTTATGAAAGTTGCTGATGAACTGGTAGAATTTCAGCTTGACAGTGGATCAACCATTAATATACTTCCTCTCAAAGTATATGATAAACATTGTAGTAACTCTACACTTACACCTACAACAACGACTCTGTATATGTATAATCATTCGAAGGAAACTCCTATTGGTAAGAGCTCTGTAAAAAACTTACCAACCCAAGAATGGATACAGCTACATTTTAGATTTCCTGATAGTTGATGCTGATGTAAAGCCTATACTAGGTTTGTGTGCTATACAGCGAATGGAACTGATAACAGTAAATTTTGAAAATTTTGAAGTCAATTCTACTTATAAAGTTGATGAACACTTACCTGTCTTAACTCTAGAAACCGTTCATGCCGAATTCAAAGATGTGTTTACAGGTGATAGTTGTTTTGATGGTAAACTTAGCCTTGAGTTAGATAAAGAAATTAAGCCTGTACAGATTCCGACTCGGAAAGTTCCTGTAGCTCTGAAATCACAGGTCAAGCATGAGTTAGATAGACTTACTCAACGAGGCATAATTGAATCAGTTTGTACCCCTACTGATTGGATCTCATCAATAGTAGTCGTTGCTAAACCAAATGGAAAACTTCGCCTTTGTATAGACCCCAAACCACTCAATGTAGCCTTAAAGGCTCAATACCACTCTTGTTGTAACTGAATAATATGTCCCAATCTTTATTCTGGTCAACAAATTGTACTATTTTAGAATATTTCAATTAATTGATGATACAAATTTCATCTTAACACACCTTATTTAAAAATTTTGAAAAATTCATCATAATGGTTTGAAACGTCTAACGTAAACCTTTTCAAATGAAACTTCGATTTAAAAATATTTTCGAGCCCTCTGGACAAGTAAACTAGGATGTGATGGATAATTTACACAACAGGTAGGACACTTAAACATCTAATACTTAGAGATATTATTTATTTTCTGGAGCTTTCAAGCCAGCAAGAGTGTTATTGTCCCTTTAAAGAGGAATCATTATCCTACACCGACTATTGATGACCTGCTCCCAGAGTTGTCTAAAGCTAGAATTTTCTTGGTGGTAGATGCTAAGAATGGTTTTTGGCATGTTGTATTGGACAAGGAAAGTAGTTACCTAACCACTTTTAGTACTCCTTGGGGAAGATTCCGATGGAAACGTCTCCCATTCGGAATATCTGTAGCTCCTGAAGAATTTCAGCGAAGAGTTGATCTTGCTCTAGAAGATCTACGAGGTGTTAAAGCAATACATGACGACATCCTCTTTTATGGTACTAGAAACTCTGATGAAGAAGCCTTTAGAGATCATGATCGTAACTTTATTGCATTGATGAAACGATGTCAACTTAAAGGTTTGAAGATAAATAAAGCCAAAGTGAAGTTTCATGTGGATGAAGTAACTTATATGGGTCACGTGATTACTTCTCACGGTCTGAAAGTGGATCCTGCTAAAGTAAAAGCAATCATAAATATGCCTCAACCGTCTAATAAAGCTGCAGTTCAGCTTTTTTGGGGTATGGTAAACTATGTTCAAAAGTTTGTGCCTACTGTGTCACAAATCACTACTCCTCTTCGAGATCTGCTGAAGAAGGAAACTCTGTTCCATTGGGATGACCAAGTTCACGGCAGATCCTTTGAAACTCTCAAAAGGATTCTCTCCGAGGCTCCCGTGTTAAGCTACTTTGACACAACTAAATCAACTGTGCTCCAATGTGATGCCTCAGAATTGGGGTTAGACGCTTGTCTCCTGCAAGATGGACACCTGATCGTGTATACTTCTCGTTCTCTGACTTCAACTGAGATACACTATGCTCAGATCGAGACAGAACTACTTGCTGTCATGTTTGGATTAGAATGTTTTGAACATTATGTCTATGGACGTAAAGTACATGTTGACTCTGACCACAAGCCTCTAGAAATCATTACTAAGAAGAGTCTACTTAGTGCTCCTAAACGTTAACAACAAATGCTCTTACGTCTTCAACGATTTGACTATGTTATTAACTATAAGCGTGGTTCAGAAATGTACATAGCTGACATGTTAAGTAGAGCATACTTACCCCATACTAAGCAGACAGAAATCAACGCATTTATTCTAGCTGTTGATACCAGATCGTCTATAGAACAGATTAATATGTTACATCATTTACCTGTTACTGAGGAATCCTTGAGAAGAATTAAACAGTCTACTGAATCTGATGTTACTCTTACTAAGTTGAAAGAACTTATTCTTACTGGTTGGCCAGACAAGAAAGACAGTTTGCCTGCCGTTGTTCAGTTGTACTATACAATTAGAGATGAATTGTCGGTGCAAAATGGTGTTCTATTCAAAGCTGATTTTCTCTTCGAGATAATGCAACATCTAGGATACATTCCAGTCATATTGGTATCCAAGGATGTTTAAGACGTGCTCATGAAAGCGTCTATTGGCCTAATATGAATCGTGATATAGAGACATACATTAAAAAGTGTGACGTTTGTAACACTTTTTAACCTGATCAACAGAAAGAACCTATGATTAGTCATCAAATTCCTTCCCGACCATGGCAATTTGTGGGAACAGATTTGTTTGAGTTCAATGAGAAGCCCTACCTCATTACTGTGGACTATTTTTCTAACTACTTTGAGGTTGATCATCTAAAAGATAAAACAGCCAAAACAGTCATACCTAAGATGAAAGCTCACTTTGCGCGGCATGGTTTGCCTGAGCGTGTGATATCTGATAATGGACCTCCTTACAATAGTGCTGATTTTGTAAGATTCTCTAAAGAATATGAGTTTGATCATATAACCAGCTCTCCTACCTCTCCTAAGTCCAACGGAAAATCTGAAAATGCTGTGAAGACTGCAAAACAGATCATGCGTAAAGCCCTTGAAGATAAAGCTGATGCTTACCTAGCACTCTTAGATTGGAGAAACACACCTAGTGAAGGTTTGAAATCGTCTCCCTGTCAACGTTTATTTGGACGTCGTTGTAGAACACTTCTTCCAACCTGTACTTCATTACTTGAACCTAAGTTAGTTACTGATGTTAAGTCTAAGCTTGAAGAAAGGAAATTTCAGCAGACTGCTTATCATGACAGATCAAGTAAAGAACTCTGCTTATTGAAAACAGGGGATATTGTGCGGGTAAAACCTGTTGGTAGTGATAAACGATGAGTAAAAGCTCAAGTTGAAAATCAAGTGGATGTTCGCTCGTATGATATTCGTACTGAAGATGGTAATACTTACAGAAGGAATCGTTGTCACTTGCGTAAGACTAGTGATCTACCATGTGTGGAAAAACCCAATTTTCAGCATACACCTACACGTACTGTGCCTGAGTTAGCATGTGCGCGCTATCCTAATAATTTGTCAGAAACTAATTCCAATAAACTGCCGATAGTATCGCGTTCACCTGTGAAATCTAAGAACTCTACTGTTAAACAAACTGAAGGTGTTAGTCCCAAACCTACAACTAGAGTTAGTGGAAGAACAGTTAAAAAACTTGTTACTCGTCTTGTCTTTTGCCTAAACAATGAACCTGACCTGGACAAGAGGTAACAAAACAGAAGTGAGATAGGCTAACCTTTCCAGGTCTTAAGCCTCCATGTCCACCATATTTATTTCATAATTTGGAAACAAGTATGGCGGCTTGGGGACGTTAACTTTTTTTAATTTAATTATTTTGGTATTTTTGTAACCGGAGTTCAGCTTTAACGTCTGCTTCCACCGAAGTGATATTGCAGACATGTAGGTTGCGTTTTGGCATTAAATCCCTTCTAAAGACATCTGCCCTGCATTTTATGGACCAATGAAATTCTAGATTTAAAGAGGCATTCACATTTTGGAGGTTGGTAAAAATATGATTATCATTTTGATTTGACTAAACAGTTACATCTGCCAATATGGCAATAGCTTTGATTATCACATTTTACGGTAAGGGATTGGACGATGAAGTCTTAACTGACCTGGCATACTTTAAAGGGTATCTACTATCTACACCATCCAGTTTTAAATCTACCATGGATGTCATTTTAAGGGCCTGTTTACATAGAAAGGGCCAACCCTTATTGGCGAACAGGCTCGTTTAAACAAGCACCCGCTTATTATATGCTGTTTTAGATTGATTTATTGAGGAATATTTATAAGTGCAGCAGCTTGGCCCTTTTAACCAGGCTTTTCGGTGTGCAAACATAATTCAAGACTTAAAAAATGTGTTAAACGTGCGCAATGTTCATTTCATTTATGACCTTGGGTCATATCAACTCTTACCGGTAAAGGAGTTAACCTGCTTTTCTTACAAAGACTGGCCTTTTAATCTAATTAAAAAACGTGATATCCTTGGTTTAATATAAACAGTTCAGTTAGCAGATTTGGGTTTCAGGACTCACCCACATGTAAGTGCTAGCCCATTCCATATAACCAGACTCTTAAGCTTTTGTTCGTTATTTTAAGGGTTGATAATATACTGTATTTGCAGGACCACAGTTAAAGGTTGTTGGTACAATGTCAGTAGGATATGATCATGTTGATTTAGCAGCTTGCAAAAAACACAATATTAAAGTAGGATTTACACCGGGTGTGTTAACTAATGCTGTCGCAGAATTAACTGTTGCTCTTCTACTTACAACTAGCAGACGACTCAAAGAAGGTAGATGTATTTTCTTTTTCTTGTTCTGTGTAGTCTGCAGCTGAACTACAATGCTTATGGGATTGGGAATCACCATTGTATGAATCTTGGAGCTGACAAAGACAAAGTTCAGAATTATTCAAGCTTGTGTCCTTACTAAATGAGTTATCTCTTTGAGCAGGAAAAAAACCCACTGTTCTTATATTCAGATAAAAGTTAGGTCTAATCCTGCTAGGTAATGCTGCAATGTCATTGAAATTTAGAATTAATGCTTATTAGTATCAAGATAGCATGGCAAAGCATGGAATATTTCCACACATCAGCTTTGTCTCAGAAAAAAGGTTGTAGCCTCTATCACATTCACAATTCTGAATGTCATTCTGGTTCCATAGTGATTCTCGTTTTATTAGCATGTCGGCAAGTTGGTATATAAAAATGAATTAGTAATTAGATTTAAAAAAAAAAAAATGTTGACTTTTTAACTTGATTTTTGTTGCAGCAATGGCTGAAGTGGTAAATGGTGGCTGGGGTACATGGAAACCATTGTGGCTATGTGGTCAGGGACTTGATGGAGCTACAGTTGGAATTGTAGGATTAGGTAGGATTGGATTAACAGTTGGAAAATGCCTCAAACCTTTTGCTGTCCAAAAATTTCTTTATAGTGATGCATTTGAAAATCCAGGTGCAGCAGAAATTGGTGCCCAAAGGGTACCACTGGATGAGCTTCTAGCTAATTCTGATTTTGTTTTAGCATGTTGTGCTCTGACTCCAGAAACAAAAGAAATGTTTAATAAAGATGTCTTTAAAAAGATGAAAAAAAATGCCATATTTATTAACACCAGTCGGGGTGGAGTTGTTCAACAAGATGATTTATATGATGCATTGAAATCTGGTGAAATTGGTGCTGCAGGGTTAGATGTGACAGTACCTGAGCCACTGCCCACCAATAGTCCATTACTGACACTAAATAACTGTGTAATTTTACCTCACATTGCTAGTGCTACAGATAAATCCAGAAGTTCTATGTCAGAATTAACAGCAAAAAATATTCTAGCTGCTTTAAATGGTGAAAAGATGCCAACCGAAGTTCAAATTAATTGAATAAAAAGTTTTCCCTTTATAATTATTTACTGGTTTAATGATATATTCGATGAGTATGCTATAGCATTTAGAGTAGACCTATTTTATTTGTAAATCATAAACATTGCTCTAGACTTATACTCAACAATTAGTGATAAATCATTAATTGAATAGATTAAACAGTTTTTCAGTGATTTCGAATCATGAATTTTTATTTTTTTTGTATAAATAAAACTGCTTATTCATGTTTGTGATGTTATGTTCCAGTTAAAAAATCAGTCAAGGGAGATAAATCCAATTTCTTGTTATCAGGACTCAGACTAGCAATTATTTGCCCATTGACTTCAATGTTAAATGACTGTAACATCACACGCTGTAGCTTTTTGCTCAACATTCCGTTGGTTCCAATCTTTATAGGCACAATGGGGACAACATTTGGCAATCTCCTCATCATAATTTTGTAGGGGGTTGACCGTTTAGATTTTTTGCTACACGGATTTGAAGTTGACAGGGGTGAAAATCTCACTTCCGACACAATGATTGTTCTGCAGAAAGACACTTTACACCCCCTATCCCTCCACTGTAATATCATCAGTATTACTGAAAACTGCTATGAAATTGCAAATTTGATCCCTTTTCTCCAATTCTAGACCAAAAAGTCAACCCAAAAATGCAGGAAGAGGGGAGAAAAAAATTAAGGGAAAAATTGTCTATTTACAACTCGCACTACATTCGTCCATGATGAAATAAGGGGAAATAATTACTAGTTAATCCTGGAGAAAAGTTTCCAGAGTGTAAAGCCTTGTTTTTCCTGAAAACCAGAAAAAAAATTCTCATTTGCATTTTAAGGATAAAAATATTAGATATGTGACTAAAGTCAGAGTTATTTATAGATAAATTCCATTCACCTTCATTTCTCCCATTTAACAGGCACATTTTTCGTCTACAATTCATGAAAAGGGTTTGATTTTCCACCATGTTTTGGTGAATATTAATGGTTTTGAGGGTGGCGAGGGAAGAATCGGGGGTAAACAGGCATCCAATGAGGATTTCTTTGTAAAGAAATTCCCACTTTTGGTTCATTAGATTTTGTGTATTGAACAAATGAGCTGGTCCCCCTTTTTTTTAAAAGATTTTAATCATCTGATTCATAAAGTTTAGACTCAACATAAGGTCCAAAAACAAGTTATAGACCCACATAATGGCATGCATTCACATTGAAGTATGTGAGGAAATAAATAATACCCTAGTATCAGGCACCCTTTATCGATGTCTTTTTCCCCTCTGGATCCACTACTGTGCCCAGTTGTGTATTACAAAAGTTTTATAATCTGGACAAGACATCCTCTGTGTTATATAAATGTAACAGAAGATATTTGTTTATAGGTTCATACTGGTTTATTTCCATAATAATACAAAAAATGTTGCATTCACCTTTAAATATTGCATTTCATACATTTAGGGTTGAAACATACTCGACTGAACCTATTATGCATAACTTATATATAAGATGTGATGTGATCAATATACACAGCAGTTATTTTAAACATTTTTTCTGTAAATTACAATATAAATATCTCCAGATAAAAATTCTTTGATTATAATAATTGAGTTGAATTAATCTCTACTGACCTAGCACATAATTCTGCACAACGACTTCACATTAAAGTAAAGTATGAGTTTTTATTTCTGATAATCTATTTGTAAAATAGAAAATAAACCTTAACCATTTTAATTTTGAGAAGGCCAAAATGAGTATGAGTATCTTATATATTTCAATATTATATATTTAATATGATATAACTTTGTTAAACACTCTATTATCATTTATTATCAACTTATTATGATTACATATGTACACAACTGTCAATTTCTAGCACTATGTAAGTTATATACTAAATCAAAAACACAAAGTAAATCATTCAAATAAAAAAAAATCCTCATACCTCCAAACATTAACAATATGACATGTATGAACATAGTTAACAGAAATATTACTAAGTCATTATACAAGAGCATGCCATTAAATACACACAGATGATTTCAACATAGTGGAATATACAATGAGAGAATTACGATTGGTTTTCGATATATTATATCATACAAGTTTAAATGTAAGCAGAATGAATTTATATACTGTAAGCAAAAAAAGTGGTTTGTTAACACTGTTACTTTACAATCTTTCATTTATTCATAATTATATTCACGGAAACAATTATCCAATTCATTCATTACACATTTACAAATTAGTAAATTCTAAGATTTATTAAGAATTATGATTTAATGAGAAAAAGAAAATACTGACTTGTGTAAGGGTTACCCTTTATAGTAATTTTAAAGATTTATTATGCTCTCCAATAAAAGAGAAAAATACTGAGTCTTATGGTAATTTACAAACACCCAGAGTTGGAAAAATATTAAGAGTATTACAATATTATGAGTAAGATTTTTCATATATAAAAATGTTGAAGTTTCAATGGACAGCAGCTGTCCAACATAGTTGGTATTCAAGTTACAGCAAAAATGGACTAAAAATGGTGGACTAAAAATGGTTTTGATTTTTGGAACTACTAAAAATTATTTTCCAATAAAAACGTCTTTGGTTAAATATATATATAAATATATAGCCTTTTGATTCAGACAGTATAAAATAATTGTTCATAAAACGATGAACAAAAATATTGCACTTCAATATGAAAACTATTTAAAACTCAATACATTGCCGTTTTTTGACCACCGATTTGATTCCTTAATTTGAAGATTTTTGCATAAGAATGAAAGAGGCATACATAATATCAACAACTTGAAATATTTGACCACAGAAAGAACTTTATTTTGCATAGTTATTCAACTATGCCATTAAGTATAAGTATGCTCTGATATGTTCATTTCAAAGGATTAATATTATCAAAACAGCAGAAACAATACTACCTACAGTAGGTTTACAGGATTTTGTGATCAAATGAACAATACTAAATGTGTATCTATTAATCTAATTGAAATAATATGAGACGAAAGAGAGAGAGTTGAGTTTCTGAGAGTGAAAAGTTTTATAGTTACTCTATATACATAAGATGAATTATAAAATAATCACATTAAATACCATGTTGTAGTTCTAACTTAAATGTAATGGTAAAAGTTTGTAGTTCACTGTTGCGACTAGTTGTTTTTCATGTACAACAAACTGTACTATTTACGTTCATAGCACCGACACAGAGCTCTGTTTATATAATATATAACACATTTTGCACTAAAAACTAGGCAAAAATCATAAATGAACAAATGAAATCCTCATTTAAGAGTTTTATGCACAGCACCTTAAAGGATTTCATAGGGGTTTCTATTTTCCATTCACTCAATGTCCTTGTGAGTTCAAAAGGAAGCACTCTATACACATTTTACTTGATTCTATATCAATTGAACTAAAAAAATGAGTAAAATTGTACGTTTTGTTTATAAATATTATCAGTCACAACCATGTTACCATGGTAATCACAGAATATACAGTTTCATTATTAGTCATCACGTTTGTGTTAAATATTGTGTTATGAATTCAGGTTGATTATGAGATATAATATGTAAATTTTCTATATCACAACCCTCCAGTTCTATCTCCCACTTTTTACTAGTTGGATATTATTGCAGTCATCCGCTAATTCGGGATAATTTTCCGTATCACGAATGTATTGTCCTTCGTATGCTGGAACTTGTCCTCCAGAAACAAGTTCTCTAATTTCTTGTTCTGTCCACTGATAATGACTAGGTAAACTATTTTTTAGTAAATATTTTTCGCTGCTCCATAACTGACGAACAGCTCTGTCTTTTGCATGTAATAAAATTCTTTTATGCTCTTGGTCTATATTAGTTCCATAACGAATATTTATCACACTATGATTACCATGGATACGAACATCCACCTCGTCTCTTGATCGACTGGTTCTATGACCATGACCTCTTTGCACAGAAACATTAATACCATTCTCAAACGTGACTAAATTACTGTGAATACCAAGAGTTCGAAGGTCATCGTCTGCTTCAGCATAGGAAGGTTTCACAAAGTAATGCACATCCTTACCACGTATTGTAAATTGAAGATTCACCACTTCTGAACCATTCAGTAATACTGTTGCTATTTTACGCGATAACTCTGTAGCAATATCAGCAATATTGATATGTACTCTACCGTTAACAACGGAAACTGTCACACCATCTCCAAATATGGAAGTAAAAGGCGATGGCGTCTCTTTAGCCAGATTTTGTAAAGGTGTTATTTTAGAACGAGGTACTGTCGTTAAAGTGAGAAGATTATTCATATCTCTTTTAAACGTACATTCAAATGCTGATGAACTAGGTAGTAATTGAAGATCGCGAACACATTTATTCGGATGAAGATCACCTGTATAATCGACTTCTGGTGCTAAACTGTAAACATCATATCCTAATACATTCAACCATTCATGTAGATCTAAAAAAAGAAAGTTTAATATTTATCATTAGGAAATAGATCTTCACTGTGAAAATAAATTGAATCATATTGAAAATCTGGGACACTGCTGGGTCCCGTCCCAAAAACATTTAAAGTCTACTTTAAAATTTAGTTCATTTCTGCTGCATATATGATCAATCTCATTTAATTGTTTAATAGATAGGTTGCCAGGCAACGAAACATCCGCCCAGACAGTCAACAAGTGTTGTCGCATATTTTTTCTTTTGGCAGAAATGAGAACATTTACAACACATGAAAATCTTATTACGGGTAATAACCCATGAAGTAATTATCAGAAATTTGTTTCGATTGTTTTTCTCATGACCATAAACAAGATTTTCAAAGTGATCAAGGACCTTAACTCTGACAGTAATTATCGGAAATTGTTAAAAATCAATAGAATTCTTTGTCTCATGACCTTAAACACTGTGTATAAATTTAAAGTCAATCAGATAGTAACTTACTTTAGCCCCTAGAGCGTCCACAAGCAATGGTGGACGCCAGACGGAGGCGACAACAATATACAACCACATTTCAATGTGGGCGTATTAAAATTAATAAAAGCTCTACTATATGGTTCAAACTCACCTAGTCTAGGATACTGATGGCTGTTCAGATGTGTGTTAAGAAGATGGCGATTCTGATAAGCATTTAATATTTCTGGCTCAGATATTACAGTGTCTAATTTTTTAAATACATGTTGATAATCAGGACTCAACCAATGTCCTGTCAGAGTGTCATAAGGTCTTTTATTTTTCATGGCTATTTGGGTCACTGGATTATAAAGCAAAGATTGGAATCCAAAACTCAGCTCAAAATTTGGATTGGAATCTGATTCCTGTAAACCTAATGGATTGTAACTGCACTGTTTGACAACAAAACCCCGACTATCAAATACAACTAACGGACTTCCATTAGGATCTGAAGCAATATAATATGTGTTACTCTTACGTTCCATGGCCACTAAATGTCCTTGCGTATCAAAGAAATATTGAGTCATTTCACCAGATGTATGGTTATAAGTATGTGTTATCTGTTGGGGGCTAAGCACATTAACATAAAAATACTGCATAACTTTTCCAAACTGATCTCTCTGCACAGCTAATCGACCTTGAGGGTCATAGAAATATGAAAATTTGTGTTGTCTTGTATGTGAAATCGTTGTAAGCTGTCCAAGAGAGTTGAAGGAAATATGTTCAAATCCCCTTTGAGCCATAAAACCATCCTCATCGAATTTATATCTTAGTTCACCAAATCTTGTTATTCTGTCTCCGACATCAAATTCCATCTCCTTGGTTATACCCAAATCAGTTATTTTATTGATATTACCATTAGCATCATAACCATATTTCCATGCTGATTTACCTTCTACTAAAACATCTACCATATTACTATCAATATCATAGATATATTCCATAGCCATTGAGTCAGTCTGTCCAATTCTACGTCTCCATTGATGAACAAGGTTCATATGATCATAGTTGATATGTAACATGTATCGGATATTTCCAGCAAACTCCATCTTGATTTCTTGCAGACGACCATAGTTGTCATATTCTCTGGTTGTTTTGAAATCAGCGTTGGTGAGAACTTGTCTCTCTTGAGATGGCCAGTCAATGACAATATCTTTAATACTATTTAGTTTTCCTGTGATACTACTGTAACTCAGCATATTTGTCATAGAGATGTTATTAGTTAATGTGGCTACACTCTCAGCTAAACGGAAATTATTATCATAAACAAGAGTTATATTGATGCCTTGTAATGTTGGATCTTGTGGGAAATGAATTGAGTAACTTTTAACCAAAGAACTTATGTAATCATATTGTAGAACACAGCTGTAACCTCTGCTTAATAACTTAGCAGATGCCATTCTCTGTACCTGAAATATCGAGGATAAAATATATATAGCACATTAGCATAAAAAAACACTGCATAACTTTTCAAAACTGATCTCTTAATGCTGAGGAGTTTTTCTCCCTTGACATTTTTAACTGATACCGTGCATCTTAAGGCGGTTAATAAAGTTATGTAGTTGAGTACAGGCCTTGGTCTCTTGCTGTGGTAGGAAACTGGAGAAAATTCTTTAGGTTGGTCAGTTGACTCTACACATTGTTGCAATTATGATATCAATAACATGACTAAATGGACGACAAGACCTAAATTTTCAGAGCGTTGATTGCCTTCAGACGATTGTCTTTGCTTAGGAGTATAAGAACAAGAATTTAAACCATGAGTATCGAAGACATTCAGATTTGTGATAAACAATTTGCTATGTCGAATTAGTGTAAGCCTGCAATATAAGGAAACAAAGAAGTTAGAAATAATTACCTCAGAGTTGTAAGTGAAGGATACATCTGTTTCATCAAAGATAACTTTGGATACCTGGAAATGGTTGTTATAACGATAATGTACTCTCTTGGTATCTCCAGGATGAAGAACACGAAGTAGCTTGCCATTTGTATCATAGTCCATGATAAAAGGCAAGACAATACCAGGAGGGATGTAAAGCATTCGTTGTATACCAACAGAAAGAACTGTATGAAATTGATGTTTTCCTAGAACTGGTGTAGTGACAGAATGTAGATTACCCTGTATATCATGATGAAATAAATACTGTTTACCACTAGGTAATATCACATCTGTTGGCTGTAAATATATAAATAATAACAAAATATCAGAAACAATACATTTGAAGGTTATCATAATTCAAGTAAAAAAAATTTGTAAAAACTTAATATGGTTTACTTCTGCAAAAAGTAGATGTTTTACTAGAATGTTTCAAGGACCTATATTAGTGATAAATGTTTATTTCATTTAAGTATTGTGAGCAATATTCTTGGTGCAAAAATGCTACAGTTACTACCAGTTTTCATACACTTCCTACCTTCTTAGCTCCATATCTATAGAAGTATCTAAACTGTGCACCATTAGTAGCCATTCTCTCTATTAACAATCCTTTATCATTATATTTTCTATCTTCTAACATTTCTCCATACTGCCATCTAGTTATATCTCCACGTGAAGAGTAGGTTATATTCATAGCATTGTGACCTGTAGCTGGAATAAAATGGGTTGGTAATCCTGTCTTTTCATAAACAATAGTCAAAATCTCTCGCAAATCTTTATCCATTATGGTCTCCATGTGAGCATTTCTATCATACTCAACAGTCAGAAGATTTTCACCATTTATCTGTAATGAAAAAAAAAACAGCTCCTCAACAACTAGTCTAATAAGTCAACTGAACTTAGATCAACCTTAATCTATGGGAGATTGGCAACCAAAAAGACAAACAACAAAAGACTCATTAATAAAATGAAAATCAGACAAAACAGAAAACATACAATGATATCAACAAATGTCAAATACCAACAAGTCTTTCTATGAAAAAAATAAGAAAACAAATAAAACATTAGCTTTATAAATTTAAGAAAAAAAACCTATCCAAGCTTAAAATTTTGGAAATAATCAAAAGAACGATTTTAAAACATTCATTATGATACACATGTAACCTAAAATGTTGATTTTAAAAAAAATATGAATGAAGCAAACATAAGATAGTTTGACATGCACGTCCCACATAAAACATATTACAGAGATACAGGGTATGGTTTCCTCCTGCATTTAACATATTATAATTACCTTCATTCTTATACATTTACATAACAATAATACAACCAAATAAAAACTGGGATCTATTCATCTTCACATTGTCCAGTATAAATATATTATGAAATAAACATCTTTCACAAGCTGTTTATCTTTTAATATTTGACAATGTTAAGAAGGGGGTGTTTTACAAACAAGTTTGAGATGTCATATATTTTTAAGACACTTATATCTTGAACTGAAACTGATTGTGGTTATAACAAACTAAAAAACATTGAATACAACATCTATTTACATATTTTAAATTCTAAATAATAGTATATACATGTATCATTTAAAATCATGCAACCACTTGAGGGAAGGGCCTAATACTTTGGTAGTCATTATTGTTTGCACATTTGTGAAAACCTCCAGTACATGTGGCTCATTGTAAACCATCTAATAAATACAAGTCCTATTTTTATATATAAATATTAGACTGTGTCTTCAAAAGGTGGTTTTGCATCATCTACATGACATAATGACATTATAGCATCCAAGACATCATTATTAATGTGATTTCCAATGGGCTGTAGTATTATTTGTACCTGGATATTTTCTAGATTGTTCTAAATGATTTTAAAGGAGTTGTCTCGGATATATCAATTTCATGAATGAATTTTGTTTTGTATAAAAGACTCTTAGAAACCTTCATCCTAGACATGTACAAATGGCCAAAGATCTGTGATACTTTTTCAAAGTGATACTAAATTTCAGTTTTTATGTGGGATTGGTAATATAATGCCACAACATATAAGTGCCTGGATAACCATGTCTATATATTTGCTGAGGTTAGAATGGAATGTGCTCAAATTTTTACTTGAAAGTTCCAGAAATGATAATTGGCCTATTTGTTCACATTTTGGCATTTGATTTGCAGGTTCAACCTAACCTTTATTCACAGATACCTTGAGAAATCTGGGACAGCCCCTTTAAGACCTAGATTTAGTATTATCACTACATGTATGTTATACAGCACTGAAATACTTACTTATAAGATTTATAAAAACCTTTAAGAATGTTTACATGCTATGTTCTATAAGGTCTGATTCATGTACAGATTTATGGGTAAGGGTATATTTCATAGAAGCATCAATTTAAACACATGTTCTATATAATCTTTTCTTTTGGATCAGAAATTAAGCAGTAGAAAAGAATAGAAAGTATGTTTGGTAACTTAGAAGTGTATTAATTTGATACTTATATTAATGAATAAAGCATGTATTGTTAGAAGCAATATTAGTTTTCTTCTGCAGGGTCCTTTTTATTTGTTGATCCAAAAAAGATGCTTTGGACATCATAAAACCAAATTTTGAATATGACACCTGCAAAAGATGTTAGGGTTGAGCTAGACTTATCAACATACCAAGAGGGCTTTTTCCTTGAATTCCTCTCCATGCGACACATGCATTGTGCCATGCCTGGCAAAGGAGGCGCCTACCCTCATTCTCTGTCCAATTTTATCAATGATTCTACTTTGCCTAGAACGACCTTTACGCCGCAAGTAAAATCTCCATTCCATGCGATGCATGTAGGCATCAGGAATAATAACTTTTCTCTTAAAATGCATTCGGTGTTCATTTTCCATAATAGGGTGTCCACCGGTCTCCAAGGCGACAGTTAAGTTACTAGGAAATAAAACTATAACTGCACCATCAGGTAAATATGTAACTTTGGTCTGTGTAGAACCTGTAATATAAAAGAAAATGTATTAGTATTAAATATTATTAAATGATGACTTAAAAAGTTTAGAATTTCTAAATTTAAACTGAACTCCTCTCTAATAAAACTGAAGCCTGCTTTACCAACTTGTATAAACATAATTTAAAATCACCGCCAAAACAACGAAAGAAAAATATAATAATAAATGTATTACAATAAACCTTATTTCAGCCAAGAAAATTAAAATTAGCAATTAGGAAAAGGAAAATAAACAAAATTAAAAATAAGCTTAAAATCTGAACAAAAATTAAAACTCAATTATGACAAACAAAAATAAGCAAAGCCATAAAACAAGGTGAGAGATATGGGTTACTGATGAGTTAATTAAAAGTTCATTTTAATAAAGAAACAAAGATGACAGGAAAAAATAAGTCATGAAGGTGCCAAATGAAAATAAAAAGAGGAGATTGCTTGTCTTAATGAAGTAGTACTGGTAGAAATAGAGATGTTAAGGAGGTATTTTTTATAATTATAAGCATGCAACTGTTTTGTAAGAAATTCTATAAGCAAAAAGTGGTTGCCATTTGAAAGTGCAATTACACCAGAGAGAAACCATTATAAAAGTCTAGGGAATAAATGGACTATAGATGGGGTTTTCTTCCTTCTCATTCATGCCATGCTTACTAAATTTATATTTCTACTCCCTAACAAGACTTCAAAAACTCTATAAGCACTATTAAGTATTTTCTAGTTTTTTTTAAATAAATTGTAAAGCCATGCAAGGTGATTAATAAAGTTCTTTACTACATTTATTGAGACTGGTAAAACATTTGACTAAACTTCTAGTTTTAAAGGATCTGTTTAACTTATTAAAATATTAATTGAAGCTACTAATAATTAAAAGTTTATCTAAGGATATTAAACATTTTAAAAAAGCTTTCTTGGCCAAAAAATGGATTCACTTTAATAGTTTCTTTATAAATAAACACAACATGAATTATAAAGATATTCCTGAAATCTAGTCTATAAATAAAATCAAATTAAAAAATTTAAACTATTAATTTAAAAATTTGCTAGTAAGAACTTTGCTTTTGCATTATCAAAGGTGAACTGCAAGCACTTGCCATGCATCACGGATTGCACGCTCCCATATGTAGCCATGGCAACCACATCGCTGCTATCAGTAGTGACATGAACAATGGAACCTGTAGTGTTGACATCTGTTTTTAGTTGTGTTATCTCCCCTGTTGGTTGACTGATCCTCAGCAAACGCCCCATGTTGTCGTACTTGTACATGAAGACCTTTCCATATGACGTATGTTTTGACTCCAACAATCCAGTACTAGCCATGTATGTGAAGGTAGCGGTGGTGTTATCAGGTGCCGTAAAACTATATAATCTTCCAAGATTATCCAGTAGCAAATCACATTTATCACCACTAGGTGTGATCAGTTCTTCAACACGAGTATCATAACGTCGTTTAATCTGTATACTATTGCCGGATGTGTCTGTAACTTGAGTCAACTTGCCATAAAAAGAGTTGACATTATAAGTATAGTTATACATATACTGATTGGTCATTATATTAATTGTGTGTTTATGTTGCCCATAGCGATTAAAGATGTATATTTCTTGAGTTTCAGGAGATACAACCTCATATTCTCTACGAATATTCTGACTAGGAAGCTCAGAGACTATGGAGAAAATCCTAAAGTTTCCCATATCAGCAATATGCATGATGCCATCTGGTGTTACAGTAACAGAAGTAGGAGTACTAAACAATGCCTGAGCTGCCAGTCTTTCTTTAGCATCATAACATTTACATGAAATCTTGCGACAGTCACATTTTGATTTAGTTCCGGCAAAATGGTGGATGTGTCCATCAGTGGTAACAACTCGTACACGATTGATATGATGTGTGTCACTCTCTACAATATACAGGTCACCATGGGGACCAAAAGTAATGGTTGCAGGAGACACTAATGTCACATGATCAGCAATATTAGAGGCTTGTTCATCATCATTTAATACACCAGCTGGAAGGAAACTGATCTGTCTTGGTGGACAATAAACTGGACGACCAGCAACTGTTACCAGCTTATAGTCTTTGGTCAGTTTTAGAACTATTCCCTGGTCAAGAATGTGAAGAGTGTCATCTAATGGATCAATAGCTAATGCTGTCGGCCATTTCAAGCTCACCTGCAATTAAGAAAAGAAATTACATAAATATGAGGACCTACAAAAGGATTCTTAATTCAGCTAACTAGTTTTGGACCATAATCAATGAAAATCTACTGTGAATGCCTTATGGAAACAAAAAGGACTATGAAGCAGTTGTTTGTAGATTACCCAACATAAAAGGAAATATTTAAATTGCCGACTAATTGTAGATTAGCAATATGTACATGCATAAGATTAAGTACTTGGCAAGGATTTACCATAAGCACTTCCAATTTGATTGAAATGTGATTGTGAAGTACTGGTACTTACACTTTCTGCTGGTAAAATGTCATCACATGGCATTGGTGTCCATTGTCTAAGCTGTTCTTGTGTACCTATTAGAGTGTTTATAATACCATCTGTTGTTATACGTCTGATATTAGGTCCATCAGCTATGTATATTACACCATCTTTATTTATAGCAATACCTTCAAATATAAAATTACAATAATATTTACTAATTGGAATAATTCTACAGCCTTAGTAATGCCTTTCATTATTCTCATACCTATATATTTTCAGTTATTAGTTCTATCCACCCGGTGTTGCCTACTTTAAGATATTATTTCATTGCTTTTTTTTTTAAAGATATGTTCCCTTGAGGTTAATCAGGTCATATATTCAACAAAAGAATATTACTTTTTAACCACCAAGAAAAATAAAATCTATCGACCCAAGATTTTTATGAATTCTATAACATGATATGGTAACTAAGAGGTCAAAGAGAGACTGTGCCTGCAGATGCAAAACAACAAAGCTAATGTGTGACAGAACTTCTGCAAACTATTTCAAAATGACAAATGGTGGATGTTTAAAATTCAAATCACTAATACAATTGTAAGATAGTCGTATGTTCTTAGTTGTTTAGATAAATTACCAAAAGATAGTAGAGTAATAACAGTTACAGTTTTCAAAGGGATATATCTGCAAGGGGTAGAAACAAAGATAAACTAAAGGAAACCAGATGCAGAACCGAAATTTTCTCAGAGTCCTTCATCCCTTCCAGTATACGAGAATGGAACAAACTTAACGTTGAAATTAGAAACTCTCGATCCCTTGCTATCTTTGGAAATTCACTAAATAAATTAGACACCATCGTGCCATCATATTACTATACTGGGATACGAAAATTACAAATAATCCACTGTAAACTAAGATTATGCTGCTCGAACCTACAAGGCCATAAATTCCTCAGACACGTCGATGATAGCCCTGCTTGCCTCTGTGGTCACAAATTCGAAGATACCGAACACTATTTACTCGTATGCCACTTATATTCAGATGCAAGAAAACGGACAATCCATAACCTTCAACATAATCATAAAACAATCAGTTGTCTGTTGTATGGGTCAACAAAACTTAGTCCAGAGATAAACACATTTATTTTCCAAGAAGTCCAACAATTTATTTCCTTATCAAAAAGATTTAAATCTCCATAAACAACTCTTAAGTCATTCCAAGCCCTGCACTCTGTATAATCATCTAAGTCTCTATATTATCCATGATGTATCATATATGCTCTATAATTATGTAATTATGTATGTATGTATGTATGTATGTAAATATTTATAATGTGTACATGTACCTAAATCAGAGAGAGGGGTTACACATAGGCATAGCCTGTTCCCCAATCCAAATTCAGATTTAATGAATAAAAATATTGTTTAAAAAAAAAAAAAAGGGGTAATTTCTTATGAATATTCTTGCATGAAATGATCCAAATGATTGCAAAATTCTTTTGTTAATACCATACCTTTAGGATATCTAAGTCTAGCTAGTGTCGCAGTAGTTCCATCACCACATAGATCTACTTCCCCTGGTGTACATTCTTCACCATTACCAGCAACATCTTCCAGATTCTCTCTTAGATCACGAACAGGTCCCATAGTTTTAACACGTATTACTTTATGAAACATATAATCTGATATGTACAGTTTACCATCAACGGGACTTACTGTCATATAGAACTTGTATGGAACAGATTTGGTGCTGTAAACAAAAAAAATCGTTAAATTATAACTACATTCATTTACACTTAAATTAAACATACATTATGCAAGAGCTAAATCTGTCTATTGCAGGTTTTTCTTTAGGCCTGAAATGTTATCTAAATTATTAATTAGACATTAATTAACCTATCCAGGCCATAATCAACTCTAGATGGCAGCGCTAGCCTGCGATCTTTAGTGGATTGTGAGCCGATTTACTGCATAACTTTCCTTCTCGATTTAATGATTAAATGGATAATCGAGACTATGCTGTTTATTGTACTGACTTTAGTAATGATGACCGAGGCTAGGGAAAATTCCAGTCGCTTAGTTCTCGGTTCATAGTGGATCAATTATCTACATGTACATTAGAATTTTAACCATACAAATATCAGATTGTCAAGTTGATACTATTCATTTGGCATTTATCATTTTCAATGAAGTTTAAGATTTCCTTAAAGGATAATGGCACAAGACATTTTGTGTGCCCATGGGTTTTTTCGCAGGAATTCATATTCTAACTCACCTCATTTCTAAAATACTTGCAATTTCTTCTCGTTCTGGCGATAATTTACGGATAAAGTTATAATCTCCTACATACAGACTACCATCCAGACCACTAGCTAGGGCTACTGGGGCCAATAATCTATTATCTAGAGCTTTACCATTACAACCAGTACAATCTAACTGACGTCGATTACCACTACCCAAAATATTGATAATTTTCTTAGGTTTCTCTTTCAGATAGATATTAGTGCCATCTCCTTTATGTAAAATACCTGCAATATATGTAATTAATTTTGAAAAATCACATATTCCAAATAAACAATAAATGTGTATATTTCAGCAATGACAGATTTATTTTCAATTTTAATATGCCTGAAGACACTATATTATTCAAATTCCAAATCAACAAATATTGTTTTTACCTAATGGCAAAAATTTTAAAAAAAGTGCTAATGCCTCTTTAAGATGCATGTGGTAGACATCTCAGTTTAGATATGCGATCAATCTCTTACCTGCATTGGACATTTGACTAGGGGTTACAAATGAAGACGAATTCTAAAACAGTGTCACAATAATGTTCATGTTGGGTTCAGGGACTATATTCATTATATAGGGCAGTCCATGGAGGGTAAAGTGTTCATTCAGTAAATGTGATCACCTCGAGAGCTATCGGTAAATGACAATGTTCAGAGCTATAAATAAATGTTTCTTACCCTCTTGAAAGTTGTAAGTATGATGAATATCAAGATTCCAGCCGCCAATTTCTGAAGATGTTAAATCAAACCCATTGAGTGTTGTACTTCTAGTCTCCCAGAATATATATTCACAATTATCATAACGATAGCCAACATTCACTAAAACAAAATAGTAAAATAATTTTATTTTTGATGGCATAGACGTTACTTTTATTTACCAAGGTTCTGCAGGAAAATTGATTGAAATCCCAGCCTATGAATGGGATCTGCTTTGGCAATCACGGGATAAGGCCACATATAATGAAAAATCTAAAATTAATTGTAGCTATAACTTGATGATTATCAAAGAGAAATGTCTTGGAAGAGAAATGTTTATACCTCTTGCAGTTACTATTCCATATACTTTCTGATTAAAGACATTTTTACGATCCCAGGAATAAGTATATTTCAGATTAGGATCGGCTTCGAAGACTTTTTCTGTGACCACACCATCAACAGATACTTTTAGATGAACTAATGATAGTTTAGGTGGTATTTTAGCTGGGGTCATCTGTATCATTATTAATGACATGTAACCAGGTGACTCACTACTATGATAAACAAGGTGGACATCTGTACCAGAAATATCAAGACTCTCTTGTAAAACCTACAAAACAAGAAATATGATTGATGTTTGAAATACTGTTCACAAAATTATGTATATGTATAAAAGTTTTATCAGTGGTATTCGATTCATAAAGAATTTCAATTGATTTAAAGTCAATAAAGGGTCATAATTCATTAAATAATTAACATAATCTGTAAGTCTGCCAAATACAGTAATGTAGGCCCACCAACCATCATTCAAATAAAAAAATAATTCTAGAAAACAAAAGCGATAGAGACAGCCCCTCTTTGTTTCATTTGTAGCGGACTAATAAGAAGTGGTATCAGGTCATGAATAGAGACTAGTGGTGTTGATTTATGAATTTAATAAGATATTTATACCTGTGATTCTGGTATAATAGTACTTCTTTCTGGACAAGCACCCAATTGAGTGTGCTGCCATGTTGATAAAACAATAGGTCTTAAAAGGTAATGTTCATGTTCAACACTACACAAAGCTGGATCAGCTATAGATTCTGGTTCATCTCTTAGAGTCATGACAACGGTACCCATGGTGATAATTTGATTCCATGGCACCAAAACACTTGCTGTTTTAGTACCAAATGGTTGACGAATAAATTCCAATTTGACTGATCCACCACCATTTACCAAGATATCAAACCTGTTGAAGAGAGATAATGTTTATAGAATTTTTCTCATATCACTATTATTAATATATTTCATGAGCTAAATGTCCTCAGTATCTCTAATTCTCAAAGAATCAATCATTCTTTATAGAGTTTTTGAGGTAATAGCATGTCTTTATTGGTGTTTTACAGTCTGTTCAATTTATTCTTAAGGTCAGGATATTGTTGGCTGACATATTTCACACACTTTGATATTGATCAGCTTGCTATATATAGCATTTCTATTCATGATAAACTTCATTTATAGCTTTTTACAAGTAAATTCATTTTAAATTTGTCAATTGGAGACCAGTAGCACTGGGCAGAAACATAATTACATATAGGCTAGGGCAACAGCATGAACATATTCGATTACTTTCTTTTAGAAAAGCAGTGTTACATTCTGTTTAGTCTACAAATCAATCACATAAAATCATTGATTTATTGATTACTGATGAATCAGTCTGTTGTAAATAAAATAAAGTTTAAAATTGTCATTTCTGATAAAACACAATTCGACCAATGTAATATAAACTTCAATGTTTAGATCAAGAATTTGAAAGCATGTCATTGCTCCCAACAGGCTTATGTAAAATTTAAAATATGATAATACTTACACTCCTTTTTCCCTGGATAATGTATAACCATAGAGGGGCTGGGTAACCACACCTACACGGACACTTATTAAAGGTGTACCATCTTTAGTTGTCACTCGACCACGTATAACTGATACTTGTCTGCAATATATAACCAATGTTTATAAATCAAACCAGAATCTCAAGAAATATACAATATGACCATAATGCATACTTTCTTCATATAAATACATTATCTTTAAGTTTCATTTTTTGAGTCTGCATGTATATCCATATCAAATTTCCACTATGCTATTAATGTTTTTTTTGTTCTGTCATCAGTTGCTAATAAAATAGCTTTTAGACAGAAATAGTCAGAAGCATGCAGTATATGATTTAACCAGCAATTTAGGTAATCAACTTATTATAAATGGCATGGTAATACTCTAATGTATGCTTTCAGTTCGTTATTACTAATTTACTAAGACAAAAATATCAGGTTGAATACATTCCAAAACATTCTGAATATTTTCTTGAGACAGTTTAAGCTAACAGATGCCATTATATGTTGTAAATATTCAGTTGTATTTTCCAATTAACTGGTTTAACTAATGCCAGATATATTTCTTATTCGGAACAAAATAATACAATAGTTTTTCAAAAAGCTGTTTAATGTTCTTTAAACTAAGCATACTTCGCAAACAAAATAACACTTTATCAAAAGCAATGTCTTATAAGACTATATTATCTTCCAGTTTCTTTAGAATCTGATCTGCCACAGATTACAGTTTTAAAATAAATACTTGGTAAGGCTTATCAACTTTTCCCATTCAAGATCCATAATTTATTATTCCTTAACATGATATTCATGTTCTGATGTAACCTACACTCTAATGCACAGGATGACATATTATTTGCTTTCATAAAATCTGGGCTATAATTATTCAAGCTATCCATCAACGGAAGGCACTAATAGAGATATACAAGCAGAAGTGGTCTGGAAAAACATATCAGACGTATAAAACAAACACAAGCAATATTTGTGTTGAAATCTTTTACATGGCGTTGCAATGGCTCACCAATTAAAATGTTTACTTTCAGAACTACCAACTACAAGTATTTTGGCAAACTTGACAGTATTAATTCTACAAATGTCTTTTTATTCTGACATAGATGTAGTTAGAAAAGCTCATTTAGAGCTGCCCATGATCTGTGGAATATTTGTAGTTGAAATAAATCGTGGAACACATGTGCAGTGTTTCGAGACACTGCATGGAAGTACATGAAAAAGCCTTATCATGTAACCTTCACAATCACTTTTTTGTTACCCATCTTTCCCTGTCACTTCAAAGCAGATTTTGTTTTCTAAACCCATCAGTTGTAAAGCTCTCCTGTCTATTTCTTTATGTAAGAAATAAGATTATTTATTACATTTAAGTGAGAGGATTTAACAATCCTATATATTCATGTAGATATTTTTGACAGAAAAGAAGATAAGCCATGGTTGTTGAAATACAAATCACTGAATGATAAAATACAGTTTGTTTTGACTAGAGATATCTTCTTTTCCAAAACTAGATCGGTATTAAACAAGGCAGTAATTAGCGTGTTATATTTTCTGTGTACTTTTTTACGATTTTAATTGCTTATTTATGAATATGTGCAAGAAATTCATTCCAAGATTTTCTTATGGCAACGTCAAGTTTTGGCAAACCATACAGATAACTATTTCTCTTTATAATCCCCTTAACACTCCTGGATTCCACTAATTATATGACAGTAAATGGGCATTATGCTATTAAATATTATTTTAAGTGTGGCATTTGACACCCGTTATGACACAGTTGGATGATGTCTTGCAGCTTAATCTATATTAATAACGGAATACAGCCTCCATGCTCCTCATTAATTCAGTTCAGGAAAAACAAGAAAAAACATTTATTAGAGAAGATGACCACCTTAGTCTGACATGTTTAAATACATCAGGAAACATGATTCAATCAATTGGAAGAAGGAATGAATGATAATTGCAGGCAGAATCAAAGTGGATCATCGTGCTAGACTTAAAGCTGTTAACATGTCCGCCAGCGTGGTCTGCAGGATTCATAAATTACGTTAAAATGACAAAATGAAATACTGCTATTGTGTTTTATTGTTTTTAATTCATTTGTTGTTGCCCACAATAATATTTCACGTTTTAGTTATGAATAAATCATTTGATATTGTGCCGTTTGATTGCAGGAAATATGTCAGCTTGCGTAATGTGTGTATTAATTTGAATTTTAATGCTTGCACAGAAAAAAAAATCTATACTAATGAGGCATACATTAAGTCATCTTCCGTGAAAAATATAAAAATTATGTAGATCAATACAGACTGCCTAAGGGTATATGTCTGCGTTGTTTTTTTTCTGAAAGGATTCATTCATTCTATTCACTTAGTTTTGTTGAACTTCAATAACATTTTATCATGTCCAATAGAAACAGATAAAGTGTGAAAAACAATTTGTTCATCTGAAGAATTAAACCATTTTTTACAAGGAATAGATTTGTTATCTTTGAGGTGTCAACAATTAATGTCGACAAACCGTCTGCCTATCTCTCAATAGAACCAATATCTGACTAATAATCAGAATATTTTTGCTTCTGTTCACAGCAGGAAAGCAAATTCAACAAGGCAGTAACTTGTGAAGAATTCTGTCTGGCACTAATTGTAGGATAATTTGTATTTTCTCATTCAGGTCTGAATGGTACATGGTTTTAAGATCAGGGTAGGAAAATATCCTGTGATGATGTGTTTTAAACTACAACCATTATCCTGTCTACTTAAATAAAACTTTCATGCCAGACTGGCTCTTGTTTGGGATGTTTTTATACTATTTTTGTTTTGAATTTTGAATCCAAAATGAAGTATTTGAAAACTACAAAGCATGGCTTGTACTTTGATTACAAAATAACTGTAAATGATAGAAAATATCTGAAATTCTAACAAACAACTTATTGGCAATCAGGGCAACTTTTCTGATGCCTTAAATATATTTGATGAGATTACTACAACTTACGTTTCATTAAATGAGTTTTTCATGGCATAAGTCTGAACACTGTTTTCTTCAATCAGGAATCTCATTTTATCAAAGAATGATGCTGTAGTACTTGTGGACTGTTTGGACAATAAAATTTCTTCAGGTTCAGGAGATGATTTACAAAATTTACTAGTTTTACATGCTGCACTTTTACAGCAATCAGGATCTAAACAATCTAAGAGACCATCTGAAAAATAACAAGCCAATATTTAAATTCAATACTTGAATAAGATTTATACTTGAGAACTGTGTAGAAAACTGTGTAGAACAAATATTACTTATTCTAAAAATATCACTTTCCTAACTAGATTTTTTACCTAACTCAATATTAGGAGGAAAACAATATGCAGCTGGAAAATAAAATCTTTGCATTAGAAAACATTTGAATATTTGTCAGATATTTTCTTTAGAATACCAGTACATTTCTAAAATAGAAGAAAAAGTTTGACACTTGTATGGCAGCTGTGTATAATATATCACATATGATATTGACCAACAAACAGAAAATATGTAATATAATATTCTACATGTGTATGTCTATATTAAACTATCGCAGATCAATAACCATTCTCTATAAATTATATTATGTACACATACAATAATTCAATATTTAATGGAATGAAACATTTATGCACCACTATCTGTCATATACATATATGGACAGATCGAATATTATATTTCCCTTGAAATCTTGATTTTAATACAATTTTTAATCTTTGTAAAGTTGTCATGAAATTGATAACACTCCATAAATTGCTTTACATTTCTCAAGAGTGTGCTCAATAACAAACTGTGACAAACTCAAAGATGTCTAAATTGAAAATGTTTAGGAAAGTAAGAAAAATTGGTTAACATAATCATTTATCATAATGTTCAATTCATTAAGTGTTGTGTGGAATCAAGCTAACCCAGGCTCCCCAGTGATTGATCACCCTAAACAGAGGGATTACAGTTGACACTCACTAAATCATCCTGGATTTACCGAAATGGACACAATCTATCAGCCCCCTTTGACAACAAATTAAATCAAATTAGTTTCTAAATTCATCCCAGACGGAAAGCATCAAATAAATTGACCAAATAATACCCATAATACTATAAGGGTACCAGTATTTACACTCCTATTCAAAAGGACAATAACCCTTGCTGGTCTGACACGTTATGCATCACCCTTTCATTCAACAATCAGGGCTACTTTAAATAATCCCATTGTTTTTAGGTGCCTGGACAGGTTAAAAGTTTAGGATAATAACCATCTGAAAGACTACAAACTGTTTGAAACCTCAGACTGGTGTAATGAAATAACAAGTGAGTGAGAACTAGGCTCATAGCTAGTCTTTGACTGTTTATGGTGAAACCTATCTGCTGCCAAATGCAGTAGTCAAATATTGACAGAAGCCAACCTCTTGCTTCTGTGGTTATTAAATTATTTACTTTGTAAACTAGGCTAGCTCTCTAAATACTGTAGCACTTTTACAATGACGACTATCTCATAACTACAATTTTCAATATGCAATTACAGTCCTGTTTATTCTAAATCTGACAATTCTAAAGTTTTAATCCACTAGACACATGTCAATCAGAAGAGAAATATTTTTCTTTTCCATGTTTTAAGAGCAAGAAGGAAATTAGTCTGGAATATCGAATATGATATGAAAAATTATGATTTAAATAAACATGACAAACATTTTGGCTATTAACTCTTAAATCAAATGTCAAGAAATAATGTCACTCACCATTATCATTGTCCAAGGTATCACTACATTTAGCTTCCATAGCGATGTTACAAGCTTTTCCTTTCCAACCATCTTGACAATTACACAGCCAGCCATCTTGAAAATGTTGACACTCTCCATGATTACTACAGGCTGATGGGCAGCCATCTTAAAGTTCAAAATAAAAATATATTAAGATTAAATTATAGTTCACCCAGTATTACCAGACAATGTTAATAATATGGGTAAGCTTATTTGTCACATTGATAATATTAAAATATTCTAAATCTAATAAAGATTGGCATCACACAAAACTTCAAATACTGTTTACAAAATCACTAATGAATGAAATACCGATGTACTAAATCATTTTTCCAGATATTTTAGAGAAAATTTACCGCTGAAAAACTAGAGAGAGAGAGAGAAATGGGGTTTAGCGTCCACTTGACACAAACTAGGTCATTTCGGGACTCACATATGGTTTAATTTTTATTTCTATAATTCGCTTGCGCGTAGGGGTCTTTAGCAGTGGGAGGAAACCGGAGGACCCGGAGAAACCCACGAGGTTGGACCGGCAACCCTACTCCTTGTCATGTACAACCGGGGATTTGAAACCACGACAGTCGATTCAATGACAGGCTTTATGATACAGCGCGAGAACGCTAACCATTCAGCCATCCAACCCTCCCTGAAAAACTAAGTATAAGTACAAATACAAATGACATCATTTGAAAAACATCCCAGAGTTTGATGACAATTTTGTCATATGACTAGCAATGTAGAATATCTAGAACAGAACTGTATGTTGCTTTATATTGAGACTAACATGTTACTAGCTAGGTTAGACCACACACAATATATTATATCTGGATCACTATGAATGCATGTCAATAGGTCTACTGCATCTACTACATGTAATCATGTTTAACATGACACTTCAGTTTTATCAACAGACAATCCTTGCACATACTTGAAGTGGCAATATAAATACAGAGTTTCCTTCTGTATAAAAGATACCATTTAGTTATTAACATTATTGACATTCTTCACCTACCCATTGTGCAATGTCTTCCATTCCATCCTTTTCGACAGACACAAGTACCATTGTTGCAGAAACCATGTGCATTACATCTGTGATCACATTGGATTTGATCACATAATGCTCCTGACCAACCTTCATTACATACACATCTTTGGTTTTTACAATAACCATGGTAACATTCCAAACGACACACTTCTAAACATAATTTATAATAATAAAATTACTTTAATCTGTTTGTAAAATTTAAATCATTAATGATGTGTAACTTATATTTATATTAGGTCAGATGTAATATGTTATAAATGAGAATACATATCTATGCCTGTTCTAGCTCCCTTTATTAAATATTGATTTTTAACAAGAAAATGTAAAGTTCATTCTTCTTTCTAATCATTTAATCTTTTAAACAGAAAATTTGATAAATAATTACTTTATATATGCTAAAGTAGTAGATTTAATATTGGCTATTTTGGATGCACACATCACCTATCCCAAAAGTTCTAAAGCAGAAGATATATTGCAAAGTTTTATGGCAACATCTGATGCACAGCTTTCAAAGCAGAAACCACATGTAATCCAGAAAACATGCAGTAAATGTATTTTTTTTTATTATTTATTTAGTTTACAACAGTTTAGGGTGTAACTTAATGGATTTAAGGATACAGTGCAGTGTACATTAATTGGTTTGCTCTAAATGTTTATGTCTTAAAATGATCTTATTAATATAATTGCAGTGATAATGAACATGTATTGACGCCTATAACTTTCATTTTATTTGTTTTTCAAGATTAAGGGAATTATACTGTAAACATTCTATCAAGAAAGATTTTATGGAACAACATAGAATAGGTTGTTTTTATTTGGGGTCTTTTGTCGAAACTTTCTGAACAAAGACATGCAATGTAGTACATGTATGTGCATTAAACATAAAATGACACATTTACTATTGCTTGAAAATTAGTAACCTTTCAGCTAGAACAGACCATGCTGAATACGAAGTTAATGAAAATATATAACTATAAACTGATTTGCAAATGTATAAATAATACAATAGAAATAACGAGATAACAATATCATCTGAGTTAACAATTACAATAATAGACTATGATAAATCTTATAAAATATATGTACCATGTAAGTAATGTATCATAAAACTATAGCAAATTTCATGCAATTGGATTTTAACAAAAAAATCATGCAATACAAAGACAGTCATTCCATGGAACAATAAATTTAACCAATGCATATTTGGGTTTCCACCCTTTGTGAAAATTAAAAGATCTACTTATTCTCATTTAATTATAAATAAGGTGTTCCTTTCGGTTTCATGTATAAAATTCAGCACTCAAGAAGTTGTTTTTAAAGTGGAGATCTAACCAGAGCTCAATGCTAACATTCTCAAGGGATTTAAAGATGGATGTATTTTCATTCTAAGATAAATGTCTACTTGGCTTTATATACATTAAAGATGATTATCTTTTCTTTGCTAGGTTGTGGATGTAACATGGGAATTGCCACTGGTCATCAGTCTTAACTCATCTATTGAGTTCACTTTCTGTAGTATTTAATCATTTATGTTACCCAGTCATTTACATAAATTATAGTTAGTAACAACAAGAGATTAGCTAATGCAGTAGAAGAGTGGAGTCTGTTGGTTAAAGAGATTAAAGAGAATTTTATTAATGAGTGGTTTTAGTATTCACAGGTTATTTCTCAACGTAGTCGGTAACTTAAGGGCAGCAATCCAACGATGCAATGAGCAATCCCATGATGCATTACCTGTCTGACAATCGTCACCAGTGAAATGTCTTTCACACACGCAGGTTCCAGCTTCTACATCAAACACACCATGGCCCGAACAATCTTTGGCACAGACTTGTGTGATATTTATCTTATCAGGGATGCTACATTCTCGGCCCTTAAAGCCCTTGAAGCATATGCACTCACCGTGCATGCATACCCCATTACCAGAACAGTTAGGTAGAACGCAGTCGACTGCAGACACAACAGAAAGAAAGATAGATGCAAGCAACTAATAAGACAGTAAGAATGATTACAGTACAAGAATATTACAGATGTGATGAATTCACTTAACAAATCTTTCTTCCAAAACAAAAACTCAAGTATACCCACTTCAATTATGTCGCCAACTTAATTTAAAACAATATCTAGTACTGCTTTTTACAAAGACATTTTAAAACAAATTTGAAGTCAAAATGAATTCATCACACTAGTAGATAGAACATATTTTTTTACGACGTTAACACTTATTACACCAATAATGAATTAAATTACATAAATCAATTTCGATGTTATTAAATTTATTAAAGTTTTAAATTATTAAAGACTGAGTAGGCTATATCAGATTATCGAGAATATACTGAATCAAATAAGTAATTTATTGAATTTTTGTATTTTGTTTTTATAATAGCAGTATACAAGTATCTATAGCACTACAACAACAAGCACATCTACACTACAATATACATATAGTGTGGCATATGAAAAGAGTGCATATAAAAAGAACTCAAAGTGTGTAGCACCACGGTAAAACTAAAAAGATGTTTCTAAATTGGACTCAAATCAATGGGATCAATATGTGCAGCCAGATTTTTTTAGTGCTTGAGATAATTTCTATCATTCTCTTGAGATAGGTTTCCTATCTGATTTACTATTTTCAGCTTTCCTTAATGGCAGACTGCATAGAAAGATATAGGAGAAATGTCAAAATATCGCAATATATAAAATAAAACATTTATTTCAAGAACTCACCAATTCCACAATCTAGACCTTGAAAACCTTGAAAGCAGACACACTGTCCATTTATACAATGTCCATTACCATTGCAATTAGGCACTTCACATTGATTTTCTTTTAATTCACATTCTTGACCCTTCCAGCCTGGATGACATGAACACTCTCCTCGAACATATATTCCATTCCCTTTGCAGATTTCTGGACAGGTCTCTAAAAAATAAAAATTTTAATATATGTATATACATTGCTTGAAATGGTTATTTTCTTTCCGAAATAGTGTAATTGTCCAGCCAAGAGTCACATTCAGGTGCATTATTTCATACGTTAATATTACAACTAAAAATGTTACCACTTTAATAGTAAGTGCAGGAGGACCGCACTACACGTAAAACAAATATCTACAAGATAAACCTGTGGACAAGACAGAAAATAGACATTGCACCAAATAAACAAAGAGGGCCGAGAAGCAGTTACAATAAGCTACAATAAGTATACAATAAACCGATCCAATTGGTAATTGAATATAGAACTGATTAGTATAAGTATCAAGAGAGTGTGGGTTTGATTCTATACATGCAGTAGCATCAGGTTACATAGTTTTCATAGCAATTTTATTTATGGTTATTTTTCTTATCTTTTTTTTAATATGTAAAATTGAAATCTAAATACCAGAGTAAACCTGGGAAGACAAGGCATTTAAATATATAAAATTTACAAATCATTGGTATCTTTTAAAGTGATGTTTATTTTACTTGTATGCATGGATTTATGCTGCCATCCATTCATCAAGACAGTCATTCAATGTCAAGAGTTATTAAAATGCCACTTGCAGAGACGAGTTGAATGCAACAAGAAGATCTTTAAATTCATAGCACATAAAGAAAATTATTTGGCTGTAATATTGATGATCATCTGGAAACATCAGTGTTTTATTAAAGATAAAAGTTTAAACTTGATTAATGAGAAGCAACTATTCCTGATAAAACTAAAAGCATTAAAGCACTTTATTTGTTAAAGAAAACATAATACAGATTTAATGGTGTTGAACAAGACCAGGTGAGCAATGTTACAGGCATTTCTTTCATCATCAAATGTAGAAAAGAGAAAATTTATTGGCTAAAATGAGCCTGAGTGAACAAAGAGATAAAACTAATGTGACAATTACTGATCAACCAAGCCAAAGAGGGCATTGATGAATAACATTAGAAGCATTAAATCCATGCAGAGTCAATCAAGTAAACACAGCTTTTACTTTCAATTAAAAATGGGTGAAAATCAGGGGGGAACCAGAAAGATAATCACCTGGTGACCACCATCACTTAATGGTACCACAGAACATTATCTAAAATAGCATTTCTCTACAGAACAAGTGAAGCAAGAGAATGTATAAAGAGATTCAGCTAACTGAAATGAATTTCTACAAGTGACAAATGATTCCATCTGTCCCAGTCCATTCAATGTACTCTATCAGATGACAAACTGATTAATCTTACACTTTTTATCTCAGCTAACACCCTGCATCAATTTCACTGACCATTCGCCTCCAGATATTTATCATAGAGAGTTTCTACAAATTTACAAACGGGGTAACCGTTCATGCAGAAGAAAAAGCAATTGTCTTTCAAAGTCAATTTGTCAACTTCATTTCTTTTATTGATAACATTCATTCAACTGACCAAACTCAAATTCTAATCAATTGAATTTTAATCAAAGATAACATTTTGCAAGTCACTGACATTTTCCATTAAATTTTCCAAAGTTTAAATGCTCATCCCACAGGTAGAATCAATCATGTTGCAATCAATTTGATTAACAAAATTTAAAAGAATTCAAAGAGAGAAAACCGGAAAAAGAACAGCTCTGAGGTGATTTGTATAATTGTTCTAGTTCCGATGTGAACTTCATTATTTTAATTACATCTTTTTGAATCATCAAATACTGTGTGTCACAAATGCATTATAATTGTATGTCAGCTTTTTAACTGTCACATGCAATTATCATAAAACTTAAGAACTCCATCTTAACACATTTTTGATGATGTACCGCTTTTCTTTTAACATGAGCTGGACAGAGCTGATACGGTTGATTTGAAGTGAAAATACTTTAAGTTAGTTTCTATAGATTAAAGTACTTTATAAGATGAAACTAGGATTAAATTGATTTTGTCGTCTGCACACTTGTGGTCTAAATTCCCAGAAGTACTTTACCAGTGTTTTCTTTTTTCAGCCACAGGGCATGAAAACAATTAGACCAATATCAGAAATGACTCACATGATTCTCACAAATTTATTTTAGCCATTTACACTATGGGGAGAATGTATCACGAGTCAATATTTTGCTCCAAGTATTATGAGCTGCAAAAAGTCAACAGGGACAAATTCCCTTTTATTGGTGCAACATGTAATGCCGTGGTCCCATCTATCCATGGAAAGCTGTCTGTTTAAGACACTTCTAACAATGATGGAATTTCTTCCAAAACAAAGGCAGTGAAAATTTGTTACTATTGGTTTATTGAGCAACCATTAATGTGACATAGTCCTGATTAACTACACTTGAAATATTACCAGCAATGATGTAGTATCCCTCATGCATCCAGCGTTGAAAAGCAAATTGACTTTTTTGCATAATCACTTTTTCCACATTTGGGCAAATGAAAATGATTAGACTATTTACACAGCTGTCTTTTTAACAACCTGTTTCCTTTTAAGCAAATTGATTTTGAATATTTCAACAGTTGTTAATAAAAGTGGGTTTCCTCATTATCATCTTTTACTTGGCTTATAAATTCTACACTAGGAGGGAATTAATCAATGGATAATGAGAGATTTAGGAGGCAAAGAGGATTGGATTGTCAAACCACAGCCATTTATCTGTTGGTCAATGAATGAAGTCTGGAAAAGTAAAGCAAATTAAAAAACTTACGTTGAGAACAATCGTCTTTGGTGTAACCATTAAAGCATTGGCATTGGCCATTAATACATTCACCATGGCCATGGCAATTTCCTTCGCAGCCTGTCTGTACTTCTGTGAAAAGAACAAAAATCATGGAATGGGGTACTTTGAAATTGTTTTCATCACAAAAGGAAGCTATCAATCCTTATAGATTATTTTGAATCACTTTAACCCTAGTATCGTTTTAAGGGGATCTCCTGCTTTTTAAAATCACCAGAAGTGATAATTAATCAAATGCAAATTGAAAACTTATAGTATTATTGTTTAAATACAAGGTAAACCCATATGTAACTTTGAATAAGATCGGATTTGGCAAAGATTTTTTATGTTTCTGGGAAAATACACTGATATCAATATAACTGTGACTATATGAAACCTATTTATTATTCTTAACTTTATGTGCTAACTCAGACATTTTCTATAAAGTTATTGGAAATATCCATTATATTCTTCGGCAAAATATGTCTTTTTACAGTAAGACATTGTGATGTAAAGAAGACAAAGATAAACTACCCAGTAGCATGTGAAGAGAATTCAATCATTATAAATGGTTCAAGTTATATACTGTCTGTACCTACCTGTCACATCAACCATAAAGGAGACGGTTTCTTTTTTAGTGTTGTCATTAAATAATGCCAGATACCAGGTTCCTGCTTTCAGGAACTCTACCATACCAGTCTCGCGTCCATTACTAAGGTTTTTCTGTTATAATGGAATAAAAGGAATGATATTTTAGTGTTGGATTTCAAGACAACAGACTCTGAAAGGTTAACAGCAAATATACCGTGTAGACTCAAACACAATAAAACTAATTTCTTTTGTCTTCTAAATGTAGTGAGTGGAAAAGACATGAGATTTAAAAGGTTCAACTTCCACTTAATATAAATAGGTAATAGGTTTCCATGTAAAATGGTGATAACTAAATATGTAAGTAGTACACAGTTCTTATCTAGTCATACTGGAATTCGGCATTCGATGGAGCCAAGGATTGTTATGCTGGATTTAACATTTGAAAAAAATAGTGCTTTTTAAATATGTATGACTTTGTACAAAAGCGCATAAAAACAATTATATGTTGCTTGTCAGTGAGATTTCTTCAAGCTCAATCGTCACTAACACTGATTCAATTAAAAAGCCATAAAAATTTCATTAATATTTGATAAGTCTTCTTCGTGGCTTATATTGTATTTGAGCTGAATTTTCACTGTGGTGTGCCAATATAAACAGTAACAAACTTGTATGTAACAAGGCATATGTAATAGCTATTAACCTGTCATTCAATATTAACCCATTCAATTTGTTGGGTGAAGAAAGGACATTAACCTGATGACAATCATAATCTAACATATATGTGTAAATATCAGTGTGTCTATCAATATTTCTCTATTTTCAACAAATAATTCAACAAATATCTCTTGAAAACATCTGGGAGCTAAGAGTATGTGTAAAGTCTGCTACCTAAAGACAATGTTCCAAATAATTTTGGGTTTTGTAATTAAAATCGCCTAGTAGCAACATTTGTAAATTTGCAGTTAGCTGTACAATTGAATGTCAATTAACCTTATCGACCATAATATGGATTGCAAGTTACTCTACATGCACCATTATTGCCAAATCCTGTGTGGTCCTATGTGCTTGAAAGTTGGAAAGAGCCATTGAAAATATTATACATTTCAACAGGATAATGAAATTCTGAATAGATTGAAATCAAAGGAAATTGTAAAATGTATTGACTGACTTCTTGCACATATGTCTCCTCCTTAATTATGAATCTTATCATTATTCTTGGAATCATAAATTACATTGATCAAAACATTTGCAAGTTTCTGCTTGATTACATGTCAATACATAAAAGTGAGAAGAAGCAGCCATGAAAATAATTGACAAATAGAGACCAGAATATACATCACACATGACTGACTCTTGATCCAACTATAATCATAAGTAGCATTCATAAACACTACATTATTATTCTTCCTGGGTATTAATCATAATCCACTCCAAGTCAGTCACATGTATATAATGGTTGTCTGGTAATGAATGGATTATGATGAACATAATTTGTATGTAAATGTGATACAATAATAAGATCTATCTTTGTACATGTTTCTATTGATATTCAGTCAACATGCAGATACAAATCAAATTATATTATACTTTATATTTGTATTGTGTGGCTAAAGGGCAATTTGCATGGCTTGATTAGCCAATGCATAATTGAGGATACACATGAGGAATTTGTTTTGTAAAAACAAGTACATTTAGCCTCAACATACGACTTTTGTTCGTTCTGAGAATAACTTTGAAGATATAATTCCTTAGATCTAAATTTCAAGGATTGATATACAAGCGTAATATGGAACAGGAACTGGGCATGACATCATTGCCACCATCTTGGAATTATGACATCATATCAATCAATGTGCAGTTGTCCAAGGAACAAGTATGCCATGTTCCATGTCAATTGTACTTCAATTGGCGGAGCTTTAGGCTTTTTTTAAAAGATCATCACCCCCAAGAAGAACAACAAGATGAGTGTCGCTTGGGGCCTAGTTTCGGGTTTTAAAATGTTAATAATATCACTGATTGGTGTCTGATGTTAGTTTGATTTCCTTAAAATATCTCCACATAAACTGATGATACATTTGAATATAAACATAGTCCTCTCTGGGTTTCATTTGAAAAATCTCTATTGACCCCTGCACCTTGCAGTATCAATGCATAAAGTTTTATATCTAACTGGTCAATCCAATAGCTTTAAGTTCTCCTATGGTACTTACATTAAAACAAAAGCTGTGACAAATATAGTCAAGATTTTCACTTATATGCTTTTTATCTAAAATATTTAAGAGTCTGGTTAATCAGATTAATTTGTTCTGCAGCAATTGATTCGGTCTTACTGCATGGATATACAAAATTATAATTTTACAAATAAAATGCTGTTTAGTCTAGTGTTTGAGGGGATAAAATTAAAAATAGAATGGCTATTATATTTTCTCAAAAATGCAATACTTACATCATATAAAGACCGTTTCTGTCGACTTTGAATTCGCTGTCCTTCAACAACTTTAAAGAAATCAAACTGTGCATGTGATGGAGACACACTTCTTCTACCATAAACACCTAAAATGGCTGATTCAGACAAGGAAAAGTTTAATTTGATAAAACCATCTTTATCTCTGGCTAATCTTGTGGTCCAGAAAGACTTGGCTGGAATTTCATGTTGTAGCGTTTGTCCTAATTTAACTGGTTTCGGAATGGAAGGTGGTAGCGTTGTTAAGATTGGGAAATTTGACATGGAGTCTGCACCTGAAAAAATTAATTTCAATTGAAATTAAATTCACTTTGTTAAGTCTGGCTTTGCATCAATTTATTTAACTTTTTCTCATTCGAAGAAATTCAATTATATGATCTTTTTAACTGAAATCAATTCGTTCGGCTACAAACTACAATAAATAATATCACTATCTTTTGAATCTTATTGCTTTCTAGCTAAATGCTTCTCTAAAATCAAACTTTACCATGCAGTAAGGATTTAGCAAGAAAAGCCAATTCAATCTTTTTAAGTCAAAATGTTATTAAGTTGCAAGAGAGTACTGATTCCAGATATATCTATTTTAGTATGAGATAAGTTGTTCATGTGGTTTTTACATAATTTGATTATATTTAATGAAATTTGTACTAGAAAATCCAATTTCTGGATACAAGTTTACGGGCAAAAACTTTTATTTGCAATTGATTTGCAACGCTCCAGGATTTGGATTCTGAACAAAATAATCACTGCTAAATACATCGTAACTCTTTTTACGAGTCTACTTCCTTTCCGTTAACAAAACCATGTATCGTGAAACTGGGTATAAAATTGGCAAGAGAAAATCAATACGCTTACCAACTGTCTTTTACAACATTAAGCTTAAGTCTTTTTCGCTTCAATTTGACGCAACTAGAGACAATGAGAAATTGTTGGCAATAAATCGGGTTGATATTGGATTTTTAAGGCTACAAGTGGAAATCAATCAGAAATGCCATGTAATCAGCAACAATGTGTTGTGACAAGTCAATCATTCTCCAACAGACGTAAACTTTTAAATTGAACATTTGAAAAGAATGACTTTTGGTAGGAGAAATGAATATCTTACACGCTTTCCTGTATGCAATTTCATTTATCTGCTAAATGATTAAAATAATGTCTGATTGGCTCACATTTAAAAGCCATTCTAGCTTCTGCCCAGTCGCTGGAATAGCTTTTCAAATGTAGAGATTGAGTTAGTATTGTTATACTGTGGGTTTTGTTAGTGTAACCATGCAATTGGGGAACATTTGAGAAGTGATAAAATAGCACATGTAATCATGTCTAGCTCTTACTACAATTCTATTTTAGTAAAGACCTCTTCAATGGATAATTTGTGTGAGATTTGATGATGAATACATGTGTAATGGAAATTGTCATTAAGATTGATATTACTTCCTAATTTTAATGTTTCTAAAATTCAGAAATTCTCATTCATTCTGAAAATTAACTGCATTTCATGCAAATACAGAGTTTGGATGTTCCTAATGGATCTGATAATTCCATTCCTTCATTTGCTAGGATTTTTTTTTAAGTTTAATAAATGCTTTCAGAATGTGTACTCAAATTCTCTGAATTGGCACTTTTTCAAAATGGTTTCAGCGCTTCATTGTTGTAAACACTTGACAAGATGGAGTCATTGACCACTTGATTCTAACTCTATAAATAATAAACTCATTCTGATTTTCTCTGATTGCTTGCAGTGGAGTTTTGGGTTTCATTGCTTGAGGGAACCCACCTGGTGTTGGACATGTTTAGGTCTGGCTTGAATCTATATCTATTTATCTCGCTTCTCAGATGACTTACAAAAAGTCATAACACTATCGCTTTGTTTTCCTTGCTCATGATAAGCAGTAGGATTACACTCCAAAATAAAATACATGCAAAAGGGTAAAAAAATACCCAACAAGGTTGCTCCTTCTGACATTTTCTTGTCTTGAATATATGAACACTTAACTCTTATTTTTCCAATTATTATCCAAACACTTGCCAACTTGACTGGAAATGTTTTTCATAAATATAATAAAAGCAAGACTCAATCAACAGCATATAGGTATCAAGTTTTTACTAGAAATTCAAAATATTTTTCATGCTGGTCAACAACATCTTATGTTTCTATAATCGTCCAGTCTGCTAGGAAAGTCAATATTTTCCTCTTTTTGAATATAATCTTTTCAAGATGTCATCAAGATATTATACAAACAATTCCAGAAGAAACATGATATGAGAAGTTCCCTGGCAGGCAAGTCTGTTAAAACCTGGCGATAATAATTCTTGTTCTTAATTATTGTCAATCTGTTTATGGAACTTACATATTCATCCTTAAAATTCCTTTAGGATATCAATACGAGAACACATGCAGTTTTATAATGTGGGACTTTCATTCAATTTTCCATAAAAATCTTCCATTCACGGAAGAAGATATATTTAGATAAATAAGAGCACATGCTGGACTAACACCAAGTATACATGAAAGCAAATCATTCAAAAATTGTTCAGGCATATAGATAAGAAGTAGAGTACACATCTCAAACTAAGGTGCCATTCCAACATGCTAAAATCACTAAGGTGATAATAGTGTCAATAATAAGGAAATACATTTGAATATTTAGAAAGTAGGTATCTGAAACTATAGTCTGTCATTGTGAATTCTGGTAAATAAGATATCTTTAATTTACTTATAAAAACAAATGTCAAAAATATGTTTAAATATGTTTTCTACATTCAATTTGGACTTTTAGAAATTCAATACCATTCTTTGTGTGCAGTATAGCAATAAACCAAGCTATAGGATAAAAGTAATTTTAAACTCGGTTTAATTCCAATTTCATTTTTCATGTACCATATAGTTTCAGATTCTTTTATAATGGAAATATGAAAAGATAAGACAGTTCTGTTAGTGAGGGTAAAATAACTTGTTTCTTTCGTATCTTGTGTTAGTAAGTATGTAGGATTGAAAAGGAATACTGCATCACCATATTATAATAGTCATTCTTTACGTAGTTACCTTGATGGGGCTTTTTATTTGAGGAATTGAAGGCACCATTCAAACCCTTTTGACATTTTTCAAGTTGCTGTTCTTTAGCAACCTTTTCTTCATACATGGACTTAACTGTAGATCACAACAAATAATAGCACAATATTAATAGCAAATATCATACGATTTACAAAATAAAACTAAAGCAAACATGATGAAGAAATTGCAGTCTTTGTGCTGTAAAATTCTAGTTCCTAAACAGGACTACCTATATATAGTAAACATTTGAGGTGTTTGCAATAAATTACAATATAAACTACTGGTATACATAAACTATAAAGCATTGGAGAGAAAATAAGCAGCAATGATTTGTATTAAAAATGATGTTAGACATATATTGCAAAAAAATTGAATTGACTTTGTATTAAGCAAAACAAACATAACATTATAAATGAAAATAAACTGGTTCCTGTGAAGAAAAATCTATTGCAAAAATTTATAAATTATTCATGGTTTATTTTAACATTTGTTACATGTGTCTGCCATGAGAGTAAAGAAAATATATTTAAAGACTAAAACAAGTAGAATTTTCCTTCTAAATTTCAACTGAATTATATATGTAACACCTTGTTTGACATTATCTAGTTTGGAGTTCAGGGATTTAAATAAGATCTTGTATGGTTTCTAATTTCCTTATATGTCCCAAATGACATTACAATTTATAGAACTCTCACTAACTGTGACATTTTTTTCTGAAATACAATATTTCACGGTGTTAACTTTATATATTATTCTGACTACATAGATGAAAGGTGAAGAGGAAAAAGAGAAATTCTGAACTTGTCACTTCTGTAGACAACTACTGGCAGACATGTAATTAAACCAGCCAATCAAAAAGCTTTATAAAGTGATACTTCAAATTATCAGTGTGCTAATTCTTCAAACCAGATGATACAAAATTTATTTCTTCAATATCAAGCTTGATCAAATGTGAAAACAGTTATTATATTTCGAAACCATATGGAATGATAATTTTTTTAAACTTTGAAATATTTGGGTTCAAAAGGTTTAAAGAGTCTGACGATTGCAGTTATGTTTAAAGTGTTCTGAAGGTGAAGGCAGCAGTAAACTCAATTTGTTACTAATCAATCTCCAATTGGCCTTGGGCTCTGCTTCACAAGATCATAGATCTGATAGCACATATCATCATAAATGTTACAGAAAATTTCCCCCATAAACCCTTGATGATATTAAATGGTTTCGTATGTGAAAAGGCAATAAAACATTACTGACTATTGAGAAAACATTAATCCATCACGCTAGGTCATATCGGTTTCAATCGGGTGTGAATTGAGGTAAGGTAATCACTAATACATGTTTTTATGTTAGCGATAGCATGTCAATTTACAATATCATACATTCTATCTTTTAACATCCGTTTATACATGGGTGATGAAAACTGGGCATTAGAAATCTCAGGCAATTTGCACTTCACAGATGCAGAAAGTGCTTGTCTGTAATTACAGCCCTCTTTTCAAATCCTGATTGCATTTGGTCTGTAGTTCAATACCCGAATGATACAAATCTAAATTAACATCAAAATTACAAGGTGGTAAAAACAAGATTTGAAGATAAACTAACAATAAAACCTAAATATTGCATTGTTGTATATTGTTCTAATAATAACCCTACACTTTCTTTGTTTTATTTTGAACATGTACGAACAGACATGTTTACATTTTGATAGAGTGAATGGTAAGAGTGCTTTTAAAAAAAATAATTAGAAACAGATTGAAGCACTTAAAAGTCTCCTGTTTTTCACTATACAGTTTTTTGTAATTAAAATATCAACAAATTCAATAGAGAAACTCATCTCACTGTTACATGTGGTAAAGATTACACAGAAAACAGTTGTATTCTTAATAAAAATTGATGAACTCAAAACAAGTTTTCAAGAGAACTTGCAATAGGGAATTGATAAAAAAAAAATAGTTAATGCTAGTTAATCAATTCAACACTTTGAAGAAATATACATGACTGAAAGTAGGAATGAACCAAGTAGCCTCCAGATCTGAAACCAGATGGGGTAATAAGGTAATATTAATCTCTTTGTACTCATGACATCTATAAAGTTTACAAAAAGGGTGGTAGAAATTCCGGATTGGAGGCCAATTGACGATCTGGGAATAACACAGCCAATGGCCATTGAGAGAAATTAGCCATCATAGTGATACATAAAACCTGCTATAATGAAGAGATAGGATACCCAGGTAAAGGTGGTCTGTGTAGTAGACAGATAACCACAGTTGCCATCTACAGTCTCGAGTACCATTTGTAACTTGTATTAGTCCTGAGGCAAATTAACTCAAATCAATATGTATAACATTAATGATTATTACCTAACAAACAGCAACTTCATATAGCTACCTTACACACATTTATCATATTTCACATACACTATTACTATAGATAATTAATTGAAAAAGGTCATTGGCTTGCTGGTAATAGAAGAACTGTTTTGACGGACAAAATCTGATAACCATTATAGGATCTGGAGGAATAATTTGGCAAAATAAGATAAAATCTATTGAAAACAGTACAAAGGATCTAAGTAAATATATTTTTCATTATTAGCACAGTTTTTCTGCCACATACCTTTAGGCGGACATGTTAAAATCTAACGACGACCCTGGTTAATGTTAGACAAACTGAGTTAACTGCAATATATTCTTTCTAGTCAGGAGGAATTCTTATCTTCAGTAACAAAATGGAGTGAAATATTTTCAATGTGTTTTCTTAAAGATCTTTTACCAAATTCTTTTTTTATTCTTAATTGCATTTCTATTTTCTCTTACTATCAGTTTCGGGAGAGAAAAAATTCTACCAATTTTATCCATCTTATTATACCTTTAAAGCTGGTTTCAATGATTTATCATATTTCATCCTCGATAAACATGGGTTCCTGAGTAAATGTTTTTGGATATATTTCTTAATATCTGATAAAAAGTTTAGCATAATGCACGCGAATATTAAGCTAATTAACAGTATGAATTCTTATTTTTATTAGAACCATGTGTATTGTATCTTATGCATGTGAAAAGATATTTCCAACACTCAGTAAGATATAGTACAAGATACATAATCATATCATAAATCCTAGCCTACATCTATTTTAATTCATAACACAAATATTAATTATTGGTCATAATCTGGGAAATATAACTGACAAATGGTTCTGGTCAATAAGTAATTTATAACCCTTACACCTTCAGTACTTTACTAATGGATTTATGACAACTAGTTATACCACGGCTGGCTAAAAAGTTCTAAGCCTATCTGTGAAAGACCTGTACAAAATCGATGTTTACCATTATTTTTCTACATAATCCCCTTTTGCCACACTTTTGCCAACGAGGTTCCTGGGTGCCGGTCAGGCAGAAATTTTCTTCAGCCACCCTAAAAAAGTTGTTTCACAGCTGATATGACGTCATCATTACTAGGAAAATGATGACCGGTTAGTTTCTGTCATTTTTGGAAACAGATGGAAGTCTGATGGGGCCAAATCCGGGCAAAAAATTATCAGGATCTGCTTCAGAACGTCCCAGATTGGCACCCATCTTGCAGGAACTTTTGTCATTCCTAACTTGTTGCCAATGCTGTGCTCAACCCTCTCAATCATCCATCAGCCATCACCATGTCATGCAGCCGGTTAATGTTTCCTTGAATGGTTGCTGTTGTTGGCCTTCCAGTATATATGTGGGTCATCGTCAAGGCTCTATCTGCCACGCTTAAAATCCACAGCCCACTTCTTTACTGAAGAAAAGGCAGGGGCAGGTACTTGATGACTGCCCTATAGCCAGTATTGTCCCTTTCTGGTGATTTCAATGGGTAGGTTCACAAGATGGTCTGGTACGAAGACAATAATAACACTACAGTTGCAGTTCTAATGTCTATAATTCATTCAATGATTGTACTTGTTGGAGGCAAAAGTTTGTTTCAACACAATTGATCTATCCATTACAGGCTTAGAACTTTTCAGCCAGCCCTTGTATCAAGAAAATAGATGTTTCAAAATCCGATATATCTTATTACAATTTACAACATCTTCACAACAATTACACTTTTATTTGGTCGACAAGAACTGAAAGGCTCAATACCACTCTTGTTGTAACTGAATAATATGTCCCAATCTTTATTCTGGTCAACAAATTGTACTATTTTAGAATATTTCAATTAATTGATGATACAAATTTCATCTTAACACACCTTATTTAAAAATTTTGAAAAATTCAACATAATGGTTTGAAACGTCTAACGTAAACCTTTTCAAATGAAACTTCTATTTAAAAATATTTTCGAACCCTCTGGACAAGTAAAATAGGATGTAATGGATAATTTACACAACAGGTAGGACACTTAAACATTTAGTACATAGATAGAGATATTATTTATTTTCTGGAGCTTTCAAGCCAGCAAGAGTGTTATTGTCCCTTTAAGAAATAGGTAATTTCAGACATTAGAACAGAAATGAAATGAAATGAAATTTGGTTTAACGTCCTACTGTTCTGCTCCTAAACTGGGCTAATGAAGACGGGCATACGCCATACAGTGTGCTATGAGAGAAATTTTGCACGGGCAGTGGCACTACGGCCTACTCTTATATCGAATTCCAACTTCCAAGGGATCTTTTACATGCACGCCAATGTGTACACAGGACCTCGGTTTTTCGTGCCATCCAAATGACTAGACAGGCCCTCCGTCCTGCATCACTGACAAGGGGGAAACCACGCTGGAAAATCTGGATGAACTTTCTCGGCCAACGCAGGGATCGAACACCCGACCTCCAAGCTAGCGCGCCAGCGTCTTACCCACTTAGCCACGTGATCCCCCCATTAGAACAGAGCTTCCTCCTCCTGACTTTAAATAAAGGTTCGGAGGTATTTAAGTGTTCCGATTCGATTGTAAATTTGTAATCATTGAGACCAATATCAGATATACTGAGTTGAAAACAACAGCTAAACTTGTTTCTTATATAAAGTAGGTCATATTAACTTGATTACTTCTACATTTTGAGTTTGTCTTGTATCAACTACTGAAACATGAACATGATTCACTGTTCTTTTTAGAATTAGATATATCAGTATACTCTAAAAGATTTAAACATTTACATGCCAACACATTTAGGCATGCAACATGAGCGTAGTTGCTAAAGCTCCAAATTAAGTGCTTTACTTTCAGAAAGATTCAAAGTTCTATACAAGTGCTTATTTCATGGCTACTAAAATACTCTAAGACTACACCATAAAGAGACATTTTTAGAAACTGAGAACTTTGAAATAATTATATAGTGCTTGTCAAATAGCAGTATAAACAGGAATGGCAATACTTTATAAACTGATTTATATCAAGGAAAGAAGTAAGTAACAAATCCCTAAAGCTTTTATCTTTTATTGCTACATGCCAATTATATAAACAGCTTAAATACAACCATATTTTAAGTGAATTATATCTGGCAACATTTGGATTTGATTCATTTTGATCTTTAAGGTGTGATAAAGTCAAACCGGGTGTTATGAATGTTATATTATCAAAGATAAACATTATTTATCAGAGTAAACAATCTAGTTCTGCTTGAAAAATCTGTTCATCAGAAATCTTCCTTCTAATCCAATCAATGATGTAATAAATTTTAGTTTAAGGTAGTAGTCTTTAAATATAGCATTAAATGATTGAAAAGTAATGTGATGAGGCTGAGAACCAACCGATTGTAATACAGATTGTAATAGAGAATGTAAACAACCTAAACATTGAAACATTCTGAGAATGACGATTTTGTGAAAAAATTTGGAGACTTACCAGCAAAATAAACTGTACATGCCAACAAGGCCACACACGTCATGAGTAATATCAAAGCTGTACATCGCCATGTACACCGTTGTTTTAAATGTTTCTTCATTCTGTTACTGGCACTACTAAATTTGGAATAATAATTATAATCTGTTGGTGGAGGGTAAGCCCCCATTGGAATGGTCGGAAGACCAAATTGTGGGTAAGCAGATTGCCTGAAATAAGACAAGAAAATGTCTGTACCATAGGAGTCATTTTAAAATCAGAGGTGATTAAGTACACAATTTGTAATAAATCATTTGATCCCAAAACCTCAGATTTTGAATATACATGTATACAAAGGCTAATCTAAGAAAGAGTTTATATCAAATTCCATGTACGCCATGAAGTTCAAAAACATGGTGCATTTGGAATTCATGAAATACTAAGGTTAGCATACCCAACTACATAAACTATCATGTGGCATTTCACATAAAATATCTTACTATCAGAACAGTTAACAATCAACATTCTCACCACATACAATTTAATACATTCATTTAGCATCATTAGAATTTTAAAGAGACATATGGTACCTAGAACTAAAACAAAACTAGATAAGATCAACATCAAAAATGTGTAAATTTATCTATATTTACAGCAGCCATTTATTTATATGACAATCAATATCTGAAACTCTTCTGTGTTTATGGAATCACATAAATGCCAGTGCAGTTAAAGATAAAACTCTAAAGAGTAACCTTATAAATCTCAGTTTTTGCTTCCAAAATAATGTTTTTTGAAACTTCAAAATAACAACTATCAGTAATAAAAAGTACTATTATTTTGGTTGGTACATGTAACAGTGATAGCTGTCATCGATCATACTGATAAGATCAATAGGAAAATAAACATTTCACAGTTTTGAAAAAGACTTAAAAATTATCAGATTAACCTTTGCTGTTAATCACATAAAGAAACCATAGGATATGTGTATCATGTGTCTTTGGTTGTGTCAGATAAAGCACAATTACAAACAAGCTTTACCCAAGTGATAAATGTAAACCAGATAAACTTACAAAATATAGAAAACTTGGTTCTCACAATTATAGAATAATCTAACAGTCGACATGACAGGGTTTATATAAATCTTGATTCAAACAATTAATTTACGCACCCAGTAACATTTAATCTGGGTATATATATAATCACTTTACAACAGACACAAATATTTACTTCAAGATTACTGATGCTCATAATTCATTCTTTTATAAAAAAGAAATTTGTTGAAGGATTGCTTAACCATGAATGAACAACTTATCAACAGTTTGAAGAACAAAAATTGGTAACAAATGCACGCATACCGTACCTTTAAACATGCAGCCAATCTCCATGAAATACCAAATATGATATCAACGTTCTCTAGCTATCAGACAGATTCTGGACAAAATTTGAATTATTTCTGCTGGATACTACGTCTGCATTGATCTGTAATTTGACCAGCATCTAATCTATCACAACAGACATTCACTAATATTGCACAGACTTCATAATATCAGAGACACCCTCCTAAACAACACTTATTTATAAACTACTATGTTTGTTTAAGGTCTAAACTTGTGTGTTATAAAGTAATATTTTTTGTCTATTTGCTGAAAGATATTTGATGAAGATATATGACCGAATGCAATGACTAGGATAGAAATATTAATCTGTCAAGAGAGTTTTTCATTTTGGTGATTTCCTGTCTGAAAATTTGTGATGGATGTGCAGAATGACCAGAACCTTTCCATTACGAATCTCCACAATTTTGATTAAATTTATCCTCATGTGGGATAAATATTCTCAAGACACTCCACGGCACCCACAATATTTCATTTAAACTCACAAATACTAATCTGTTCCATTAATCAAAGGATAGGCAATATTTACAAACATTTATTAAAACAAATATAGTGTGTGATTATTATGGTGTAACTTTGATTTGTCCCCATGTCATATTTCTTATTTACATAACCAGAGTGCTGGCCGGCTCATTCATATTTGGATATGAGGATTTATACAGTTAAATAAATAGGCAATCATTTGGCAAGCAATCTTGTAGGCGAATTGAGTAGCAAAGAGTGTTACGATTCCCACATTTTGTCAATATTCTACACACAGTGCTCACACAACTTGTAAATAGCCCAGACTGAATGAGCAATAAATTTCTATTGAAGTGACAGTTTTTTTCCTACTTGTTACACTGGAACAAGTCTACAGTGGACGTGATCAGACCGATGAAGATGACAACTTACTATGGCGGTCATCCACTAGAATAGAGCCGAGGTCATCCTCTATAATAACCCATTGCTTCTCAATTATTTGAACTTTGTTTACTTAGTGAGGGATTGCTCCTTTGAGAGTTACTCAGGTTTCACCTATTTCGGAAATTTATCAGCTGTCTTAGAATTTAAGATACCATCGAGGGCCTTGGCACCCTTTTAAGAAATTTAAACCACACTCATAATACAATATCAAATTGACAATTTGCACCAGAGATGAAATGGAATGAAGCAATCAATCAAGTGGTTTTTTAAATCTCTTGATGATTTCTTAAATGAGTTGCCAAACTTGTCCAGATGCAAATTACTCGACAAGTGTCTTTCATAGATGATCACTGGTCATATGAATTTAACAAAATCCAGTTTGTATTTAATATCAGAACATTTTCTAACTTTGTTGTTAAGCCAGTTCAATATTTAGATTAAAGATACATTATGTAAGAGCTAAATTTGCCTATTGTGGGTCTTTCTTTAGGCCTTATGTTATATAAATTATTAATTAGACATTTATTAACATGACAAGACCAAAATCAAATCTTGATGCAATCGGATGCTCGAGATTTTAACTAGATTAAAACGGTTTAATTTCGGACTTAAATATACCAGTACTGTGGTTATGATAATAAATAATCAAAGCACACATCTTGTCAAAACTACAATGATAACTTGTCTCAGAATAAAGTAATTCGAATGAAATTTCCAATATATTCATTTTGCAATTATCTATTTTGCAGCCCTTTATTTAAATTTTATATACTGTATCTTTAATGGAGATTGGTTGATATTATGTTAATTAGTAAAGAAGTAAATTTCTGGATATAGATTTGGATACAAGCAATCAACAGTTTACAACAACCACCTTTCATGTTTCAAGTATGGTCTTAAAATGTTTAGTTTGACCAGACATGAACTAAATAGAAGTCTTTATACTACCAGACGGTCAGTAATACATCCAAGAAGATAACATGCCAACTTAAGTCTAATGTCAACATCTTGGGAAGCTTTTTCTTGTAATTATTAACTCCTCATATCAATAAGATCTCCCTTAATTGCATTTATCAGTAACATGATTGAGTGAAGGAAATGACAGATTATTGTAACATATTGCTACAGTTTACATATCTCGATTCACTATCTTATGTAAATCCTAGCTGTTACACATACAAGTAGTTACAAACATCTAATCTTGAATCTTCAAGCAACGGATATTCTATTTGAGAGAAAATGACTGGTCATTAAATCCCATATAACCGTTTCACTAATGTACACCACCAATCTCGATGACAATCAACTGCATTTGCATGCATCCTGACTCAAAATAGTGCCATTTCAATTTCAAATTCATGCCTGCTAATGCATTGTTCAATTTGAATAAAGCCAGCACTTTATATTTGAATAGCAAATGTATCTAAAGAGAAGCAGCGCATGTATATTTGGTGAAGCAGAACGAAGTGCAATTCTATGAAACATTAAAAAGTCATCTATCTGCTATCAAGACAATCTTATTAAAATGTACATCTTGATTCCATTTACTTGCTAGTTCCTTTATCACCATTCAGATGATGTGATTTCAAGAAAAGGGCATAAAAAAAAAAGAGAACAGAAGTAGGGCCCACATTCTAATTAAGATTTTTTATCAATACTAAGTCAAAGTCAAACTTTTATTCAAATAAATTCAAATGGAAGTTCCTATCCATTGTATGCTCATCATCAGTAAACTATACTCAAAAATACTCGAAAAGTCCTCAATATAAATAAAATATAGACTTTTTTAGTTATTTCAGTGACTATATGGCCTATATTATAAATTCCTAACAGGATGTACTGGAATGCAAATTCACAACATTATGAGAGACATTCTCATTTGTTCTTAAAAACTGTGAACTCCAAATAACCATATATAATATCTGCTTTAAATTCAATGACATTACTTCACATTTGTAACCTCAGAATATCAGAGCAATGGTTTAAATTGTCAAAGATGATTTCCAATATGCAAAAAATTGGTCTGACATATAACGTAGTATGATTGAAGCTTGGCATTGTAATGGCATAGAAATCAATATTCTAACTTATTGTCTCATGCAATTCAAATATACTCCAACAATTCTAGAGTTCTAACACAGTTCTAACCATTATATCATACATTCACATTGGACATGTTATATCATGACTGAGAAATCAAGGCAATTTTGTCCAACATGGATTGCTGGTAAAATCAATACTTTCACTGACTAAAGAATGTAGATGTATGGAAAATCAACATGAATTCAATGAGTTCTATCTGTGTGTTTAGAAGAATTCTCTAGATACTAGTACAATAATCACACACCTAACATACACTGTAAATACACACATACAGTTACCAATATTAATCTTACCTTTCTATATTGTTCTGAAACACTACCGGTTGATCACCATTTGGATAATGACAGGGATAAGTATCGGAAAATCCTGAACAGTCGTGATATGGGTTGCTTTCCAGCTCAGAGATTCGTGTTGCAGGCACTGAGCCCGATCTAGGCACTGTTCGAGGAAAACGTGGCTGCACATCAGCTGAAACGAGATGCAGATTTCCAATAATTGATCAATAGGGTTAAGAAAGAGCCAATTCAACCTCTTTTGCCCTGAACCAATCAATCAATCAATCAATTTGTATTTAATCAGACACTTAGCTCGCTGGCTGCACATCCAAATTACATTATGGTCGGTATTCTTATAGAGTTCACGCTCCTCAATGTGCCATCAAGAAGTGGTGAATTATTTCTGATAGAAATAACATTATTTCTTATGGTCTTCATCAGAAAATTACATTCCAGCTAGCACGGAAACACATATGCCAATAGAGTAGCAGTTAAGGTGAATGACAAAATTCATATAAATGGTAATATGGTTGGTTAATGTGTGTTTACCATACAATAATATTTTATTTGCTCCATGCAAACAAAGTGAAGCCTGGTTTTATATGACAAGTCCAAGTAATCTTATTTATGTAATTGTTCTCAGATTTCTCTGTCCTGATCAATATGCTATTATACAAAATATTCATGAAATATTCACATTTTTTTTTTTTATTAGAACATCTGCCAAAATTGAAAATTATTTTTTTGATCATCATATTACGATGATTCTATCAAATAATTGTACAAGAAAATATTTGGGTTTTTTTTTTCATAATTATTAAAACCTGGCGTCAAGATCAGATCGCAAGTCATAAAAGAAGAATAATTTACATGAGATAAAGATAATTAAGTACAAATGAACTCAAGCATATGTATCTCAGCGTGGAACTAGCTAATTAATAACAAAAATCTGTAAATTGAAAGTACCCATGTTTGTACTGGTAGATGTAATTGCTTTTTGACAGAGTTTCATAATTACTCGGCTAAAAGTTTCTGCTTAATGTACGAAAGATAATATTGTAGACTCAGTGATCGGTGAGAAATCTTCCATTTGTCGATGCAGAAATAGAATTAAGAGCAGACATTTTGGCTCGATGCCTTTTTAACTTTGTGTTTATTTTCGTATCCTAGTTTTGGGTAACAAATGTCTTATTGTTCCAGCCTTAAACCAGTGTAATTACTGTTATTATCTCTCGTTAAGATAATAGCCCAAGAACTCCTTGTTACTGATATGCACATCACATGTTTGTTCTGTAAACCTAAATAGAAGTTTAAAGTTGATTATTTTGTAGATTACTGCCTTGTGGACTGGATAATCTACAAAGAATTAAGTACACAGTTCTTGAGAGCTGGAATCAAATGGCTAATACATGTATAGTTTAAATTATTTATCCTGGTTTACACTTGCTATCAAATGAATTGAATTTGCATGAAAATACAGAAGAGTTAACTTAGTTCATGAGTAAGAGTAAAAATATCTCTTATTTCATTTTAAAGAAGAGTAGGTGTCCTCGATCAATTTGCAGTAAAAACCATTAAAGAATTCCTGAAATTTTTCATTTATGCCTTTAATTCCTTTTTATGAGAGTGAGATTTCCTTTGTGGAAGTTTTATCTAAGATCATTCAACAAATATGGGCACTAATTACTGCCAGAAATATTTCCTATCTATTTTATGGATGATGATAAGATACCACTAGCTTCTATTTTCAACATGCAAAGTTCTCACTGGTTAAGATTATCTTTTTCCTCAGAAAAACTTACTTTAAGAGAGATATTTTACTCCACAAAGGGTAAAGGAGAACACAATTCATTGTGAAGCCAATGTATGACTGTTTACAAAAACAAACAAAATTCCCGAACTTACATATCAGAGGTTTTAAAATTCAAAAACAATACAAACAAGGCAAGAACCAGAAACAAGTCAAAAAGAAATTTAAATCCACAAAATGGTGAATTTTTCACAATTTTCTATTTTCATGAAGTATGAAATTTCAAGTTAAAGTTCAATGTGTACAGATGTTTTAAATCAAGGTTGTGTTTTAGAACATCTGCTTTAAAAGATGATCTGTTTCTTACATTACATTACTTCATTACTCTTGTTCATGTCGACCATATTATTATGATGTAAATTTTAGAGATGAACATTGCACTTAACCTTTATTTAAATAGTAATAACTGGATACACCCTGTACATTATATGTAAGTTACAATATACCAAATGCCCCCCCAAAAAACAGATTGTGTCAGTTTAATACAGTAATTGTATTCCATCGTGTTGTGTCCTCTGTATTGCCCAAAAAACTGATGCTAAAATTGTGTACTTCATGATAAAATTCAAGAATAGTCATCTGATAATTGCCAATAAATCGTTTGAGAAAAAAAAAAAAAAATGAAATTTCAAGATTTTAAAGTGACACTCCCAGATTTCACAGGGGTTTAGGTATGCAAATATAATGCCAAAAGTTAAAGATAGGTTGCCAGGCAACGAAACATACACCCACAGCAACTAAATCGTCCGGGCAGTCAACAAGGGTTGTCGCATATTTTTACTTTTTTCGGTAATGAAACATTTATAATACACTAAAATCTGATTAAGAGCAACAACTCACGAAGTAATTATCAGAAAACTATTAGAATTTGTTTGGTTTTTATAAAGTTCTGCCCCATGCTGTCTCATGACCTCAAACACTGTGTATAAATTTAAACTCAATCGGATATTAACTTTAGCCTCTAGAGCATCCACAAGATTCTTTGAAGTGATCAAGGGCCATAACTCTGGCAGTAATTATCGGAAATCGCTGAAAATCAATAGGCTTCTTCGTCTCATGACCTTAAACACTGTGTATAAATTGAAAGTCAATCGGATATTAACTTTGGCCTCTAGAGCGTCCACAAGATTTTTCAAAGTGATCAAGGGCCATAACTCTGGCAGTAATTATCAGAAATCGCTGAAAACCAATAGGCTTCATCATCTTATGACCTTAAACACTGTATAAATTTAATGTCAATCGGATGTTAACTTTAGCCTCTAGAGCATCCACAAGATTTTTTGAAGTGATCAAGGGCCATAACTCTGGCAGTAATTATCAGAAATCGCTGAAAACCAATAGGCTTCATCATCTTATGACCTTAAACACTGTATAAATTTAATGTCAATCGGATGTTAACTTTAGCCTCTAGAGCATGCACAAGATTTTTTGAAGTGATCAAGGGCAATAACTCTGGCAGTAATTATCGGAAATCGTTGAAAATCAATAGGTTTCTTCGTCTCATGACCTTAAACATTGTGTATAAATTTAAAGTCAATCGGATATTAACTTTGGCCTTTAGAGCATCCACAAGATTTTTTGAAGTGATCAAGGGCCATAACTCTGGTAGTAATTATTGGAAACCGCTGAAAATCAATAGGCTTCTTCGTCTCATGACCTTAAACACTGTGTATAAATTTAAAGTCATTCGGATATTAACTTTGGCCTTTAGAGCGTCCACAAGATTTTTTGAAGTGATCAAGGGCCATAACTCTGGCAGTAATTATCGGAAATTGTTGAAAATCAATAGGCTTCTTTGTCTCATGACCTCAAACACTGTGTATAAATTTAAGGTCAATTGGATATTAACTTTGGCCTCTAGAGCGTCCACAAGATTTTTAAAGTGATCAAGGGCCATAACTCTGGCAGTAATTATCGCAAATCGCTGAAAATCAATAGGCTTCTTCGTCTGAAGACCTTAAACACTGTGTATAAATTTAAAGTCAATCAGATATTAACTTTAGCCTCTAGAGCGTCCACAAGCAATTGTGGACGCCGGACCGCCGGCCGGATGGCCGGGGGCGGCGACAATATATGACCACATTTCAATGTGGGCGTATAAAAAGTAAGTAGTGTTTCCATTGAGTATTAAAGGTGGCTTCAAGCTAGCAAATAAATCAAAAATTTCTCAGGTACAAAATAAAATATTCCAGGTGAGATCCAACCCTGATTTTATATAATCTGGCAATGACTTATTATTGTATTACTGGCCAACTAATGGTTTATTACATCTTGCTTATCAAGGCTATACTATTGGGAAACACAAGTTAGATGACAATAAAGTCAGGGAAAATATATCAGTACCAAGCATTTTCATTGGACATAGTATTATAGTCTATTTACCTATTTCAAGCCAAATATTGAGCTGTTCAGTAATGATCACTAGATTTTCTTATTCTATCATAGTTGTGACTTTATTAAAGTGCTGATCATGAAAACTATCACTTCAGCAAGTACATATAGTAATGTTATCAAGGTAGTTACGTAGCTTGGAAACTAAAGTTTGTATTTCTTTAAAAAAAAGTATCGCATAGTTTCAGGTAGTTATACAGGACTAGGATAAAAGGTTTCAGAGAATTTATCATGTGGAATTAGGGAGCTGCAGTGGCTTGGTGAGTAAAGACGTTGGCTCACTAGCCAGGAGGTCCCATGTTCATTCTGGGTTTTGGTTGAGAAAGTTCTCTTTTTCAGTGGTGTATTATCGACCTGACAAGAGACAACGTATAGTCTTTTGAATGGGATGAAAAACCGTACATATTGGTGTGCACGTAACAAACCCTTAACAGTTGAATTCGATATAAGAGTAGGCAGTGGTGCAAAATTTCTCTCATAGCACTCTATATGATGGCATATGCCGGTCTTCATTAGCTCAGTTGGTGTAGGACGTTAAAACCCATTTCATTTTATTTCACATAAAATTAGCTAGTTTTATTCACTAAATTATATCTGAGACTTTAAAAAGGCACCAATTATTCAAAAGACCATTAAATTATAACTTTATATGACATTCTTTCAACCATTCCAAATTAATGAATTTGAAAGTGATTTTTTCTGGTCAATCATTTACATTTAATCTAAAAATAGTATGTACCAAATTAAATAATTGTATCATCAGAAGAGAAAATCAGATACAGTCTAATGGTTTTTGTTCATAAACATGTCAATATAAGCTCTTCATCTGTCAAATAGATTAGACACAATAGAACCATCATTGACTGATAGCTTTACAGTTAATTTACAGGCCAGTTACATACTCGGATGCTAATATAGCTGGAAACATTCACAGCTGTCTTCAGTCAAATTTTTCCAAATAAATCCCTACCATGTATATCCTCACCCCTAGCAACATTTTACACCTGACCCCCACCAGGAAAAAAATATCTAAGGAGGGATGTACCACCAGAATAATATTTGCTTTCTTTATCATATTTCATTTTTATTTTTTGCTTTGTACTTCCAGTTTAGTTTATCTTTGGCATGTGCTAAAAGTGGTGCAAGAAGCTAACATCAAGTGATACAATATGCTTATTTTTATATTAGGAAAGAAGTGATTTAAGTCTATTACTCAGTAAATTGTGATAATATCCAAATAGGCTTAATTATTTTTATCAAGTTTATCATTTATAATGTATGTGTACAGGTATTGAGCCAGTTTTATTATCCATGACTATTAAAATGCTTGCATTGTTGCATGCCAAAGATTTGTATCAGTCATTTTATTGTGTGGATTCCACAGCTTGTCAGCTGTACTTTATTGGCAAAGTTTTATTAACCAAATCATTTTGAAACAGCAGTTATTTTGACCAATTGACCCATGACACGGAAATAAAACTTCCTTTTAAGAGGAGGATGTGCTGGTATAAAAGGAAACAGTTCTGAAAAATTTCAATGTGTTTATGCCATGATGGACATACTAAATAAAAGGCAGATTTAGGTCAGCAAGAAGGTCAAAGGCTTAAGACCACCAACTGATTATTTCCGCATAAACAGGATTTTCCTTCCACGCATTAAAGTTTCAACAAATTCTTTAAATCCACAGAAAGTATACACTAAAAAATGAATTTCTATTTCATGGTAATAAGAGCCTATACATGCTTACATAAATATGTCAAGTTTAGAAAATTTGTCAATTAAAGATCTAATGTTAACTTCTGCATTTCCAAATTCAAAGTGGAATTATTTATTATATCAACATTGACATTGTGAGATAACATAATAATTTCTTATACCTTGTACTAAATATGGTGGTTCAAAATCTCCTTCAGTTTCCATCAAGTGCTGGCGTCTCAAACTTTCTGCATCTGAATAGTTTCCTCTTACTGAGGGGCCAAACTGTTTATGACGTAATGGACCAGGACTCCGCTGTGGAATGTCTTCTATAGGAGGTGGTGGTGGGGGAGGTGGTAAAGTGGGTGGTGGTATCGATCCTACAAAACATACAAATAAAATTTACAAAATAGTAAACATCTAATTGATTGTTTTCATTGACTATCACGAATATAGATGTTAAAATGAAGTATAATAAATAATGTTCAGTTCGTATTGGTACATGTACATAAAATTCAAATATTAACATACTGCGACAACTAGACATTACACTAAATAACAGAAAATACATCTTTGACAAAATGACAATAGGACTAAAGCATTCTTTCCTTATTTGGGATTTTCAAAAAAAAATGCAAATTCAATAAGATTTTCCCTACTGAAAAGTTGTTTTCACAAAGATCTAATTTAGAAGGGTGTAGGAAAAACAGCAGCTCGAATTAAGGGAAAGTTTTAAAACGTATAACCTTCTGATAAGCACTAAATTGAATTTGTTCTCATTTGTCTCGAATGGTTGTGGGGATGTGTTTTTGTGTAAAATTTGATTGAAAAAAGTATGTTGCCAAAATAGCCACAAGACATCTCTGACTAAAAGTGATTGTTTGGCACCTAAGAGAAATCCGCACCAACAATACGTCATGTAAACAGTTTATAAGAATATCACGTTCTACTTACAAAAGCCATTGATATTGATTGAGGGAATATTGCAGCAAACAATTTGACATTCGTGTAAGGATTATCAGTTCTGCCATCGTTTGTGGCCTCACCGACCAATACACTACAATAACATTTCTCTAGCTATTAAATTAATACAGTGAGCAATTTCCCCTGGGCACTCAGTATAACGATAATCTAAAATCAACTAAATTTCTTTAGAGAAATCTGCCAATACACCAGAGGAGAATCTAATACCCTCTTGCTTCATTTTCCAGATCTCTAGTGAAATTATTTTCCAAAGATCGTGCCCAATTTGATCCCTTGATCATAAGGGAGGCAACACCTTTAAGCTCCATCATTCCAAATTAGGAAATTCATCAGACAGACCGCTAAAAGCCTCATTCATTATGCAATTGGTTCAATTAGACCATCACCCTAATTGTTTTATGGCTGCAGTCAATAGGGGTGAAATCTTCACTGCTTTAAGCAATCATTAAATTTTATTTTGAAATACTTTAATCAAATAATAGTCTAACCGAAGACAATTGATGAGAGTGCAGGAATCTCTCAGGAATGAATCATATCATCAATTCAACTCATTTATGCTAACGAACAAAGCATTCCCCCATCACTTCCAAAAAATATGACAAATTGAATTTGCAACAGATGCAAAATAAATACAAAGAATAAATGTTCTTTAATGGGCTTCTGCATTCCGACGAGTGTATTTTGACTGGTGGGAAAATCACATCACGCATGTCTTTATATACTCAGAATTTTGCCCCACATGCCTTCACATTCTAATGGCCAAGGGATCATTATATCCATGGTTCTGGTTTCTAAATTTGTGCAATAATGTAAGCAGTGTACATATTCCTTGAATATCTCAAGCTTGGATCAATGCATTAAAGCTGATAAAAGATTTTTATGTTTATGGTGTCAGATTTGAACCATCAACTTTCATAATTTATAAATTGCTCATGTGGCGAATAAAACTGTTAGATATAGATATCAATGATACTTATAAACAAGCACAGATTGTTTAATATGATTTCTTATCTGTGCAAATGTGACTTTGTAGCACATCAAATTTAAGGAGTAATGTAGTTTTATCAATAACCTGCGACTTGCCATTAATAATTCCTTTTTTATGTAACTCTATGAAATCATTTTTAATCATTTCCCTCGACGACTATTTGACAATCAAACATAAGTTAGCATCATCATGGGAAATCACCATATCTCGTTCTTACTTCATATAACTTATACATACTAACACGTACAATTTATGTTATTATCATCAAGAAACACATCAGTTGTTGCACGCACACAACAGGGAAAATTTAGCAGACTCTCTGGTTCCAATGAGGATTATTTTATATTATAAAGCTTAATGGATGGCTTTTCACATTATATGTTAATATATTATCCATAAATATTTTTATAAGCATGGCAATATAAATATACTGAATAGAATGACAACAATAAATTTTTCAATGTTTGTACCCTATAGAATCATGCATCAAATCCCAACTTTTAATTTTCAACTCAAAATTGTTTTATTATAACTTGATAGATACCGGTAGAAAGAAATATAAAGATTTTAATTTATTTAAATTAGGCATCCTTTCAAAACTGAATCTAGAATTCATATAACCAGTAAACAGTAAAAAATGTTCTTTTCATTTTTAATCAGTGTGGGTTTTGGTAAAAGGTCTAAGTTAACATTTTTAAACAACAGCAGAGAAGAGAAGGACACTTCTAGAAATGACTAATGGCAATTTCTATTTTCTTTGAGTATGTCACATGTGTGCAGTATTCAGAGATTTATGTCTGGGTAGTATTTTTTCACCTACATTTCTTTGCATTCAAACAGCCAGGACATCTTTACATGTACTACTAATTTGCATATTCTAGACCACAACTTTCTGTCCCCATCTGAAGAACTAGACACTTAGTTGTTAGCCCCTCAGGCATTGGGAACTGATCCGAAACATGAAACATTATTGTCTTTAATGTATCCTGATTGTATGCTATTACCATGTATGACAGGTACTAATGTGTATCAATTCTGAAGTTGAATGTCAGGATGTTTCTGGAGGATATCTTTAACCATGATTAGTTTCTCATTTCTACAAATTAATGGAAACCTCTTCTGTCAAATCTTGCAGTGTGTGTATATAAGACAGCACGTTGTGGTGAATTTTGAGTGGCTGTAATTGACTACATGGCACATCTGTTCTTTGTCTACCGGAGATTATATAGACTTACACAATAATATTACTTAAGACTTCGTTATTACCATTCAGATTGGTCAAGTTACTAGACAAGACATGGAGTAAAGCTTTAAGTAATTTAACTAAAATGGATGGGAAATAGTTTGATTTACATGTTTATCTGGGTAATAATTCTTTTCTTTTAAGGAGATAATAGTTGCGGGGAAGCAAGATAATGGTTTTCTGGGTATTCTATACAATCTATCAGTGTATGATGGCAGTTTTATGGTTTTAGTGGAACCATTATATTATATTGTCCCAGCACTCTTGCTGATAACAAGGTGCAGAATTTTTGCAATTCCATCTCGATTCTATCTCTGACTAAACAAGATGTGGTCCCAATGGATATGTAGCCAAGATGTGGTCCCAATGGATATGTAGCCCACAGATACATGTCTAGAAAACATTCGTTATGGTCTGATCTATCTCCTACATTTAAATCAATTTCAACATAGCTGCACTAATAAATTAATACAGAAAGATATGTTATTGATACAGTGATAAAATTTAATACTGGTACAGAGCTTTTGTATTTATAATATTTAATCAAGTTGTGTCAAAACTGGTAATTTAATAAAACTTTCATGTTACTAGCATTGAATATTATGGCCATTCCCTTTATAGAATGCAGTTTCAGCTGCAATTTAGGTTTACCATCAGTGATATGAAAATGCTTCTATGTATGTTTGATTATCAACAACTGATATTCAACTCGAGATGATTTATTTTCATGCATCCTGAAAAAGTATTTTACTGCAATAACTAATTTTCACATCAACTCAGAGCATCATCAACACAGCAAGTTTCTATCATAAATTAAGAAGTGTGAAGAAGTTAAACTTTCACTGAAAGCCATTTGTCACAGTTTGAAGCACTTGAAAGATGTGTTAATGACTAGCTCTTAGTTTCTAATAGACCCTTATATCTGTAGGTGACATGAGATATAGCTGCCCATTGGTACCCACTAGTTTGGTAAATGATGCTCTTTGAAGCCCTAATTGCACCTAAATCTTGATTTCAGTCACTTAAGTGCATCTAATAGTTTTATGATTTTAAAGAAAGAGTTCAAGAGATGTGAAAGCAAGAGATTTGAGGATCAAGAATCAGCATTTCTATGACTCACCATGATGAAAAAATCTATACAGGAAGCACATAAACTTGCCAATTCTATGATAAAGAGTATTCAAGACTTTAAACCTTTATCCTTTCCACTCTATTTTTTCTTAAGAAGAATACTCTAATGATTAGTGCTAAATAAGTGTAAGTTAATCAGCTTACTACTAGTAATGAATTGATTCTTGAGTAATCAAATATCCTACCCGACAACTTAAGCGGTTATTCTCAAGACTTTACACATGTACCTTTCCTTCATCATACCCAATGCAAATTAGGAAAGATACATCCATTTAACAATATTGGTAGTAACATTTCTTGACTAAATATATGCATTCAATTTGAATGATAGGTATTATAATATACTGAATTGTAATAAAACCACATCACTTATTTAAATGTATTCATGTAAATCTTGTTTGAAAGATACACTTTAAACTAGCATGTAATAAATAAAATCAGATAACCATAACATGTGAGAATGGGGTTTTCAGTAGTGAACAAACCACAGATTAAAACTCTTAAACATGATAATGTTGAAATCTAAGATTTTATGGTGCACACTTGGAAGATACACAAGTATTCCAAGAATGACACCTCTATACCGACAATATGCCAGTGCTTTAATTCATTAGGGCATGATTACAACCATCACCTTATGGTTTGGATGCTATCACACTACCATTTTAAGACTGATCGACCCCTTCCCCACAACAAGACCCCCACAATATCCAGGAAAGTCTGCAGGATTGCACACTGTCAGGTTCGTGTACTGCTGCTACTGTGAGGGGTCAACATGGTTTAATTAGCATTGACAGCCTTACATTGGTACAATTCAGACAAGACTGCTATAACTTTTAATTTTGCCCTGTTAAATTGTGATGGCTCCCCATGGGTTGCTAATTTTGTTGTGTCATTACATGTACCGGTATATATCCAGCCAATATTTTAACCGTTTTCTCTTTAGCGTATCTAGTATAAGGCATATTAGCATAGTAAATAATTTCTAGTTCTATATCCTTTGTTCATGTAAAAGCATACTGTAATTAAGGACATGGTTTACCAACATTCACCAGAAGTTACAATATGTTTGACTGATGATAGATTGAATGTTACTAAGTGATGGGCAAGAAAGACAAATGTGTAGCTAGAAATCTAATTCCCCTACCATCTGTGACACTGCTGACAAACCTCAAGATTTTTGTTAGTGCTAATTGCCAAATAATTCCTTTAACTCAAAAGAATGTTATGAATATATGTAACATGATTTCTAAGTATGCCAAATAGTCAAGATATTTTTCTCTTGTTTAGGGCAGCTGGTGCAACTTTATGTTTTCAAATTCACCTTTTGGTATAAGCTAAAATGTAGAAAATTGTTCTCTCAATTTCAAAAGTGCATCTTAAAATACAGTCATGTTCTCATTAGAAAAATACCCAAGATTACTTAACACTGCATTTGTTTACCCTTTATAAAAGTAAAAATGGCTTTAATTTGTTGGAAACATGCAACAGCTATAATAATGTATAAGCGTGAATATATTAGACAACATATTTAATGATGGTGAAACAACAATGCAAGCTACTATAGTGATAAACATTAAAAGCAATGAAAGCCATAACATAAAATGCACCCATTTCTGATCCATAAGCTTAACTCATCAAGAACAATGATGATGGTGATGGTGATGATGATGATGATGATGATAACTGAATTCAATTATTACCTGTCCGACTGCATCTTCGTACTGGATGACGATTATCTTCTTCAGATTCTGATGTCTGTGCTATTTTGATTCTTTGATCACCATATATGGGATCTGGAGAGCGTACAACTGGTTGAAAAGCTCCATTTCTACCCAACAAGGGTACTGCTGAAGGTTTTGGTGTATCTATTTCTTCATCGCTGCCACTCATATAACTATATGCTCGGGCATGACCAGAATTATTGCGTCCAATAGGAGAGACAGCATGCTCATCAGGTGTGAGACCTTAAAGCAAAGGCAAGGTCTAAATATACATAAACACAACATCAACATAATCAACTAATAAATAGCAGCATTAAGGTTGTTTACATACATATATAACATATCTATAATTTAACTGGATATAAATTGGTATTAATAGTGCTGTCTTTACTACATGTAGATCTATCTGTGCAATATGATTTTTTTTTTTTTAAATTTCAATCATACTTGAATATTCTTGTTATTTTGTTCGAAATAAATATTCATGTTTTAAAGGATCTGTCATGTAGTTATTTCCTGAATCTATAATAAAAGTTTTAAACTTAAGGCCATGGATTTACTTACTAATAAAATTTGTAGATTTATAAAAGATTATTTATATAATAAAGATAAAATAAACAGCTATTACATTATATGAGAAGATGTTAATAGTAGGTTCAAATCTGTTCTTTTTCATGCTGTCACTAGAGACAACTAATAAGGCTTCCTAACACTTTTTGATGCAAAATTATTAGAATGCATAATTGCATTATAAATGGAATTGCAATCAGAGATTTATGCATAAATTGTTTTGTTGTTAGTGTTTGTTTCAGGTTTTTTTGTTGTTTTTTTTTCAAGCTTTTTGTAATATCTTTCTTTGCAAAACATCTGATTTTCCCTAATGACTTAGGAAATTAAATTAATTACACAGCTTCCAACCTAAAGATATTAGAAACCACATCATATGGAATTATCAAAATGCAATTATCTAGAAGCACACATAGCATAACATTTAGAAGCAATATTTCAATATTAAATTAATCTTCATTAAACTTTTTCAATAACACAGGCAAGCTGCTACATCAATGCATTTGTTGTTGGGTTTTTTGTCAATGTAGTGTACACTTTCATTCAAAACCATTATTTTTTATTTTTCTAACAGCATCAATAATTATGGCAAACAGAACATACACAATAAAACAGGATTTTGTTTTATAACAGCATCAATGGCTATGTCTAACTAGCATCAATAATTATGTCTAACGGGACAAATAAAATATGACAGGATTTTATTTTTATAAGAGTATCAATATCTATGTCTAACAACACATACAAAATGATTGATTTCAATCAGCTGGTATTCTGCTCCAATTATTCAAAATCCAGTTAATTCATTGGATTATCACATAACATAAGACTTTGATTTGTGACTAATATAATCATAATCATATGTAACAATAAATAGTGCTAAAACAACTTTAATACAATATCCTACAAATTTAGGGTGGTGACAAAAAATTTCAATAAGCCGTGCCTATTTGTTATTTGAATGTGTTTTTGGTTCTTTTGTTGTTATCATATGCCAAAATAACAAGATATTCTAGTAGACAAAACTATAACGTTATCCAATCAAAATATCCTGTCAAAACTAAATTCCCAACAGATTAAATATAGCAATGCAGACTAATTTCTTCTCCCTCAATTCATTTAGAGAATAAAGTCGTGGTAAGACATCAGGAAGAAAACAATAAGATTTGCCAATATTTTCTGACTGTATAATGTTAGTTGATCTGTCCTTTGGGGACCAGCTACTGATCTAGTGTATTGATGAGAGCCCAACTGAAAACCTGAACATCTGAAAAAAACTTGTGGGAATATTTCTAGTTGATATTAGATATGGGTTACAAATCCTGATTAAACCACACGAAAATGTAGCAAATTCAACAGTCCAAAAGGATTAATAACTTTATAGGTTGTAATAAATTTGAAGATCTTGAGATGAAAGATTCTAATAATATCATGATTGAAAGTACACAATATATTATAAGAAACAACAAACTGTGCCATTTTTTTTTTCAATCTCTTCAAATTCAACAGCCTTCATTTCTCGCAAAATATTTTTACAAATGGTCTGATATTTCAATTACTAACACTATAAAATCCTTGAAAACAAGCCCTGCATGTTGCTGTAGATTCAGCCGATTGCAATTCCTTGTCAAATTAACTCTCATTTCCTGATCACAGAAAATCTATGAAAGTGGATTAAGACTAAGTAAATGATGAATGTTGTCAAACAAGCAGGGTGAGGCTGATATCAATACTTGACAATAATGACCATCTACCAAGGTGGTCCTTTATTAGCAAAATGGCTTCAAATATAGATTTCCCTTATTTATCATTGTATGCCAAAAATAGACCAATGTAGGATATCGAAAAGAATATTTCACAAATACCAAGATAAATAAAACTCAATAAACAAAACTAAATCTGGAACTATAAATACCTTATTTAAATATCGATTAATTTGAGAATCAATTTTCAAATTAGAATGACTTTCAAAAATGCTTGACTATAAATTTTAAGGCAACAAAAAATAATGAAATATCTAAGGCAATTAACCTGTTTTTTTTTCCTTCTACACCAAAGTATACTTCAACTAATATGAATAGCCAAAGAAATATTTGCAATGGAAGTCACTACCCGTGGGGGACGCAGATGTCTGCTTCATATATGTTGTGATCCTCAAGAGACAAATTAGTGAGCAGAAGCCAAATTTCTTCCATGTGTCTGAGTGGAATAGAAATAAATATTCCCCTCCAACGTGTCATGTAGAAAGGGCAAAACAAATATACCATTGCATAACAATACTAATATTTTGGAACCGAATGCCTGGAAGGTTGTTGCCTAAGAGATTTTCAAGTGAGACATAGAACAACAAAAGTGTTCTAAATTCCCAGATTAAAATGCCATATATTTCACATATTTCATACAGACACTTGTATTATACTTAGTTCATTGTCTTATCCCTCTAAATTTAATATATAATTTTTTCACGATCTGAAGTCAATATCATAAATGTGCATCTAGTAAAGATCCAATTTTCAAAAATCAAGTTTAATTGTATGAGTTCAATAGAATTCAAAATAATGGTCTATTGTTGACAGCCATGTTGGTTGCTTTTTCATAAAATATCTGAATAAAAACAATTAAAAAATGTTCATGAATTTCAGTTTAATAAAAAAATATATCAAAAAATATTTTAAGCATCTTAAGAATGAACTAATCTTTAAAATAGATAATTACAGCAGGTTGTTTCGTTTCTAAAGAGGGAATTGCATGCTAAGATTAAGTAAAGACCAACTACATCTACTCCCTTTTCTCAAATTATTTCCTGTGTTTCAGCCATTTCTTAATAAGTGTCTGACAGTGATGGAGGAGCAAGTGATCCCTGTCGAAATATGTTCCAATTAGAGAAAGGGCTGGTTACAATTTGAGTTGATAATGTCTTGAGACAGAACTGTTTTAAGCAGCCATTGAGTTAAGATTGTATTTTAATTATCGGCCTAATTCATCAACAATTACATGGAATAAAACGAATGTAATCTCAATGGTAATGCATCTAATAGACCATCAATCACTCATTATAACATTCAAAATTCTACAAGACTTCTACTAATTCACAAAATTTTATTTTACCATTAAGGAAGCTGCTGAACTGCTTAAGTGAAAAACAACAGAACTGAGAAAATGAGTTATGATAATTCTGTATGGAAATCACTTTTTAAAAACCATGTCTCTGAATGGTACACTGACCAAATGAAAGTTAATCTGTTTGTGGCAAAATAAATAACCATTGCCACATTGACAAGCAACTTTTTCAAATTTCTGAAACTTTATTTCTGTGTCATCAGATGTGTAATGCTTGAAATACTTTTAGTTTGATCTTTATCTATGCAGATTTTTCTTTATCATTTCAAATTGAATTGAATGAGATAATGGTGTGAAAATACTACAATTTTAATGAAGCTGTTATCTCCTATCATTTATCTGTAGGCCTATGTATCTATTCTCTAGACGAGCAGTTGATTTGAACGGCTTTGTTCTATGCCATTCATAATTCATAGCACACACATTGCTGCAAAACTAAAACTAAATAAAAAGCATCACACACGTAAGAGAATCAAACAAAGAACTTTTTGAGTCAACTTACCCAGACCTGTTAATTTTTTATCATGGTGAGCGATTTTAACTTCTTCATAAGGACGTAAATTGTCATCTGAATAAAACTCTTCATCAGATGAACTACAGGTCTGACTTCCACGATTTCTCAGACGTGATCTCCTCTGTGTACGAGGTTGTGGCTTTTGTCTGCCAGTGTGGTTATGGACACCATCCATTTTATCTATTGTTGAAGGGCATCACTGAAAAGACAAGTAAATAATTTTTACATTTTTAACACTATGTATCTCTTGACAAAGACGAGAGTATCCTCATCGAAACGTTGCTTAAACCTGAATCATTTACTTGATAAAGATGAGAGTATCCTCGAAACGTCGCTTAGTATTAAACTCAGTAATTATGTATCCATAAAATTTTACCTTGTGTTAATATGTTCAATTACTAAATGCAAATCACAGAAAATATGGAAGTAATTAAAAGTAATTAAATGGACCCATTTAAGGTTTCAACGAATAGACATATACACCCTTAAAAAAAACCCAACAGAACAACACATATAATCCAAAACCATATTGAACAAAATACGAGCACTTCAAGTACCAGAATTAACAAAATTTGTCAACTATGTGAAACTGCCATAAGTCAAGTGACAAGTGATATCAGATGTTCCAGTAAGAGTGTTAAGAAATTGTGGACAGACTCTTAAATGGACGGATGTGATGATCTCAATAAAATGTGGGTGTATAAAAGCAATGATTAAAAGATAATGAAATGATCCCTTAGTCCAGAAGGATTCCTAAAACAGGGCACAATAATTGTATTTCTATCAGAACTTTTGGAAGTGGTTAGGAAGTCACTGCCCACACAAGGGATTCAAATCTTCCCAGATTTGATTTGCAAGAGAGAAAAGCTCTTATTCAAAATTATTGTTTTAAAAGGATCATCCTAAACATTGCTTTCAAATATTATAAAATACAAGTGCTATAAGTATATTGAAGTCTGAGCTCATAAAAAGCATAACATCCTTTTTATTTATGTAGGACAAATTGCTTTTTAAGGGAGATAACCAGAATCAATCAAAACTATAGTACACGATGCAATAGGCAAAATAACATACTTCCCTATTGACGTTATATAATATGCCAATCCAAAAATACCCAATAAAGATATAAACGATCAAAACCATTTGAAGCAACACTTTTTCAACAAAAACTGGCAAATTCTAGGGGCAAGAGAAAGTATTCTCCCTTTCAAATGACCATCGATTAAAAGTTACTTCAAATTTAATGTACCGGTAATGATGTGATATCAACTAAATTTTAGACAACATTAAGGGCTGTTTTGACTTAATGTTATCAATACATAAATGTAAAAAGCAGCCATGCCCGAAAAGCAGTCCAAATTTGACTGTTAATTGTTCCATTCGACCAGGTTTTTCTTATGCAAAACTAAATGGATTAGGTTTAGAGAAGTATTTGTTCTGGGGACCGGTGTTATTTAATAAGGAAAAACTGATCTTGTATATGGTGAGGAGAACTCATTGACAATCAATACTAATACAATTATCAAAGACATTGAGAATTTGTCTGGGTCTATAATTATTCATATCTTTAAACTGAAGCCAAGAAATACCAATCCCAAAGTACCAAGGATTATATGCACACAGAATTAAAGGTCTAATATACCTCTAATTTCATTAAGTTTAAAACATTACACATTCCGTCCAGTTATACAAATTTTGTAAGCACAAAACCGTCTATATAGTTCATGGCAACATATGTAATCTATCTTTCTGATCCAGTAATACATTAACACCTTTACAATAGTGAATTGTGAATCTCGGACCATTCTTAATTCACTACTGAAACCAACAACTTCGGTTATAATCCTGAAAATCTTCTTTTTCCATTCAATGAGAATATCATTCATGACTTGCTCTTAATTCACCAACATATTTTGTTTGTAATGATTAAAATTTATGGACAATTCAAATCTATCATTTTCCTATTAATAACTTTTGGTTCTAAAGAAGTAAATAATTGGCATTTGAAATCTGTAAATGATTTGTTATTAAATATTTCTCATTTTATTTTTGTTTCATTGAAGATACTGATCCCGAAACCTTACCAGAGTAGGATTTTGAAGAGTGTGATTAGGCAGTGGTTATATTGTAGGTTCCTCATGACCTGTGTTTGTGAAAAACACATGCTACATTAAAAATTTTGAGTTTAAATACCACTAACTAATGTCTCTGTTGTTCTTGCACAAGCTCATTCTTTAGGCTAATGATATCGAAACTCTGTCATTGACAATCCAGTCTTTTTCATTTTTGACAAAAAGTTAGGAAGTAACAGTTCAAAACATTTTGAATCAGTTACTTGGGCATTAACATGGTACCAGCGATTTATTCACATTTAATAGATTTTTATACACAAGCCGATTGTGAGGCTGATTATCTATGATTAGTCTAAGCAAAAAATGTTCACTACCAAACTCAGGTTTTGAAGTACCTGGTAGTGAGTGAAACTATACACTAAGTTTCATCACTCTCCATCAGTAAGAATCAAAGTTATCTTGTCCCAAAGTATCGACCAAAGAAATTGCTTAGCTCTGCTTAGCTTTAATGGGAAATATTATTCATTGAACTTAGTCAAGACATTGGCCTAATGAACATCTAAAACCTATATTAAAAGCAGAATTGTTATGTTCCTAAGTCTTGACCAATCAAATTGCTTATCGCTACTTAACCTAAGCAGAAAATTCTCTTCATTGAACTTAGTCAATGTATTGATATAATGAATCTATACCCAGTTTCATCGCTCTCACCCAGTTAGAACCAAATTTATCGTGTTCCAAAGTCTCGACCATTCAAATTGCTCATCTCTACTTAGCCTTAGTGGAAAATACATATAAACGAACTATGTCAAGGCATTCACGTAACAAGACACCTACAGCAATTTTAAACATTCTACCTCAATTAGAAGAAGAGTTATTGCGCGCCAAAGTCTCGACCAATCAGATTGAAGTCTCTACTTTGTCTAAACAGAAAATGCTCAGCATCGAACCTTGTTATGGTATTGATGTAATAAAATTATACACAAAGTTTCACCACTATCACTCAATTAGTCTTGACCAATCAAATTGCTTATCGCTTTGGTTAAGCTGAGCCGAAAATGCTCTCATAATCAAACTTAATCAAGGTATTGATATGATGAAACTATACACCAAATTTCATCACTCTCATTTAATTAGAACCAAAGTTATCAGGTCCCAAAGCATCGACCAAACAAATTGATTACCTCTGCCTTCACCAAGTTTGAACATTGTAGCTCAATTGGAAGAAAAGTTACTGTGCCCCAAAAAGTGTGATGGACAGACAGATGGGCGGACAGATGGATGGACAGGCCCATTTTAATAGTCCCCTACTTTTTTTGAAAGGCGGCGGACAAATATCTGTTGCACAATAGCCAGGCATAGGAAATGAAATGAAATGGGGTTTACTGTCCTACTATTCTGCTCCTAAACTGGGCTAATGAAGACGGGCATACGCCATACAGTGTGCTATGAGGGAAATTTTGCCCGGGCAGCAGCACTACGACCTACTCTTATATCGAATTCCAACTGCCAAGGGATCTTTTACGTGCACGTCAATGTGTACACGGGACCTCGGTTTTTCGGCCCATCCAAATGACTAGACAGCTGTCCTTGTCAGGCCCTCCATCCCGCATCACTGACAAGGAACACCCGACCTCCAGGCTAGCGAGCCAGCGTCTTACCCACTTAGCCATGTGATCCCCCCCGGACATAGGAAAACTTGATTATTAGTTATATGCTTTTAAATTAACCGCTTGTTAAGTCATTCACTGATTCATTCTTGGCATTTCTTCATCTTGCCCTACTTTGACATGTCATGAAAAGACCTCTTCCAATCAGGTGGATGATTTGTTCTAAAATAAATATTTGAAGGAATACCTTTAGAATTTTTAAATAGTAATAAAAAATAAGTTAGATCATTTAACATGACGGCTATTTCCAAAGAATTGACTACAGGTGTTTGTTTCACTAGCCATTTTGGAAGATAGTACCAATAACCTGCATGTTAATTATCTTCAACTTTGACCCCATCAGCACCTAGCATCATGGTAGCATGATAAAATAAATAATTTTACTTTATCAACTATTTTTATTTATTAGTTTTTTTGTTTCCGTCTGTGACTTTGTTTTTAGCGTTTTGTGGATAATAAAATACTGCAAAGCAAGTGCCTATCACTCAGTCAGTACCTCATGATCAAGGCTATCTTAATTCTCATGGCAGCATTTTGGGGACCGTTGGTGACAGTGTTATGTTTATCAATAAATAGTGGATTTTAATGCATCAATTCATTGTTCATATCTGAAAGCAAACATATATTGTTTTACAAACATTATAGGACGAATTACTGTCCTCACTAAAATTGACCAAATAATTATGGTAGTGCGTAATTATTACAGATGAAAACAGACATATGGCAGGTTATGATAAACAAACAATTAATTAACAGCAGCCTTACCATCATTATTATTATCATTAAATAGCATGAAACATTTACAAGCTTTATGTGTCTTATTTGTTGGCAATTCTTAATCAAAGTATTTTCACTTACTGAATTATTGGCTTTCAGTTTGTTAATATATATATATATATATATATATACACACACACACACACTCGAAATCAGTTGCTGGCTCAAAGTATTGAGGATGAAACAAATATATATTCTAGTCAATTTTCTACTTAATAACTGAATCTGTTAGGAGAATGTCATATGGTAATGTAATATCATTATTTATATCTTATTATAACAAGTACAGTGTTCACCTTTTGACGTGCAAGTTTCCTTGTGACAATATAGCAGTATAAATTTGATGAATGATAACCTAAATTCTACTGACACCCTAATTCATCTATAGATCTATATACAAGTATAGTATGTGAGTGAGACTTATCAATTAAATCATGGTGCCAATACCCTCAACTGATCCCCACACCTTGATTAAACCAGACCGTTAGCGGTGTTGTAGTTCATTATTGACTATGATAAAGGGAGTTCTGACTGAAACTTATTGCCGGCTTCTGATGAAATAAAATGACTTCACCTGCTATCTCAGCCAATACCTCTGCAGAGACACAGTCTGTGGCAAACACCAGTTCTGTTAAGGCAGACATGAAAGCTAGCTAGGAGACCTAACAGGTTATTGATCC